GAGTAAAAATGTTCCATGTGATTTTTCCAACAAAAGCCAACCCAAAGAAACAGATCTGTCTTTCTTCTAACACACCAGTCATTGGTTTATTTCAGGACATTTTACCCACCCAGAATACATCTAAATTTGACTCATGCTTTTTCAAGCAAAAAGTGATCCAGGGAAGCAGGTTAATGGCATGTCTACTCAGAAGTAAATCCTATTGAGTTCAGAAGGTCTTACTCCTAAAGCGCACATGTATCACTGCCACAATATTTTTTCATGACCTGACAGTTTATAAATACTTGTATTTATAAATAAGATACAATGAAAGTCAGTTGGGGGGGGGGAATTACCCAAATACGACTGTCATTTTTTTGCTTTATGAAGGTTAAGAATATTGTTGGCATTTAAGTGGGTATAATCCAAATTGGGAGGGGGGGGCAGATGTCTCTGAGGTACTGAAGGTAGTACTCCTTCTGGTTTGTGCACATTTTCTGTTTAGCTAAGGAATATTTAACCTATGGAGTACAAATATCTCCTTTTAAAAGAAATCATCTCATCTTCAAAATATTTATATATGTTGTTTCTAAAAGGGGATTGATTGTACAAGTGGATGGAACAAGTAGCCTTGCAGCTGTCTCAAAATACTGACACTACAAATTACTTTGCACATCATGCTGTTAATGTAGTTGCCTGCGAATATCAGAGTAAGTCTATATGCACTCAATATCTCACACCAATCTCACAGTAAGCGTGAATGAAATAAGTTACCTGCACAGAAGCAGCATTGGTTCTCTGCATGTGTCCTGCCTGAGCCATCATTTCTTCATTCAGATTTAGACATCAATCTTATTCAGAGCTTATTTGCTGACAAAGGCTCTGACATCATATAGGGTGGGAAAATCCAAATGCTGCAACCACTGCAAATATTCCCAACTCTAATTTACACTCTATCTCTCTAGTGTCAGACGTTATACATCCAAGCTAACTGCACTCCAGTAAATACACATGTAGATTCAGGGGCGCCGACTTATAAAAAATATTGGGGGGGCCCATACCGGGGTCCTGCCCCGGGAAGTTTTCTAAGTTCCAATGTCAGCGGCGCCCAGCAGAGCAGCCCTCTTGGCCACGGCAGCCCGGCTCTCCCAGCCCCCGGGGGCCGCCCTCCTCCCTCGCGCACCCGCAGCGTTCCCGCCCGGGGAGGCGGCGCCCCCAAGGACTCAGGTTCGGTTGTACCTGAGAAGCCGAGCACCTTGGCTCCCAAACAAATCGGCTTCTGAACAATCGAAACCCGGAAGTGAGTGTTCTGGTTTTCAAATGATTTTTGGAGGGCGAACATCCGGTGCGGCTTCCGATTGGCTGCAGGGGGCTCCTCTGGCAGAAGCCGCACTCTGTTTTTCAAATGGTTCCGGGAGTCGAATGGACTCCCGGAACGCATTCTGTTCGAGAACCAAGGTACAGTGGACGCTCGGGTTGCGAACGTGATCCATGTGGGAGGCACGTTCGCAACCCGCAGTGTTCGCAACTCACATTGCTGCGTCTGCGCACACACAGGTTGTGATTTAGCACTTCTGCGCATGCACAAGTGCCGAAACCTGGAAGTAACCCATTCCGGTACTTCTGGGTTTCAGTGCATCCATAACCTGAAAATGCTTAAGCTGAAGCATCTGTAACCCGAGGTATGACTGTATGTACCAGTCCTAAGGAACTGGCCAAGTAAGGCAATCAGCATCTGCAGGTCCCTTGACAGACAGGAGAGAAGCCACACTCTTGGATTTCTGTTGGTAGATGCCTCTTCCTGAGATGCTTGTATTATGCTAATCATAGAATCATAGAGACAGAAGGGACCCCAAGGTCATCTAGTCCAGCCCCCTGCAATGCAGGAATCTTAGCTCAAGCATCCCTGACAGATGGCCACCTAGCCTCTCCCAGGGAGCAGAGACCGTCTGAACAGCTCTTATTGTCAGAAAGCTCTTCCTGATGTTGAGCCGGAAAAGTCTTTCAAAGCTGCTGCACACCTTTGTTTGGGGTCCTCCCCTCCTTGCAAATGTCAGTGGGAAGGAGGGCTCTGTTTCAACAGAAAAATAAAGATTCCCCCTTTCTTCCAGCTTCCACTCATTCGTCTCCGACTGATAATGGACTCGGGAGGCTTTGAGCCCCTTGGGGAGCTGAGCTGTAAAGGACAACCTCCAATGTTCATGCATCAGAAGGAGCCCAGGAGCCCCATCGGGGCTTACCCTGCGCAGGCTGGTTCCCCCCACACACAAACACACACACTGGGTTGCAATTTTGTGGGTCAGCTTTGGCTGGGAGAGGCAGCCCCCCGTTAAGTCTCTGCCAGCCCAATAGCACAGCCCCCCCCCCCGCCAAGTCCATGGCAGGAGACAGGCAGCAGCACCCAGACCCCAGAGGCTGCCCTTGGGACTGGCGTTCCCACACTGCCACCTCCGCAACAAAGGCCAGCGGCCAAGTCCCCCCCCCCCCCAGCCGCTTCCTTGGTCCCACAGGAAAGCCAGGCAGGGGCTGCACATCCTGCCCTCCGCCTCTTCCTGCTGCCCCCAACAGACAACCAGGCCTGCAAGCTTCCTCTTCTGACATCGCCCAGGCCCCCACGCAGCCCCCCACCAGCAAAACGCCCTGGAGTTTGAAGGGACCCGAGGGCCACGCAGCCAAGGGGTCTAACTTTGCAGGGAAAAGCTTCCTGTCTTTCCTCTGCCCCCTCCCCACCGGAAAGGGATGGTGGCTGCAGGCTCTGCCCCCCCCTTAACATCTGCAAAATGATTAAGGCTGATACATTGTGTTACAGGATTTTATCTAGGTAACTTCCCTGAGCTGTCAAGTTGAAAGGGTACATTCAGGCATAATATTTGCAACATTTAACAACTTTAAAGATGTGCCCCCCCCTGTAATTTCCATAACAGTTGGAAGGACAAAAATATAACCTCCTATGACAACTCCTGCAACCCATGAGCTTTCAGACAAAGATCATGCATGGACAAATGTAAAGATCTTTGGAAAGTATTGATCGAAACCACAGTAACAAACAAATCAATGTATCTTCAAGGGAAAGAATAAGTAGATCCATTTGCATATATAGCTCTGTAGGCTTAATTATATTCCATTGCTATTTTGTTATTGCTCTTTTCCTCTGCTTCTATTTATTTTTAATGCATGTAACCTTTTTATTCCCCCTCCCCCCCGCCAATTTAACTCCTTGTAATACTCTCAATAAAATATAAGGAAACAAGAAAGGAGATTCCCACAAAACATTAGGAAGGCCTTTCTGGTGGTGAGAGCAGTCAGACAGGGGAAGGGGCTTTTAGGGAGAGGTCGGGGGGGGAGGGCATCTGCCAGGGATGCTTTAGCTGTGAGTCCTGAATTGCTGGGGGTTGGACTGGATGACCTTTGGGTCCCTTCCACCTCTATGATTCCATGACCTTTAAGGGAAGTCACCTCCATCTTCCTCTCAGAGCAGATGCCCACAAGCCCTGGGCGGGAAGAGCCCGAGAGAGAGAGAGAGAGAGAGAGAGAGAGAGAGCCCGAGAGAGAGAGAGAGAGAGAGAGAGAGAGCCCGAGAGAGAGAGAGAGAGCCCGAGAGAGAGAGAGAGAGAGAGAGAGAGCGCCCAAGAGAGAGAGAGAGAGCGCCCGAGAGAGAGAGAGAGAGACCGAGAGAGAGAGAGAGCCCGAGAGAGAGAGAGCCCGAGAGAGAGAGAGAGAGAGCCCGAGAGAGAGAGAGAGAGAGCCCGAGAGAGAGAGAGAGAGAGCGCCCGAGAGAGAGAGAGAGCCCGAGAGAGAGAGAGAGCCCGAGAGAGAGAGAGAGAGCAGCCAAGCCCCCTTCACTGCCTGCCCCCCCCCCGCCAGCCCCCTCTCCCCTCCTCCCTAGGCGGCAGCTCCGCCATGACCACAAACGGCGGCGGCAGCAGCAGCCGCACGCGGCCCGGGCTCCCCTCGCCGGCCGCGGGAGCCAAGGCGCGCGATGAGGGAGCCAAGGCGCGCGAAAAATTTTTTAATTATTGGGGGGCTGAGCCCCCCCAATAAAATTTTTGAGGGGGCTCGGGCCCCCTCAGGCCCCATGGAGTCGGCGCCTATGTGTAGATTACTTCAATGTCAAGACCAGTTTCCAGTGTTCAAACCTGCTGTTTAAGAAAACGAGCCAACTGCACATTCTTATGTGTACAGGTGTTAACACCTTTCACCTGCCTGGACCTTCCTACATAACCAAGTGTAAAACATTTTCTCCAGAATTAAAGAACACCTGAACCAAAACTCCTCCACTCCCCCCTCCCAAAATGAAAACTTTGCAAAGAAAATGTTGCCAAGTGATCTTGGTGAAGATACCGCAGAACTACGGGGGGGGGGAGCAAACTAGTGCTCAAAGTTGCTATTTTACAGGGCAAATGTGTGCGGGGTTTTTTCAGAAAAAGCTGTACATCCAGCAAGCTACCCAAATATGTCAAGGTGAGTTGTTCCCAAGTTAACATCTAGTCCTTGGGCCAAGGGTGTACACTTTTTGATACACCGAGAAATTGTGGCTGGAGCAACAGCCACCAATGCACTCCTCTCCTCAAAAAAGAAAAAAATTGACTCTCGTGGTCCTTGCCAAACCTTGCCACATTCACACACACTGGCCCCTAGTTTGCCTGGTTATGTAATACAAAAATACAACTATCTGCACACCCTTGAGTATGGATACCAATCCATGGCCAACTTAGGCCAAAGTTTCCTGTGCTCTATCTAGTACTGTCGTGGAAGTCCCCAGTCAGGTACTCCGGCCTATGCATGCATGGAGCAATAACTGAATTCTTTGTCCTTTCCCCATCACATTTAAAGTGAAACACAAATCCGGGTTCAGACGCGAAGCACGTGAACCTATTAACCCTTTCCTGGCCCTTATGAGTCGGGGGAAAGTTGCCAAAACAAAACCATCTGCCTCCCAAACCGAAGGGGGAAACCCCCAGTATCCACGCAAGCACTGGGGAGCCAAACACCGCCCCCTCCCCTCCCCTCCCGGGACTCACCGCGGGGCTGCCGCTGCCCTCCCTGGCTCTGGCCTTGCCCCTGGTGGGCGACTCCTGCAGCAGCTGCTCCAAGCAAGCGGTGCCCGGCAGGGAGGAGCTCTTCTGGTGGGACAGGTGAGCCCCCGGCCGGGGCAGCGGCGACGGCGGGGGAAGCTCCTCCCCCTTCTCGGCTTGCGGGGGGCCATCCCCGCCGCGCCCCCTGTCGGCTCGGGCGGGGGCGGCCGGCGACGGGCAGAGCGAAGACGACGCCGAGGAGGAGGCGGCGCGCGCGTCGTCGGGGCGGCGGCCCTGAGGCGACGGCGGCTGCCCCCTGCCCTGGTGGTGGTGGTGGTGCAGTATGTGCTCCCTCAGGCGGCGCAGCGCCGAGCCGGCCTCGCTGCTCACGGCCTCCAGGGGCTCCGCCGAGGAGCAGCAGAGGTTGGGCTGGGACGACGAGAAGACGCGGTCCAGCACGTGCTTCCTGCGCCTGAAGCCGCTCCACTTGACGGCGCCGCCGCTCAGCAAATCCCCCTTGGCCGCCGCCGGCTGTTCAAGCGGCTGCTGCTGCTGCTCGGCTCGAGCGCGAGGAAGCGACGGCGAGGTCTCCGCACTGCGGCGCTCGGCGGCTGCCGCTTTGCCGCCTTTGCTCTTGCCGCCCAGCTGCAGGTTTCTCCACAGCCGGGCCTGGAAGGAGGAGGACGACGCTGGCTCGGGGTCGCTGGGCTTGTCCGCCGCTGCTGCCTCAGGCTCCATAACCGCCGCCGCCGCCGCCGCCTCCTCCTCGTCTCTTGGCCGCCGCCTCCTCCCGCTTCTCCACAAACGCCACCACCGCCGGCGTCTACTGCTGCGGAGGCAACAGCAGCAGAGCCCGGTGGAGCCTGGAGGCTTCAATCCAGGCCGGCCGAAGGAAGAGGCTGCGCGCTGGCCGCCTCAGCCCCGCGATAGGCAGCTACCTCAGCGGCGTGCCCCGGCTGCGGCTCAGGCTGGGTGCACCACCCGCAGGGTGGCAGCCGCGAGTGGGCGCGAAAGAGGAGGAGGAGGAGAAGGAAGCAGCAGCCGTCGTCGTCGTCGCGTGAGGCGTCGCAAGCGAGCAAGGAACGCGCCTCCACCGAACTTTGTGTCTCGCGCGCCGGACTTTCCTCGCCCTCCTCGCAGCTGCTAAGTCACACGCACCGCGCAGGCTCGTGCCGGCTGACTGACGGGGCGGGGGTGGGGGAGGGTGATTAGATTAATGACAGACACGTGCGCGCTCGCTGGAGGCAGCTGGCCAAAAAGTGCGGGGGGGGGGGAGGAGGAGGATCGCGGCGATGGGTCAGCATGGAAGATCTGCAGAGCTCAGCCTTCACGGAGGTGCAAGAAGAAGAGGAGGAAGGCTCCAGGGCGGGACCAAGAGGTGCTGGGTGCAGAGAAGGGGAACGAGAGACGCTGGTTTGTACTGGCCCGTAGAGGAAGGATGCATATAGAATGAGATAACCGGGAGACAAGGCAGACACACGCAACTCATGCTAGCCCACAAGCCAAGTTTGAGGTTGGGGTGTGTGTGAAAAGTGGAGCGTGAATATCGCCTCCAGGTGAAGAGGCATTTCCTTTTGATCCTGTCTCTTTGACACTTTCATTGGCTCCCAGAAGCTCCACTGGAGGCATTGGACACGGTACCCTGCAAAAGAAAGGTGGGGACGAGAAGGTGGGTTGGGGTCTACTGGTACTAGATCTCTGGCTGATCTGTAAGGGATTTGCTAGGTTTTTTTAGTTGTTTTTTTTAAAGTAGATCCTACAAACCAGAACCCTGCACCAGTGGCGTAGCGTGGGGGGTGCAGGGGGGGCCGGCCGCACCAGGCGCAACATCTGGGGTTAGGGCAAATCCACAGGTTAGGGGTCGCAAATCCACGGGTTAGGGGGCGCAAATTACTTGCCTTGCCCCGGGTGCTGACAACCCACGCTACGCCACTGCCCTGCACAATACCAGTACACAGGTCTGGCCCAACTTTCTTTTCTGCTGGATGTGAAGGACAATATTCTGTCCCTCTCTCGCTCTCATATATATACATATGTACACACAAACACAGCCAACCAGGTTGCCTGATTAACCTTAGGGTATGTTCACATTGGGATGTGGGTGGCGCTGTGGGTTAAACCACAGAGCCTAGGACTTGCCGATCAGAAGGTCGGCGGTTTGAATCCCTGCGACGGGGTGAGCTCCCATTGCTCGGTCCCTGCTCCTGCCAACCTAGCAGTTCGAAAGCATGTCAAAGTGCAAGTAGATAAATAGGTACCGCTCCGGCGGGAAGGTAAACGGCGTTTCCGTGTGCCTGCTCTGGTTCGCCAGAAGCGCCTTAGTCATGCTGGCCACATGACCCGGAAGCTGTACGCCGGCTCCCTCGGCCAATAAAGCGAGATGAGCGCTGCAACCCCAGAGTCAGCCACAACTGGGCCTAATGGTCAGGGGTCCCTTTACCTTTTTATGTTCACATTAACAACTTAAAACACAGCAAGGCCATTCTCCCCCTGCCCCGCATTTCATGGCACATTTGCACAGTGCAGTTCACCTGAGAGAGGGGCCTTTGTGATGTCTTCATTTGACCCACATGACCCTTTTGGTTGCCCCACCCCTCCCAAATCCTGTTTGTGATGCTGTGATCTACACATGGACACTCATCTTCACTTGTGCAATGGCTGTCTCAAATGTTCACATCACTTACTCCACATCCTCATTTCTATTAGAATTGGTTTGAAGGGGAAACACACCAAGCAACAGTACTTGTCAATAAACGACAGGACTGGTATGGATTGTGGCTAAAGTTGTGTGAATGTGGCTTCAAAAACTAGCAGTAGGAGCACACTGGATGCAGAGTAAGCGGTAATGTGAACATGCCCTTCTTAGGGCAGTAAGCTAGCTGAGAGGGTCAGGGCACACTATGTTTTATGTCGTGAACTGCCCTGAGATCTTTGGATGAAGGGCAACATATAAATTTAATATCAAATAATAATAATATGTTGCAAACGCAGCTGCTCTGGCCACCAACATTTTGTTGCCATTCATTTGCCACTCCACCTGGTTCCTGCGCTCTTTACCCACTCAAACAGCTGCTCCTATGCAACAGCAACAGTGTGCATCGCATGAGTATAGCAACATGTGCGCACACATGATGCATGCCAGAGCACATGGCCTGAGCAGGTTTACCAGTCTGCTTGCTTACTTAGTTGGGAGTGTTCCCCAATGGCACTCACTGTAATGCATTGGTAGAAGGTGATTAGACAGGCTGCAAAGGATAGCAAGATGCAAGAACCAGCACTGCTGGGGCACCAAGTTGGGAGGAAGGGAACAGCTCAAGAGGAATGGCCAGGGGAATCAACACCCCTCTGTCTCTGTGACCCAACATATGCATTTCACTCTGCCTAATGATAGGGCCAGTCCTCAGAAACATTGCTCTGCAAGTGGTGTTTTGACAACCCAAAGCAGGTCCACTGGAACCAGGTAATTTTCAACAACCTTGGCTGAAGCAACTGAGCAAAAGCTGCCCTCTGGATCCCATATTGGATAGCAGGCACAGTTTATTTCAGTACTCTGACCAAGAGAAAAGTTGGGCATCCTAGACAGAGCATTGGACTATTACTGCAGAAATCAGAGATCAAATCATGCAGATTTTTAAAAGCCCAATTCAATGGGGAAACGGGATGGAATTCTGATAATTGCCCCACCCCCACTTTGTATTTTTTAATATATATATCTATATCTATATCTATATATCTAGATAGATAGATAGATAGATATGGTTTCCAATCTCAATATTGAAATAGCGTGCAGTCGGTCCCTCATCACTGTTTCAACCTGAGAGCTCTAGTTTCCTGTGCAGAAGCTGCCTGCTATGGAAAACGAAGGAAGCTCTTCCGCTGGTTCAGCAGCTGCAGTTCCAGCCATCTGTCAATGCAGCCAGTGGTGTTTTGAGAACGGAGTGAAGAGAGAGACAAAGAAGAGGCAAGTTCATGTTTCAGGGCAGTCCCTCTGTCACATCCAAAGCCTACTTTCTCTTGTCCGATGATGCAAACGGGTTATACGATTCCCATATGACTTATCAAATGTTACATCATGCTATTCTGCCCTCAGCGCCCCCCCCTCCTGCTGCAATCACATTTAGGAACAATGAGTCATAATGAAAAGACTATACTTTTTTATCCTCAACTTGTAGATACCAGATTCTACTGAGATTATGTTTGCCTTTTCATCTGGAGGTTGGGAAGAAATGGATGCTCAGCATTTTAATTTAGACCAAAAAGGCATGTTCTATTTATAGTAGCGCAAATGTCATATTCTCTTTCATTGCACAGAAATGTGCCCAGTCTTGGATCTCCAACCTGTTCCGCATGACTGCCTTGAGCCACTGCAATGCAAAGTCCTCTCCAGCTGTGTGTGTGTTTGTGTGTTTGTTTTTTACAGGGGCCTCAGGCTGCCTGAGAGGTTTTATTTGCTCGCAAGAAATACTAGGATTTTGCAAATGGATTCTACTGCATGAAAGGAAAGGCTCGGAAATTTCAGGCAAGCGACTTCTTGTAAAACTAATTTGACTGAAATCCCCAGAACTGTGGACTTCTCTGCTACGCGTGCTGCTTCTCCGGGAGCTTTTGACTCACATTCTCTGCCTCCAGCAGTATGCTCATCTGATGTGCTCTTCCCAACTGAAGCTGCGAGTCTCTGAAAGCATTCCCTATTAATAGGAACTAAGAGGACAGCTAACTGCACCTCAGAGAGCCCACCCGCCGTTAAAGTGAAACACCAACTCAATTAGTGGGGATGGAGAAGCAGGGGTGGTGTATCTACAGAGCTTATCCCTTCTGATTTGATTCAGAATAGGTGGTTTAGCAAGGCATAGCTTATTACCCATTTTGAATGCGCTGCTCACTTTCCAACTGACTTTTTGTGCTGTTCCATGTTGAATAGCAAAATGGAGGCAGAACTATAATACAAATTGGGTAGCCAAAAGGCAGAAATCAATATTAGCTTTGCATGTAGCTATAGGATCAGAACATGCTAGTTTGTGTGACGGCAGGGAATGGGAAGAAGAAAAGCGCTTTACTCACCCAAATGCCTCCCCAAAATATAAGAGAAATGTGTTTCCCGACTTTTATGATGAGCTAGCATGCCCAAAGACAGGACCGGTGGTATAATGAGGCAAGCTGAGACACTTGCCTCAGGTGGCAAGAGTGGGAAATTGCCCCTCTTGAGGCAACCTTGCTTGTTGTTTCACCTCCTGCGGCAGCCTTGATGCCACTATAAAGCCTTTGAGGAATCTATGAGGCTGTCCACCTCATACTGAGGAAGGGCCAAGAGGGGTCCCGCCTCAGAGTGAGGCATTCTGAGGAGGTATCCAGGCAAGTGTCTGGACTGCTGCTGTTTTGCTAAGGTGGGGTTGCTATAGTTCTAGAAATGAAATTCAGGATGGAAAAGTTGTTGAACCTTTTTTAAAAAAATGAAAATCAAGGTTGTTGAGCAATCAACTTCAAAATCCTGGACATTTTGCTGATTTTCCAAAATTCCCCCCAGATGCTATTTTCGCTGGTTAAATCCCAGACATATGGCAACCTTAGCTAAGGCAAGCTAGAAATTCTTTTAAAATTTAGGGCTAAGTTTTTATCTTCATCAGAGCACAACCATACTTTAAAACATACAAAAGTTAAGATAGTAAAACAGATTAAAATAGATAAATGGACAGTTCAGTTAGAAACGAGTTCCCTGAGCAAGCTTAGCAGTCATAAAATAAAAGGAGAGGTGCTCTTGTGGACCAGGAATTGGTTAAGTATCCGGAAGCAGGGAATAGGAATATATGGACTGTTCTCTGGAGAGATGTAGGAAGTGGAATCCCCCAAGGATTGGTTTTTGGGCCTGTGCTTTTAAAACTTGTTCATCAACTTTCCGTAGTTAGGGATGAGCAGTGAGTTGGCGATGTTTGCTGACAATGCTAAATTGTTCAGGGTGTCCTGGCTCCCACCCCAATACACACAAGCAGAGTCTCTTACTTGTAAGTGAGCAAGAGATATTTACTTAGGCTTAGCAGAAGCAGGCATGAGCCTCCAGAGCCATGGTTCAGGAGTTCAAGAGCAAGGCAAGAAGTTCAGAACTGGACAAAAGCAGCAAAGGTGTCCTAACAACTTCCACAATGCACCCATCACGCTGACTTGTTACAGCAGGGTTTGAGTGCAATTGAAGTCCCTGGCGTGATACAATTAATGGAGTGCCATTTTTGTTAGGAGCTGCTGCCTATGCTAATTTCCTTCCAAATCACCCCAAGCTGCAATATAGTACCTGTTTCCTGATTGCATAATTTAATTAAGTGGTAGACAAGAGTTCTAATATGTTAAAGTTGCCTCCTACAATGCTAGTTCTTGGTTTACAGTAGTTGGTAAATGAATCATGGGTCATACTGTTCATCATTTAAAATACAACCATATAATTTTAAGCATTCAGATAACAGATTGTTTAGGGAATCTGCACATAATTTTCATATTTCTAATTCAGATAACATTTCACACTTCTTACATATGATGATTTTCAAGTAACAGATACGCTATAGAGATTCAAGCTAGAACTATAAATGGAAGTATATTGAAAGAAACCAATCCTGATGCAGTTAAAACAGTTTTCGAAAAGACTTTCACTCTTGATTTTAAGTTGGAGAGAGGAGTGACGAAAGAATTGCATGATGTTCTAGTTCAAGAGTCAGCAGCACTTTCTTTTAAGAACAGAAGAAGAAAACAGAGCTTTAAAAAAAGCTTTGGGTATTTTCACACATTGGACTTAAATTGCCTTGGAGTCTCTCACAGGCAATTTATGTTAACACCCACAATAGTTGTTAACATACCAAGAACAGTAGAGCTACTTTAAACCTCATGTGACACTATCCTTTGGCTTCTGGTTAGGTTGACAAAAATGAGTTAATGAAGGAGACAGCAATTGTGCCACCTGCTGATTGTTGGTGTTCATTTTCTATGCAGGATAATTAGGGCAACTTCATATGTTACCTTTGCAGAGTGCTTGGTACCACTAACCTGCTCCCCCATCACTGGCTCTGTCATGGGGTAGAATGGATGTACGCTTCACACCACATAAAAGAAAGATAAATGCAGAAACATTTTCTACAGTTTCCAGCACTGAAGGTTTAGAATGACATGTAATAGGCCACAAAGGGTTCAACCATAGACTTTATCCTAGTAGTAGCTGGCAGAAGATGAGCCGCAGATAATTTGACTTTTAATCCTTCACTTCGTAAGCAATCTCTGCAAAAGAAGAGCCATTCTAAAGCAGACCAAAAAAAAACCACAAAAAGCAAATCCCATCTAGTTTAGCATCCTGTCTCTCAGTGGCTAACCAGATTCCTGTAAGAAGCCTGGAAGCAGGACATAAGCACAATAGCATCTTGAAACAATTGTTAGAGCACCTCTAAACAGATTTGATTTCTGCAGTCATTGTTGTCCATCCTGTTCCAGATACAGTATGTGGGTTACTTCAGCATGCAGTGTTTCCCCACCTCAGTCAGGGCCCAGTAGGCTGAGTTCACAAATGTTCCTTCTTCCAGTTCAGAACAAAGGAAGCTTTGCTCTTCATGTCATCTAGAGGTGCTGCGCAATACTATATTGACACGCCAAACTGGCTGTACTATACAGAGAGCTGCACCCCATGGTCTCATGCTATGTTCTACCACCTTGCAACACTGCAAAAGGATCCTGTGATTATAAGGTACTTTTATTGATGCCTATAGAAATATTGCAGTCTCTCCGGCAACAACTTGGATTGCTCATGCAGTCAGTCTGTTTCTCAGTCCTGTAGAGCTAATGTTAAAATAAACTGAGCAGCACTTTGAAAATGCCGCTTTAAAATATGATTTTTTATCTGTTTACCCGAACTTTTTGGAAACTGCCATGGAAAAATAACACAGAAATTGCAGAATATCCACAATTCTCACATTTCATTCCCCAACAGGTAACAATCCTTAGAAAAGTGCTTATTATTTATTATTACTGCTGCTACTAATATATCTCACCCATCTTCCAAAGCATTCAAGGCAGCATTCATGGATAGAGTTTACCCCACTTTATCGTCATAAAGTGACTGCCCCACAGACACCCAGTGAGCTATACAGCTGAGGAGGGATTTGACCTTACTTCTCCCTGGACAAAGTATATGTTCCAGAACCTGTAGGAGAAATGATACAAATGGTTAGAAGACATATACAAAGCCTATGACATTGGGGGTGTATGTGTGCAAATTGGATTAAACATTCATCAAAGCATCTATAATTTATTTACTAATGGGATCTTATTCAAAAGAATACCTAACAGGTTTTGGGGGCATGGAAAAACATTTTTGTTTAAAATTCCATTAGCTTTCAGAACTACAGGATTGCATTTTTATCCCTAATGCGTTCTTCGGTGTTCCATAACTGAGTTATTGTGCTGCAGAGCACTTATTTTTTCAGCGTTTTGGATTATTCTGTTGCGAGTTCCATTGTGATTTTGCTGCTACACATATCCTCCCCTAATACAGGAATATAATCTCAATAATTGGGGAAAAGATGCTCTCATCTTCTTAGGATTAACCTAGCTTGGAAGTAATGTTCCATCAGCATTACTGCTGTTAGCAATAAGCCTTTTGAGGATATATTGTTCAGAATGATACACTGCGTACAATAAGCACATTTGCTTTCTATGAGCTACATGAAAACAGCAATAAAGGGAGCCGAAGAAATTCCACTTACATACCAAACCGAAATGCAAGCTTTTATTCCTTTTGTTCCATTTGCTCAAGGTGCCGTGCATTGTTTTCTATTGGTATACACACATACTTTATCATCAAGTCTCTGAGACAGATTAGGCTAGGAGATGGGGACTGCCCCAAGGCCAATGAGTGAGCTTCATGAGGGAGTGGGAATTAGAAGCTGGGTCTCCCCAGTCATAGTACGAACACCTCACTGGCTGTCCAAGAAGATGGCAAAAGGGATGTCAGGAGAATGGCTCAGATCCTAAGCTGTTCCTCCATTCAGCAGCTGATTTCTGTTGACTCTTCACACATTATTTCCAATGGTCCCACCAACCATTAGTAGCTGACTTCCAGGGGAAGGGAATGGGGAGGCAGGAAATCCCTGTTCCCTGAAGGTGAACTCTGTTCCATACAAAGGAGGAATATGAGCTAATAGCAATATCCATGCACAGAGCAATGTGTTGCGGTTCCAAGAAATACATTTAATTTATTGGAACTGCAACACATTGTTCTGTGCACGGATATTGCTAACTATTGGCTTGGATCTTAAACCTATTCTTCATAAAATATCATTAACGTAATAAATTCCCTAAAGGTGCTTTTTTGTAGCCTTATGGGGAGATCTTGGAGCAAAAGCTAGAAATGTATGTTTTAGAAGTGCTTTAGGTATAGATTAGTAGGATTGCATGACTAATGAAATATCTTCCAGCTCTTTTCTCAGTATATATTGTTCCAGCTGCCTGCACACTTTTCTTCATTGTATTGGCTGGTTTGCTTGATATTGCTCTGCACATTTCTGGAAATGTAGTAATACTGAAGAAAAGGGCAAAGGCTGGAAGAGTGGAAGGAATCTGGCCCCCCCAAAAAGCAGATGAGACAGGCAGCATCCACACCATTACATTTAAAGCATTCTTATACCACTTTAACAGTTATGACGTCCCCCAAATAATCCTACTTTGTTAAGGATGCTGGGAGTTGTTAGGACACCCAATATGGCCATTGGTCAGGGATGATGGAAGTTGTAGTCTAGCAACATCCGGAGGACCACAGGCTCCCCATCTATGCAATACGATGAATGTTTTGTGATATTTCCAAAGTGACCGAAAGCCAAACATAACCACAAAGCTGTGTACTTAAAACAGGATTTGATTTTGGCATATGCAGTTGAAATTGATGTTTTCCCTTCTTGCCTGGAAAAAGAGGGGGGGTTATAAGGGCAACACTTGAGCACCATATTTATTTAATAAGATAATAAGTTTATTATCACAATGTTTAGCAGTGGCTATGTAAGTTAATTGGAAAAAACACACCAATATGAAAAGCAACTCTTAACCAAAAATTTAAAAGATCTTAATAGTGGAAAAGCAAAATCCCACTCTTGTTATATAATGAGAAATCATTCATTTAAACCATGTCAAAAACCTATACAATCATTTTTAATATTGTGGGAATTTAAAGTACCAAGTACAAACAGCCCATCTGTTCATTTCTAGACTAAATATATCACATCAGATTTCAAAGTACAAGGCTCAAGAGGAACAGTATGTGACTCTTTCAAACCTAAGCCAAGCCTCTAGTGACTTTCCTTGGGTACAATGGTACACAGGAGTCCATCTGTCTAGCTCTTAGCAAGTGGACCTTAAATACTATGGTATATTTTTCATATTGTCAATTTTGACAAATATGAAAGAAAGAGGCTGGCCAACATATTTTTAAATGGTTTATTTTATGATTGGCATACATAAATATAAGTAATACATTAGACATAAAATAACCCAACAATCAATAGTTACCATATTACATAAAAAGTGTAATTTACCACATTTTCCTTTTTAGGCCCAGGAGAGGGCTAGACGGCTCTCAGCTGGCTTACTTCAAAATGGAGACTGATGGAATCTACACACATATAAAAAACGTTCTGAAAATGCTTTTTTAAAAGCGGTTTTAAAAATACATTGAATTTTCCATAAGGCTCACCAGCGCCATCTAGTGTCACATTGTATATTGCACTTAAAACACACTCAAAATGTTTTATTTGCAACTGTATAGCTGAGTCCACTGTCTCCATGCCTGCAATGTCCCGGGTGAGAATCCTCATCCGCCTCACATGGGGCCTGTAAAACTCCATGGAAGATTTGGGGCAGTCCGTGTTACTTTCAGCCTAAATGCTGCTCTGAGATACTTGAAGGAAGAGCAGGGTGCAAAAACATAAAGAGGCTGAAACCTAGACTGCATATACAGTACACTGAAAGGACATTTTTTTGCCCCAGAGAATCCTGGGAACAGTAGCTTGTTTAGGGTACTGGAAATTGCAGCTGTGTTAGAGGTAAACGACAGCTCCAGGTTTCCTGAAGCGGAAATGTCCTTTAAATGTGTGGTTTGTATGCGGTCTTGGTCACCTTTTGTTCTGACAGACCTTTTGTGTCATCATGCACAAATTTAACGGCTGTAGTTTTCCCCATCACTATACAGTGGTACCCTGGGTTAAGTACTTAATTCATTCCGGAGGTCCGTTCTTAACCTGAAACTGTTCTTAACCTGAAGCACCACTTTAGCTAATGGGGCCTCCTGCTGCCGCCGCGCCGCCGGAGCACGATTTCTGTTCTCATCCTGAAGCAAAGTTCTTAACCTGAAACAATATTTCTGGGTTAGCGGAGTCTGTAACCTGAAGCATATGTAACCTGAAGCGTATGTAGCCCAAGGTACCACTGTATATCCAAAGTGGGAAAATCTGCACCTATTGAATTTCTGCCTGTTGCACAACTGTTAAAGTTTGGGGAGTTCTGTCAGGGAACATAACGGTGCTAAAGAGGTGGTTTGTTTGTTTTTAAATGTGTGCCATTTCTTTCTCTGAACTTACATCACCTGCTTTTTTATAATAAATTTTATTAGTATTTTCCACACAACAACACGAAAAATATCAAAAACTAACAATACACAAAACACAAAAACCAGCATCCCAAAAACCCCCAAATCCATATCTTACAAGTTAATAATATAAGCACTAAAAAGAAAAACAAACATTGACTTCCACCAATCCCACAGCACCTCCTTTACCTCTCATTATGTCTTCCTGTTTTCCTTATCTCTATCCTAGCATCTAGATATAAATCCCTCTTTCTTATCCTTTCACTTCACAAGGTTATTCCAGGCTCAGCCAGATTTCTGTCCTCGAACCTTGGCTTTTAAGGTATTCATTTAGGCACTCACATTCCTTTTTCACTTCACTTTTTGGTTCTTGTCTTATTGTATCTGTCAATTTGGCTAATTCTAAATATTCACCTGCTTTAATCCTGTAAAAATAAAAAAATCACCGCTTTAGACCAGCTGCGGTAATAAGTGGGTGGCTATTTTGATGATTACTCTGGCCTTGGACTAAGGAGGCTATTTCCACTTTGCAAGAGGTAAACGACAGCCTTTCAGATCAAAAGGTAAAGTACAGAAATTAAAACAAGGAGATTTAAATGTTAAATCCAGCTTTCAGTGTAAAGCGGACAGCCCAAAGCTTTGCTGCACATTTCCCTGTCTGAAAGTTGGCGTTCTAGTTGCCTGGAGACAGAAGTAAACAAAAGTATCTTGGTGACAAGAGTGCGAAGTTTCCTGGAGCTGCCTGCTGCTGCTCTTCATGAGAAATGAAGGGGGGGGGATCCATCTTCTAGGGCTTTTGTCTTTTGATTTTCACCCAAAACGAAGTACAGTAGCTCCTCCAAGAAGTTTCCCACCAGGTACTGATAGTTTATCTTTTTGACATTTTTAGCAAGCTGCTAGGCAAACGAGGAACAAATGACTACAACACTAATGAGTGTTGGGTTTGGGTTAGAAGCAGCGTTTTCTCTGGGATTGTTACTTGGAGTCAGGTGCTGTGGGATTGAGACTACTAATAGGGCTGGTTAAAGGCAGAGAGAACCTGTCAGACTTGGGATAAAATGCTAGTTTTACAGCTCTGTTCTGATGATCAAAGATGGGGTGCACTCGCAGGCCTTTAAAGGTTGCGGTGGTGTTCAGAAGAGCTTATAATTATAATCCACTGCCTGAAAAACCAAACCTGTATTTATTATTGATTTATTAAAATACCTATATTCTGTATATGTGGCAAGAGGACGAATGCAGCTCAGGAACACATATCCTAGTGACTGGTGGGTATTTTGTGACTTTATATTGTGATTTCTTTTATTTTGTTGACTGTATTCTGTACATGTCTTTTTTATTATTAATATGCAGCTTAGCTCCTAGGCGGCCTTTGGGCCAAAATGTGGTACGTAAAGAAATCATACCATGCCATTATACAGGAGTGGCTGGTGGTGCCCATTGGGAATGATGAGACAGAAGGCAACCGTAGGTGAAGTCACAGCCAAAGACAGGCAGAGCTACCACCTGGCTGGTTGTAAGAAAGAAAGCAGGCAAGTAGGGAGATGCTGGGGTTGGTGGGGACAGTGCCCCATTTACCCTTATGAACCAGCCCCCAATGCCATGATATTAATTGTGTATGTTTACTTTTGCTCTTTGCGTAATATAATAAAATTATAAGTGGAGTAATTTCCCTGATTTTCTTCCAGTTCTGCATTCCTAAGAAACTGGATTACTTCTCCCAAGGGATTTGAATATGCTTGTTACTGAAGAATGGTGGAATTATATTAGGTAGTTTTGATGTGCTTCGAGCATCTCAAAGAAAGATCACATCTACAACATTTTGTATTGCAGAAAGTGTGTGCAAATTGCTTGGGAAATTTACGGAGTTGCCAATCCTTTTTTCACATATGATGGAGAGTGAAACTATATTGGTCAAACAAAAAAACTTCAGGATTATCAATAAGTGTCTTTTATGACAGTTAGTCATTCTTATGGGTTATTTAAAAAGAAATGCAAGAAGAAAACATGAACCTGTCAGCAACTTATGATTGAAAGCCAGAGCATTGTTAGCAAAATATCCCATCTATTTTTTCTGAGTGACTGAGAAAATTTGGCAGATAGCCATAAGGAACAAGTTAACATGCTTCAGATATTTATGAGGCAGGAAAATACACTGATTATTAGAATCAAGTTAAAGCAGAAATGAATGTACAATAAGCATTAACTACAATTTAATGTACTCTGAATAATATTTATGAATTATATTGCTGGTGTATTTTGTTGCTTTTGTTGACACCCGTCTGCCTTGAGAGACATTGGATGCACATGTGCCTCCGGGGGTGAAATCAAACCACATGGTCATTTGAAGAGCGCTCATGATACAATTTTTCTGCCTAATAAAAGCTATTCTGTCTCTCCAATGGGACAGTGATATGAGTTTTTGAGAACACAGAACCTGTGGAAATGAACAATCAACTGAAGTACAGCCTTTCTCCCTGAAAATGCAAACAAGCATGCTAATAGAAGCCCCATGAAGCAATTTGCATGCATTTATTGGGAAGAGTGGTGCCAATTCTTTAAAAAGAGCTACCATGTGGAAAATCCAAAGCACATTAAATCTTATTGAGAGGGTATTAAATAATCTTTTGGAATATAGCTAAGCCCAAGAGAGAAACTTCACGCCAGTATCATAGTTCATTTCTGTATGGATAAACAAGGAACCTGGGTACACATATCTAATAGTACTAAAGGGCATTTTTGATTCTCTGCTCAACCCCATGCAGCCATTATCGTACATACTAATTCAAATACTGTTTTGTAAGTTAAAGATTACTGTAGCACTATTTTTTACTAATACAGGTTTCCAAGTTCTGTCATGAGTCATGGAAATGGAATGTTGACCTCAAGGCATCACCGGGGAAACAGCAATGCTGGTTCTAAGCATCTTTCAGAGTTGAACAACAGTCAAATCGCCTAAGCAAAAAGCTGCTGAGCACCTACTGTTCAGTGAAGAGAGTTATGCCATCTTAAGTCTCAGGTAATCCATTTAAGGTGTTTTCTGCTTCTTGAAATCTTTGTGATATTTGTAATCGTCATGCTGTTTAATTAATTTTAGGTGCTGTTGTGTTCATTAGTTTAGGTTTCTTCCATAAATATTATTCAGATATAACTGAATTATGTTTTTGTTCTCTATCATCAAATCTTTTTATGTATCACTGCTAGGAATACTACCAAATAAAGAACAGAATGTCTGATAATAGAAATATTAGCAGTTATTAATTACAGTACGCTAGGCACTGCAGTTGGGTTTAGAACATAGACAAGATAACTTGCTATTTTAGGCTGCGATCCAAACCCCTAGTCGACAGTGCTGGGGTTTGACGGAGCAATATATTTTACTTTAACATAATATGATAAAATTATGTCAGTTAAAGTGCCATAGGAGCATTTGATTTTTCTTAACCAAAGTAGAAAATCCAAAGGTGTCTGGGAGATAGGCTTCCTGGTTATTACTTTTAAGTGAGGAGGATGGGAAAGAGATAGCTAGCTATGGGGGACAAATTTCTGCACTAAGGGAGCTGGCATAGGACAGCCCCAGTCTCCTTCTGACATTAGATATGATGGCAGAATTCAGAAAAAGCTTTGCTTAGGGTAGTGGGTTTTATGGAGGGACAAGCTTAATTGGATACAAAGGCAAAGGGATTACCCCAACCATAGGTAACAGCATGGAAGTATGTGAAAGGGACCTACAGAGCTTCATAAGCGAAGTGAGCTAATGTGGAGTGGAAAGAACAAAGGGGGATACAGGGAGATGTACGCAGAGATATAGTCAGGGGCGGAGAGCTTTAAATGTGAAGAGGGAGCGCATAGGGTCGATCGTGAAAGCCAGGAGCTGGCATAGAGATCATAGCTGTGTGAGTGGTATGATCATAGCAGCAGGAGGAAAAAGCTGCTTTTAGTAGAAGCATTCTGAATTACGGTAATGAATTAACTATTACTTCAGTACCGCATCACTGAGCAAAATTGCACAGAGGAAGGCTGGGGGAGGGGAAAAGCCATTTCATAGGACAGTTTAGTGCTGCACAAGAATTTTCCTTCTGGGAAAATAGGAACCTGCCAGACTATTATTTCATCTCTCCCAGTTCTGCCTGCTCAAAACAATATTGGCTCTCCAGACTAGTCTGAGGTGGAGGTCTTCCTCATCACCTGCAACCTGACTCTTTGAACTGGACATAGAATCATAGTCGGATGGGACTCCAAGGATCATCTAGTTCAACCCTCTGCAATGCAGAAATCTCAACTAAAGCATCCGTGGCAGGTGGTTATCCAAGCTCCGCTTAAAAACTTCCAAGGAAGGAGAGTCCACCACCTCCCGAGGAAGACCTTTCCACTGAGAACAGCTCTGTCAGGAAGTTCTTCCTGATGTTTAGTCAGAATTTCCTTTCATGTAACTTGAAACCATTGTTTTGAGTCCTACCTTCCAGGGATTGAATTCAGGACCTTATACATGTAAACAGAGGCATAGGAAGATCAGGTGGTACCTGGTGCAGAAAATTTCTTGTCACCCCCCCACACACACACACATTGGGGGGGGTTGTTTGTTTTTTGCCTGCAAAAATGGTTTTACGTTATTTCATATTTTCTTACAAAGGAATGTGGATTCTGGGCCTCTGATAACAAGTAGGCGACTATGGACAGATACTTAAATCTACAGGATGGATTGTGTTTTGGCTTGTGTTATTTTATTTATATTTATTGTTTATTTAATAAAATTTATTTTAAAAAACCTGCAAAGTGGTTTACCAAAACACACACACCAAAAAACACCACCACCACAGCAGTAAAATCAAGAAAAATTAACAATCCTACTTTAAAACATACAAAAGCTAAAATATTAAGATTAAAATTACTTCAACTTTCTAAGCATCTAGGTATGCTTGCCTAAAGAAGAATGCTTTTAGCAGGTGCCCAAAAAGAGTCTAGCAAAGGCAAGTGCTTTGTTGCAATAGGCGGGGAGTTCTAAAGTGCAGGTTCCTAATATATTTTTATTAGCTAGGTTTTGTACAGGGGAATCTATTATCACATGCCACATTCAGACAGAATGGGAGTGAATAGAAACACAGGAAGCTGTATGATGCTGAGCCAGACCAACTGGTCCAGCTACCTCAGTATCATCTTTCTACATTGAGTGGGAGCATCTCTCCAGGATTTCAGACAAGGATATCTCCCAACCCTACCTAGAGATGCTGAAGACTGAGCCAGGGACCTCCTTCTGCATGCAAAGCAGATGCTCTACTACAGTACTTGGTCATCCCTCAGAGGCTTGGGTGAGATGGCCTGTGGGTGGATAAGTTCCATAAGACAGGGAAGGCAGATGTGACCTATCTGTTTACACTTGTTCATTTTCCATGATCACTGGCATTCTGTCTATTGTATTTTTGCCAGCATTCCCATTTGTTGTTTCTTAATTTGTCATGCCTGATGGGGTGATTTTGTTTGATGTCAGTTCGTTACTATTTTGCATACTAATTACCTTTAAACTCAAACAAATAGAGATTGCAATACATTCTCTCCTCTTACTTGGATGAGTTACGCATATTCTCTCTCATTAAGCAGAGGCTGTTAGATCACAAATTTCAAAAACTTTACCGCACTAAGTGAAGCGTAGGTGATAACAGCAAGAACCTTTATTGAGCCACAGAGCTGAACAACAGGGACAAAGCAACTGCTTATATACATTTCTGAGGGCCTGGGCCACTCCTACTCCCAACGTGATTGGCTGTCTAAACTTCCAAGCTGTGAATCTTGACTCAGAGTTTAAGGGTCAATGGCAGAGGCCCACATCCTGAAATGTTCTGTGATTGGATATCATGTATTGAATCAGAACACAGGAACTCATAATTCTTAATCCAGACTCAAGCTCAGGCAAACACAGACCACTGAATGCATAACACTAAGCCCATCTGTATGCTCATCTGTTTACTTAGGTTTGTGCCCAACTATTTTTATAATTTAGATACCCCTTTGTATCATAGAGTTTTTATGTTAGCCCATTCAAATGCATTCCTCTCATTTGTACTGTCTGGAAGGTTCCAAAAAATACCCTTCCAGAATAGACTTTGCTCTTGTGGTATGAATACACAAGATACAATATACCATGTAATTATGGACTGCCCCCTCTTCAACACACTTCAGAGAAACCTACTGGTGACTCCTTTAAAGCTTAAAGTATCTACTTGCAAAGAATTTGTCATCCAATGTCTGTTGATGGGTGACTATTGAGATTGTGTCAGGATAATTAGCCGAGATTTTTTAAAGTCAAATTTTAAACTACTTAACAGTTATTTAATGGTGGCTATTGAGTATTTTATGTTTTCAATGTGTCTGGATTACCAATGTTTTATGGGGTTTTTTTCTCTTTTATGATTTTATTGTCTAAATTATGCCAATAAAGGCTAAATGAATAACTGAGTGCATCCTACATTTATGAAAGCAAACTCTTTGTTTATGTGGACATTAGATTAACTGACACTGTTGGCATTTCTGCAAGCCGTTTAGTAAATGGAGGTTATATTGCCCTATAAGTGGGCTGTAGTTGGTTTGATTAGTTCATCTGAAGCTCATGATTAATAATGTTTTCTTGCCCTTGCAAAGGTCTTACAGATAATACTTCAAATAAAGATGTCAACAGAGAACACAACTGAGCCGATTAAACACCTTGACAAGTAAGTTAGTCATCTAGGATTTCCATCATTTAAGATACCATTCATTTGACATAAATTGTTAAGGCAAACAAGACTTTGTGATGATGTTCATCATTACTAAAGAATGTGACATTGCTAAGAGCTGTTGACAACATTCAATACGCAAAGTCTGTCTTTTGTTCATATTGCAGATATTTTCCTCAACTTTGTCAAAGTGTTTTAACTAGTTGATGTACAAATTCTTTATAGACAATTATTTATATCCCACTTTTCAGAATGGCTCACTTAAAAAGCAAGCAAACAAAAGTTCCATAAATCTCTCTGCAGGTTCTGATACTCTTTGGGCAATCTGAGATACCATAGTAGAAATAAAAAGCGTTTTTTAAAGTACAGTATAGCTGAACTAAAATTTGAATTTTTGAAGTCAAATAAAACCCTCTTTGCAGGTTTTGAGAACAACCTTGAAGCATTCATGATGGCACAGCTAGAAATAAATCATAGCATGGTTCCTGATAAAAAGTAGTGAAAGCCAGAGAAAAACAAGCTGAGCTAAAGGTACAAACCTCACACATTTCCACAGGCTGCTGTTTCTCAGGAAGCAAGGTCATTGCAGTAGGTTATCATTTACATTCTTCTCAGATACAAATTTCACAAGGTCAACAAGCATAAATAATTTATCCATGTTTCATGTATGGGTTCCTGCAACCAGTCACTCTGACACCTGCTGTCACATTTCTCATAAGAAATATAATTAGTACAAACACAGGTAGTAAGAGTAACCAGCATTTTCCAAAGGAATGAAGTATTGGCTAGTCTGGCTATGTTTGGGTTCACTGTGTTTATATGATACAAGAATCTGATTTGGTTTCTATCTGTGAAAAACAGAACCCCTTTGCCCATGTTGGAGGAGACTCAGCTGCATTTATTTACTTCAGCTCTGGGAGGAAAGCAGTGCTGGAAAAGAGACATGCAACTATTTGGCAGAATTTCAGTGCTCTTGAAATCATGTCCTTGAGCCCATGGAATCTGCTGGGAATGAAGCTAACAGTTAGCTGCATGTTGTAAGGCTCATGACGTGCACATTTCTAGGTCCAAATTATTTTTTGTGTATATTTGTTACCTCTAAAGTTGTTGGCATCCGTCTGTCTCGAGAGACAATAGGGGTGAATTCAAACTTATTTTCATTCCACTTTTCAGATTTGAGCCTCAAACCAGCTGGGGATCTGTTGCTCACTTTTGCCAAAAGATGACTTAGCTATATTGCAGGTTGCCTCTTCAATGTGGCTGACTTCCATGAGTCATTAACCTGCACCAGGTTGGTGGACAAGCCAGGATACATGGTCCTGACATTCCAGCTTGCTAGGCCCAAGATAGTTTCTTTCTTTACTCTGTTGCCTGGTGCAGTGGTTCAGTCTGCTTGTTATACTCTAAGCTACACATGCCCATTGAAGCAGGTGGACAGTGGCGGGTCTGCACCGTATTGACCGGGGTCTGCCTGGCTTAAGATGGGCGGTAGCTGACCAGTGAGACACAATGATCTCTCTCCCACTGACAAAGGCAACCTGTAGCGCTGGTACCTTATGCCTGTCTGGTTGAGCTTATAACTTGTAGCTGCTGCCTCCCACATTGTTTTTGCTGCATTAGCAGCACTGAAGCGACCTCTCCAGGGAGCAAGCCTGGGCAGTGTATATGGAAGTCCTGGGCTGCCCAGACGACAAGACCCCTTCTAGGCCTCACTGATGTAATCCAAAAGAAAACAAAATAGTACATTTTATACCAACTTAGCTGCAGGAGTTGCCAGAAGGAGGCACAAAAGATGCCATCCAACCGCCTTAGGGACTCCACTCTGGAATTGTGTAGGGTTTACTCCTCTGTCTTTCTTTTCCCCAAGGATATCCTGAATGGCAGCAGATAGAGATTATTTCTCAGAGGTTACTCCCAAAGCCTTTCTCACAAATGAGTATAGGCAAAAGGCAGTGGAGGTTTAAAGCCAGAGTTTTCCTCCTGGGTGGTCTACCTTCCCAGGTTAGCAAGCCCCATCTGCCCCTCATTTCCCTCTACAGCACGTGCAGATGCACTATTGATCTTGTCCGCTCCATCCACTGGAGCCTCTCTTCACATGCAGGGGGTAACAAGTCCCTAACTCACTGAGAGTTTAAACCCATCAGCTGCCCACACCTGGTTTAGCTGACCAGTAATAATACTTTCCCAGGGTGTGGATGCTAGCACATGCTGACAGCTTCTAGGAGCCACAGGTGACAGCTGAGTGTAGAGTGGGGACCAAAGGTGTATGAGGTGTCAGGGAGGGGCAGTGCCTCTGGTGGGGAGCATGTCATGCTTCCTCGGGGGTAGTTTGACCACCTTTGGCCCCCCTCTGCACTCAGCTCTTACCTCTAACAAATATGGGTGTAAATAATTTGTCTTATGGCAACTGGGACATGCTCTAATGAAACTGCTAGAGCCATTCATTCTTCAGCCATTAAGATTTTGGAGCTGGAGCCAGAGATGGATACTCTATTCCATATGGACTGATCCCCTGAAAAATTAATGTGATTTGGCACTGCTACTGTCAATTTGAAGTCACGCCAGCAGACCGACTCTGCATTTTTATTACAGCTCCTAGCATTAATTGTTTCAGCTCAAGATCTGGACATAACACAAATGTCATGCATGTTTTATAATGCACAATTCTGCTGTCAAAGTATCAAGCCCAGGTGATCTAAAATTTGTAACACTGCTTGCTGGAATAGCTTTTTTAAAATGCATTTTTTTTTTTTGGTAGACATTTTCAAAATAGTTTTCTATTCTAATTTTCAAGTATTTTCTTTAAGAAATTTCTAATACCTCTTGTTTTTAATTGTTAAATAATAAATTCAAAGTTAGGGTTTGATCTTTCCAGCACCAGTGTGTGACCCTCCCTTTTAAGGGTATCCTTTGCTAGAGGCAAGATAAGATATGCCAGTCCTGGTTCCAAAATCTGCTGGACAAATCTGACTAGCAACGAGACCACTTTTTATTTGTGATCTGTTTTGCCCACAATTTGCCCGGTTAGTTTATGAAGCCAGAAAGCAAGACTGTGTGTCACTTCTATTCTGATAGTTGGCAATGTCAGGGGACTCCACACACATAACCCCCAGGAGGTACATGAGGAAACGTTATAGCTTAGTGGTAGAGCATCTGTTTCGTATGCAGATGAGGCCCAGGTTCAATCCCTGGCATCTCCAGGAAGAACTGGAAGACATCACTGTCTGAAATCCTGGAAAGGCACTGACAGTCCACATAGACAAAACTAAGGGCAAATCTACAATGGTCAGTTAAAACATTTAAAATGTGTTATAAAAATGTGACACCAGAGGCTGCTGTAGAGCAGTGATCCGCCATCAATAGAAAATTGCATTGACAGCTTTCTTACATTTTTATTTTTCACAGCATTTTTACAATTGATGTAGATCCAGCCTAAGCTAACATGAACACTGACAATGCTCTGACTTCAATTGAGGCAGCTTCCTCTATTCCTATGATGATGGCAGGCCAAAGTGGAGGGTGGGTGTCTTCAAAGTACCGTATTTTTCTGTGTATAACACGCCCCCTATTTTTGGGGACACAAATTTAAGAAAATGGGGGGAGATTGCCAAAAGTTGTTGAGCTTTTTGGGGGAGGATTGCCCAGGGTTCTTGAGCTTTTTTCAAGGGAAATGCTGAAAATCACTAACCCAACTGACAAACACTGACAATTGCTCACGTCACTGAAGCCAACATGTGTCTGCCTGCTCACCAACGGCAGACAGCAATCGCAACCCATATTGCCAAAGCGGCAGCCCTTGACACAGCAACCAATCACCCACCCAATTACCACAGCAGCAGCCAATCCAAAACAGCACTTGACGCAGCCCCCAATCACCCCCCAAAAAACCACTTACAAGCTACTGCTCGCGGCTGCAACCAATCACCCATCCCCCCCACACACTATCCATATATAAGATGACACCCCCCCCTTTTGACATTATTTTTGAGTAAAAAAACCTCATCTTATACAGTCATACCTCGGGTTGAATGTGCTTCGGGATGAGTGCGTTCGAGTTGCGCTCCGCGGCAACCCGGAAGTAACGGAGCGTGTTACTTCCGGGTTTTGCCACTTGTGCATGCGCAGACACTCAAAATGACGTGATGCGCATGCACAGAAGCACCGAAACGTGGCATGCGCAGACGCGTGGACACGGATTACGTTTGCTTCTAGATGTGAACGGGACTCTGGAACAGATCCTGTTCGCATCTAGAGGTACCACTGTACATGGAAAAGTACAGTAATTTATATTATGTCTCTATCATGGTGAAGATACCTTGTAAATGAATGTGTTTAGTGCAGTATGTAAGGAAATAAAAACACAATTGGTTCCTATACTCTGTAAAAGGTAAAGAGTAAAGGGACCCCTGACCGTTAGGTCCAGTCGTGGATGACTCTGGGATTGACATATTTCAAAAAGTAAAAGCCAGGACACCCCGGATTTTTAAATTTTTTTTTACAAAAATCCCCCCAAAAAACCAACGCCTAAGATCCAGGACAAAGTGCCGCCTTTCGAAAATTCCCCCCAGACGTCAATTCTGCCTTTGAAATCCCAGTAATGTCCAGGGAAAATGTCTGGACATATGGCAGCCCTAGTTTAGGCAAGCCTATCCAAACATGAAGAGGTTACGTGTGTTTTAATATGTTTTCAGCTTATTGTTGATTTAAGTTTCTGAATGATTTCAAATGTGTTTTTTAACATTATGTTCTTTAAAATTTTAATGTTTTGTTTTATTTTACTGTAAACTGCTTATTTAGATTCAAGCATTGTATAAATTTTGTTAAAAAGATAGGTATGAAGTGAGGGCGGGGAGAGGGGGGGATTACAACAACCTGAATACACTTTACCTTTCTTATTTTACACTGCTGTCATAGCTGGGCATTCTAATATATGCCTTACCTTTAACTCCATAACCTTTTAACTCATTCGGTTTCTTGTTGGACAGGAGTCAGAGCCAGTCTTTCCTGCCTACGATTCCGCATGTTTCTGGAAGCAGAGTGCATTCCCTTGAAGACCGGCTGTCCAACCAGGAGAGGACCACAGCTGTCCTCCTGGATCAGGCCTTTCGGATCAAAGATGGCCTCGTTTCTTACCTTCATGGAAATAAAGGCGTTCAGCAAGGGGAGACAGCAGCACGCCAGCTCCTGGAGAACCACATACAGACGATCACAAGCATAGTTAAAAAGCTGAGCCACGACATAGAGGTACCACCACCGCAGTTGTGTTTGGCATTGCCGACAATTTGTTAAAGCTCTGGTTTATTCAGTAGCTATGTTGTGTTCAGCTCCAGATGGGTTTACTTAAGATTAAGTTACTTATAAAATATGCATATCTTTGTTCTCCCCAGGAGGCAGCAAGTCTAGCCAGCTAGCTGCCAACATCTGCTTTTTGCACTGACTTCTGAATGCAAATTACCTGGGAGCGATGATCACCATTAGGACAGGGGAAGCCTCAAAGGACAGATTCTGACTTGTTGCTCAGATACATCTCTTACGCCCAAACTAGGGAAAAGAGGGATTTGGGTAGAAGAACTTTGATTCCCATTCCCCCATAAGTCATTGCAGAACTTGGATGTTGCTTATATATTCAGAAAGAGTACATGCAGGCTTCAAGATCTATGTACAGTCGTACCTTGCTTCTCAAGCAGAATCCGTTCTGGAAGTCTGTTCGACTTCTGAAAGTGGTCAAAAACCATGGTGCGGCTTCCGATTGGCTGCAGGAGCTTCCTGCACTCAATCGGAAGCCGCGTAGCCGTGTCGAACATCCGGCTTCCAAAAACATTTGCAAACCAGAACACTCACTTCTGGGTTTGCGGCGTTCGGGAGCCAAAGCGTTCGAGTCACCAAGGTAAAATATGTACTAGTTTATCTTCAAAGGCATTTTCAGCTGAGTATCCAGAAAGGTAATTTTGACTCTCTTTTCTTTGCACTTTGGCCCCTGGAATTCAGAGACAGTGCCATCGTTCTGATTCTTTCTCCATGCTTAAGTGATAGGTGATGATTCTCCAAAGCAACTAGAGCAGAGCTTTCCAAACTTTTCATGTTGGTGACACACTTTTCAGACATGCATCATTTCATGTGACACAGTAATTCAGTTTTACTAGCAAACCAGAGGTTAAACTAACCCCTTTCCAGCCCTGGGAGGAGCGCTGGGAGAGTTCACGCGACACACCTACACACTGCAGCCAACACACTAACGTGTTGTGACACAGTTTGGAAAGCTCTGACTTAGACTCTAGCCTTCCTGAAACATTTTAGGGCCCTTGTGTCTTTGCCCTATAACAATAATCCAGGAAGCATTCCCTGGTACAGCTCAAACACTAGAGAAACACCAACAAGACACCCCCATCCCCAGAGCTTAAAAATTTAGAACTACAAGGTGGCAGAATTATGGACTATAGCCTTTCAAATTGCAGGTGGGGAATGTTTCTCCATACTCTATTGATGAAAAAAGCTCCCTACTATATGTTTCTGGACCTACCTCAAGTGTTTTTTTTTAGGATTCTACAGCCAGCTTCCCTCATACCTTATGTTTTGCTTACAGATTATTGTGGCTTTCTCTTCTTCCATGCATGAAACTGGGTGTTAATTGGGGGTCAGGTAGTTGCAATCCCCCACCCCACCCTCTTGAGTCGAGACATTTATTTTACCCACACACAAACTTAGCATTTAAAAAACTGTCATAATAATGAAATACTTCCTGGCACAAAGGTTGTTTTTAATTAGCCTCTTTTGCACTGGAAGAAGAGACTGCCATAATAACCATGAATTTGGATCCTGGCAGAGTTGGCCACCAGGGAGACTGTAAGCTAACAGCCCTATTCTCAGAGTCATAGCAACTATACTGATGGAAGCATTAATGATATTCCACATGAGGAGGTAAATTGAGTAGAGTCATAAAGCCACGATGGATTTCTTTGGTTTGTCCTGCTACTTGCTAAGCAATCAGCACTTCCATGTCATATAAAATAACAAAACCATTAGGAGGACAGACACATTCTAATAGAGTATTTCAAATTATGGGGAGATTCAGCATAATTAAAAATGTTTTAAAAGAGTACTTAAACATTGTTGTTTCAGTTATATTCATGAAATAATAATGAATCACTTAGAACAAAGTTAAAGGCAGGTAAGGAGAGAATGTTCTCTATTCCCACACTCTCATGAATTCTCAGAATTAACAGCTTTATAGTGGAGTGAGACAGCTGGGGAAAAAATCACATCTGGCAACCAATGTTTCCCTTTGGTTTCAGATAGTACATGGGTAGACAAGTCTAAAAAGCACAGGACACAAATTTTCACGGCCCTCTAGCAGCTATAGTGGCTCGCTTATCAGAAGTAATGTATTTTGCATTAACTCTGGAAGTTTTTACTAGATTCTGACCAAACTAAGCCTCCTAGAGCAAAATAAACACCAGGTTTACCCCCCCCCCAAAAAAAATCATAGAACCATAGAATTATACAATTGGAAGGTATCCCCAAAGGTCATCTAGCCCAACCCCTGCAAATATGACCATAAAACCTTCACCCCAGCCTTATTTGATTTAACAGCATCAAACATTAAAGAAAATACAATACTCAGAGTGCACTTCCTGTTTCAGAGAGAGAAACACCCCTCTCACTGTATATAGCTCTCATGATTCACACCGTCACTGAAGAAAATAAATAAAATGCCTCATCTGGGCCTGAGTGTTACATATAATTGAGTGCCAGAAGTATCAGCCACATTAGCAAATGTACTGTGTGAACAATACAGGGGGAGACATTGTGTCCCGGGCTTTTCAGACTTGTCGACCCATGTAGTATCTGGAACCAAAGTGGCCCATTGATGGCCAGGTGTGAAATATTTTGGCATTATTTTCAGCTCTCCCACCCCACTATTAGCATTTAGTCCTTAGGTGGTGAACTTGTGGCACAGAGAGTATCAGTAACACAGTTTTGTGATATTCTTAGGCAGCCTGCAGCCTGGCTATGCGTGCCTTCCCTGTTAATAGCTAACAACAATATATTTCTTAAAATTAAGTTTCTGGGCAGCTCTAGAGGCACACACTATGGTCCAATTAAGGCATAACAGAAGCCATGGTTTCCTGATATCTGAATGAATTGTGGTGAGCCTTGTACTCACATGCTCCCCCTCCCCTTTCACCATGAGAATGGAAATAATGGTTTGTCTAAAGCTGATTTGTTAAAAGAAGCCAGGATAAATTTCAGAGCCTGGCTTGTTCAGGGCGCATACAACTCCAATTCATATAGTGGGAAATGATGATTTCCCCTTACATCTGAACCAGACCAAATGTCTTGCCTTTAGGGAGATGGGTGTGAGGAATGTAGTGTGGTTTCAAGGAACTTTCCTCCTAGCTTTGGCCTTCCTGCTTTCAGGTTATGCACGGCCTCCCTTCTTTCCATTTGGACCACAGCAAAGTCCCCATTTCCACAGTACAAACTGCTCTACACTTTCATTATTCAGCTGCCACTATGCTGTCAGACCTAGTTTATTCATCCATTGGATTGTTTGGTTTGGAGACCAGTTCACTTGCCAGGGAAAATATAAATAATGTGATTAGGGCCTTAGGAACCTTCCCCATATCTCAAGATTCTATATTGAATGTCGGCAATATGGATGAAAATTGTATACACAAAGACAGGCAGATATTGGAAGCTTTGACAGTGTGGGACCAAAGGTACCACCAGGTCTGAGGAACGTGATAATCTCTAAGGTAAAGGAATTGCCTTAGCCCATTAAAAATGTAAACCAGTGCAGACTCAGCTGCTCTTTAGCTTCCAATGTAAGGCCCCCATTTTAAGTAATAACAGCAGTTTGTGTGTTTGTATAACACGTGTTCTTATGTTGTGAACCACCACCCTGCAATCTTCAGATGATAGGTGGTATACAAATTTAATAAATAATAATAAAAGCAACAACAATAATTTGTATAAAACAATAAACTGAACACATATTTGTACAGTCCTTTGCAATTCTGCTCACATTATAGGTTCTGGAGAGGCAAATAAAATCAAGAGATGATGCAACATCAGGAACTAACTTTGCTATGCAGAGTCTAGACCATAAACACTTGCAGGGAGTTGGAGATCTACGTGGAAGAGTAGCTAGGTAAGTTTGACATACTCTATTAAGGGAAACCTACCTCAACAATATTTGCACCTTGGCTCACATTTACAACATCCTGGGCTGGGGACCCAAATACCTGAAGGAGCACCACTAGTTTTATCATCATACCTGCACCTTCAGATTTTTGGAAGAGGCCTTTCTCTGTGTTCCACCGTGGGGGCAGATGCATTGTGTGGCGACACAAGAAAGAACCTTCTCCATACAAACACCCCAACCCTAAAACGGAGTGTCCTTAAACAAAGCACATTACAATAACAAAACTACATGTTACATTAAATGTGTGGTTTGCCACCTTCTCTCTATGAACTGTGTGGTGGTGGATAGAGGCTGAACCAAATCAGAATTGGTGCTGGTGGCATAGGGAGTTATATTTCACCAGCGCTGTGGGCCTGATGAAAATTGCTCCCCTCAGCACCATTTGCTCTGAACAGGAAGCTGCTACTTGCCCAAAAGAACTTTCTCTCCTGGGGCAAATAGCAGCTTCGACATGCAGTGGCAATGATCAGTATCACAGCATCTGGGGGAAGTGTAGATCCCATTCCACTGCCATGGTACTGAAACACGTAGGCCTCTTTTTAAGAGGGAGACACAAGTGATTTAATGTATCGTGTAGTTTTGAAGTGATATTGGTTTTATGCCTTGGTTTTATAATTGAAGACTCCCATTTGTAGAACGCTGAACTGGTGCCTCTCAAGTTCAAAGCTGGAGGAAATGTTCTGTACATGTTGTTGTACATCACCCCAATTTCTGAGCAGTGAGAAATTCCAGGCTTTCCAGGATCTTACCCAGGGCTCATGTTTCCTTTTGGAAGTGGCACACAATGAAGACTGTGGAGTCTTCATGATATATGGTTTATTTACACATATATACACCACCTGAGCCTATGATGGAGCGGTTCACAACATGAACACCCAAAAACCATCTTGTTCTCCCACAGGTACAGCCTTGGATTCAAATAGAAATCAAACATTGCTCTGACTCTCCAGCTTGCTGCTTTACTTCTAGGTTACGTCACAGCAAAAATCTACTCCAGACTCCGGCACTATCTTCTAACTAACTGTGATCTGGGGGAGGGGCCCCACCCATTTGCTGTCTCACACAGAGCCCCGTTCCTTTGTTCCCTTTAATGGCCATGCTATCACCTCAACACAGGAAGCTAGCCTGGCTTATATTTTAACATTTGCTGGATGCAGAAGGATCTCACACAGAGCCTATTTCCTCTACCCCCAACTTATAATACTATGTTAAATTTTGGTATAAATATTGCCTCATTAATATTGCCACACAGTGAGATGATTGATAAAAATAGGATTCTTAACATGAGCTGAAACTAGAAACAGGGATATGGGGTAAGTTACAATGGTGCTGCTTTGCAGGTGGTTACTGGGTTTTAAATAGACTGGAATTGGAAAGAGGCTTTTGGACAGAAACTACAGGAATTGCACTTTCAAGCTTTTATCCATGGATCACAGAAGCTGTCTTGATTTCACAAACTCCTTAGTTACAAGAGTGAAACAAAAGAAATTATTTATTGGCCTTGGCATGGTATTGGTGTAGATCAAGTACACAAATATTAAGCAACATAGGAAAATGTGTGGTCGATGAAACTGAATTACCATTCAATACTTTTGCACAGATATTCCACCTGCCATGAGATCACCCCCTTTGGAGTAGTTATTGAACTTGGTCTGCGTATTTAATAGTGTCTCAGAGTGTGCATTATATTCTGGCCTTAAGGTTAGCACTGAAACACCGTATTAGGAATTGCAGGGGATAAACAATTTAAAATGTGACACTTTCCTATATAATTAACAGAGCAAGTAGTGATCTAAATAATTAGTGTTAGTTCCCTGGGTTATTTTATTAAAGTAAGGCCAATTTATTCCACCTTTTTTTGTGAGAGTGAGATGAGCGAGCACAAATCTCTAGGCTCAGCACAACCTCCTGACATTGCAGCAATAAAGGCTGGCTTTAGTAGCTGTATTTAAGCAGTCAATTTTAAATGAGTAATTGCTCTTGGATTAAGCTATAGTACAAGGGAATGATTGATACCACATTATGAGCACTTTTTGCATATTGCTTGTTACTAGTGCTCTCTTATAGAAATGTTGAGCTAGCCTAATTTGAAATACTGAAAAACCTCTAGTACAAAAGCTGTTACTATGCTTGCTTAGGACCCGCCTCTACACATCTGAAAGCTACTTTTCCATGTTCAGGGAATATGCCCTTCTAGAGCATGAGCGATGGGGAAAATTTATGCCCCCAGTGCAGCCCAGCCTGACGCTTCTCGCTGTGGGTGTTGGTTCTTCTGACGCCCAGGAGAGAAGCGCTGGGCTAAGCGGCTGTATGGGGACGGCTGCTTCAAGCCCCCTCAAAAATCCATGCCCAGGGCCATAGCCCCTCTGGCACCCCCCCATACTACACCCCTGCAACTCAGCAAGGCAGAAGAACCCAGTTTCCCCCAGTGCCAAACCAAAACCTAAGCTGCCATCCTGCAGCCACTTACCTGGGAATATGCCCCATTAAACACAAAGAGACTGTCTTCTGGGTGGACATGTATAGCATTGCGCTGTAAGTTAATTATACAATAAATTCTTAATAAAAGACTGTACTTTCCCTCCTGTAGAGAAATATATACCCACCAGAAAAATGCCTCCTTGCTGCTAAGAAAAACGGAAGGAGAAACTATGAAGCTGCCAAGGACTAGGAAATAAGAGTAAACTAGGAACAGTGCAATAAGGGATGGGCGTGTTGGATTCTCTTTAGGATCCCATGGACTCCTATTTCTTTGTATCCAAACAACGCACTTTTCAATCATAGCAATTATGCACCCATTGGCTAAAAGCACTGGTAGGCAGGAGCAGCCAGGCTGTCTTATTTCACAGAAATTTCTTAGGGTATCTACATGTTTTGCTTCCTAACTTTCTAAGAGGGCTATAGACTTATTTTTTATCTTAAAAAAGAAAGCTCAGCCTTTTGGTTCTGTGCCCGGGAGCACAAATGATTACCTCCATATTTGCAAGCCTTGATGTTGCCTAACAAAATAACATGACCATGGAAACCAATGCTACTGTACAGAACAGGTGTTACAGCAACTGCTCTGGTTAACATTTTGCACCAGTGTAGTTTCAAGATACTCTTCAAAGACAGCCTCAAATAGAATGAATTGATTGGAGGGGGTGTCTTTAGGTAAGAGTCAAAGAGCTAAGTGCATAGTGTATGGATTCTGCCTTATGGAGGAAAGTTAAAGGTTTGGGTCGATGCACTTCTAGGTGAGAGATGGTGTCAGGTATTGATGGGGCTGTGGGAATTTTTGAAGACTGTTAACACTACTTTGCATTCTGTTATCTACCTTTGCTTCCAGGTGTGATGCCAGCATTGCAAAACTCTCTGGAGATATAAATATCATCAGGCATGAGATCTCAAAACAAGAGAAAGAAATTCATGCAATCAAGTCTACTGTAGAAAATTATGCTAATAATTTGGAGTTGAAGGTGAGTGAATCTGAATGTTATTCAAATCTGTAAGGTGTGTCAGACATTGCCCCAGTTCCCCATTTGATTCCAAACTACTGACTGACCTTAGTGAAAGACGGAGGCTGAGTTCGAACTATAATTTAATGTACCATGAAGGAGTTACAGAAAGCCTTGGCTTACATGGTCTCCCATTTTGCTTCTTCTGTTGAGCAGTTTGGAAGAAATTACTACCATCTTTGCTTAATGACAGCTTGTATCATCTAAACAGACAAACTGTGGTTAGTGCTACCTATGGTTTGTTTAAAAGAATCCATTGGATTGTTAATACTAAATATTGCGAGAGGTAGTACTTCTTCAGTATTGAAAACTAAACACTGTACAAAGGTGTGTAAAATTATTAACATTAATAGAATGGAGTTGTAAGAATACACAGTTTATTCCAGGTTGTTGTTTTTTTAAAAAAAGATTGAAATCCCAAAATAATTTTAGATTTAATCTTACAGGAGCCTGATTTTCAGTGTTTTGTGCATTTGAGGCTCATGCTTGAGGGCAAAAGCTCAGTCTGGGAATGTCTATATTAAGAGGACAAAATTGTTTGTGAGCACAGAGAAGAGGCAATTTGCCCTTCCAGCCAGCATATAGATTAAGCTTTAGGAAAAGGTTTTGTGGCGACACAACCTGAAAGAAAGAACTTTGGGAGAACAGTGCTGTTTTATTAATCCTACAATTTACACAAGTGTCCTAAAATTATGTAAAAAGCTTATTTATATACTTCTGTTTGGTGTTTTGATTTACCTATGTGTGAATCTCTTCAGAGACACTTAATAAAGACCTTTGATAAACAAAAGAATGTAAGAATCATACCAAAAAAGAAAAAAAGAAAAGTTGCATAAGCCTGTCTGGAAAGCCTCTCTGTAAATCTCAGATATGTGAAATCTGGGTGTGGTTAGCAAGCGATGAAGACAGAGCGTTTTGTTGTTCACTTCAGTTCCACAGCAGCTCTCTTGGAAACAAGCTGGCACTCAGGAACTGAAATTTACAGCCCTTTGCAACACAAAACATCAACAAGCAAGGAACTTGCTGAGGAAATTCGTAATTCATTTTAAAACTTTAAAGGGAACCTTACTACTAACCTGCTCTTAGGCATTCAGGGCCTTACAGAAAGGAGGCAAAAAGGCAGCATCCAAACTGTTCTGAGGTAATGAGCCAGCTGCCCATAAAGGTGACTGCTGCCAGCCTCAACTCTGCCACTGAGCATGTGCAGACTTATTAAAGTAATAGACAACAGTGGATTACACTTTCATATCAATAAGATTGGCTATTGCTTGCTAGCTCTACCTTGACATATATAGGCCTGTAACCCCAAAACATGTCAGCACCAGGCACCCTTAGGCATTAGCAATGTCTAGGCAACACGATGACCATGTACATACGCAATAAACAATCTTTTATAGAATTCCTTCAAACCATAACAAGTCCAAAATGAAATCTTTAGTCTCAAAGTCTCTGATAATCTTTAAATGAAGCGAGGTACCAGACTTTGTATGATGAAAGACAAGCTGTGAATCTTTGTGTATTCAGCTAAATAAATAAATAAATAAAGATTTTCAGAGACTTTGAGACTAAAGATTTCATTTTGGACTTGTTATGGTTTGAAGGAATTCTATAAAAGATTGTTTATTGCGTATGTACATGGTCATCGTGTTGCCTAGACATGGCTGACGTTCTCTTTGCAACACAGGGGTTTGTTTGGTTACTTACTTTTCAGCATTAGACAGGGCCCACCACTGCTGGTGCCTCCCCTGGATTCCTAGCCACCCACCCACCCACCCAACTTACTGAGTGATAGACAGCCAAAATCTTCCCACAGAGCCCTGGAGCATCAACAATCGTATCACTCAAGGGAATTGTGAGAAATTAATAGTAGTTGGTTTAGCCATTCACTGCTGTTACCGGGTAAACCCACGTTCATGGCGGCCTCCCAACATAGTAGTGTGTGGGGAGGGTGTCCATAGAGGGCACTTTACCAATAGCCCCCTTACACCTGGAGTCAGTCTCCTTCACTAGAGGATTTTAAGCAGAGGTTGGGTGGCCATCTGTCTTTAGTTGAGATTCCTGCATTCCAGGGGGTTGCACTAAGTGACCCTCTAGGTCCCTTTCAACTCTATAATTCTGTCATTTTTTGACAAGTATGTAAGATAAAGACTGTTGATGTATCTTCATTACAAGAACTTTTTAAACTGCATACTTTTTGAAGGTATCTGATCTAACATGAATGTTCAGATGTTTGCAGTAATAATAGAAAATAAGCTACCCACGTACATTGCTACATACTGTATAATATTCATATAATATTCTCAGTTTTGGAGATTAAGCCCTGCTCTATTAAAAACCAAAGCTATTCTTTAGCAGGCATTAGGTGGCTGGTCTTTTCTTTTGCTTCAGTAATGCCTTCATTCTTCATAGGATAGTAGCCACACTTTATTTCCCAATCTCCTGTATTCCTTACTGACAGTTTACTGTCTTTCTCAAAGGACAGGTATTCTTGAGAGGGTGCGAGTGGAAATATTTCACCAGAAAAATGTGGTCAGAGGCATGTTTCAAACCTGTCTTCCTCTTGGCAGAAAATGGTGCTTCCGCAATCCAAGTAAAATAGAATAAATGCACGTCATGAATCACATATACCAGAATACCAAAGAATGTAAAAACAAAGTTAGTCTTTTCCTATGGAGAGACATCAAGCAGGGTAAAAAATGACAAATAAAAGCTCAACAGGAAAAGACACACACAGAGAGAGACAGACAGGGGGAAATGTCCAGAGCTTAGCCACATATCCAGAAATAATCACGATACAGCCCTCCCTGGATTACAAAACAGAACTTCAACAGCTAACACTAAAAATCTCATACCACTTTGTCCCTTCAAGAGTACTAAACTGGCTTTGTTCATTGATGGCCTGTGGTCAATTGTAGTGCAGTTGTACCTCAGGATACATTTCCCAAATATAAAACTGATTTTTCCTCAATCTTATCTAAGCACCCTTATGTACTCTCCAACTCTATCATGACCCTAACATTTTAGTCAGTTATAACTGCTCCTGAAAGCCACACTGAATTCACTGGGTTTTAAGAGTTGTCAATACACATAATTCAATCAGCGAAATTCTGGCGGATACTAAATTATTTTGTACCAGTTGATGGCAAGCCTTTATTACTGAGTTAAATTAATTCTGAGAAAAGCTTTTAAGAATGGGCCTGTCGGAAATTCTGGCTTTTCCCACTCACTGCAGCAATAATGTGTGTTTAATGTAAGTGCTGGAATTCTGCCTTATAGTGTTCCCTGTTGAATTCTTATTAGGTAATGCAGCTTTTAGGCAAGATAGACACTTCAAACTCAGAGCAAAACTCAAATTTGAAGGCAATACAAGGAAATCAGCATCATGAATTGCAGCTCCTGGATCTCAAGTAGGTGGTGAAAGCTTTTTAACTTTATTAACACACCTAGTTTAGGCCAATGGAATTTTTTTGAGGGAGCAAAACAGAACCATTTATTTACATGCTTTTGGGAATCCTGACAAACTGGTGAGAAAACTTCGATAGAAACCTAACAATATTGGTCGCAGAGTAAATTGCCAAAGTGATACTGTTGCCCCTCAAAAAGCAAAGGAAGAATTGCACTTTCCCCCTTTATTGTAATCGTTTATTATGAACCATAGCCCAGAGATTATGCATGTGCAAAGATGTTTGCACCTTGTTTCCTTGCATTTATAAATCTTTTTGTATAGAAATCTAGCACATCCATGAGAAAGAATTCCGCCAAGGCCCCTTCTTGATGGTTTAGTTTTTTTGTGTGCAAGTGTTTTCTTTGTTTTGCTTTGTGTTGTTTTAATGTGGTGAAGTATTCAGAAAAGTAACAATAACTTTGCTTACTGGAGACATTAATGCCAAAAGTCTTTTTACGAGGGGTGGTGACGGATTATGAGGCTCAAGGTTTATTTTTTGCAACCCACCCCTTTCAACTTTTCACTCCACACTAAGGTCTCTCTACACAGGGCTTCTGGTTTTCTCTGCCAATTTCTTAATTTATCTGTGACTCTTTTTCTATATATAACTAATTCAAAACTTAACTACATGAGTCATGCTAAAATGAACCACAAAATCACATAGGTTCAGAGCTATGAGTAAAACATGGCCTTGAGTCACTTCACCAATTATTGCTGATGTTATGGATGTAGGTACACACTCCCACAGAGAGACTCCCATCTCTGGCTCATGCTTTGTCACTGTTGTTCATATCAAGGCGTCTCATCTCTTACTTTCAGGATGGTCTAACTAGGCCTGTGTTTCAGATCCTCAGGCTACGCTTTGGAGATTTCGTATTCTCAACCAGTTCTGTTTCTCAGTATTATTCTGGCCTTTTATACTCCCACCCACCTGTTGCATAGCTGGATGTTAGGTTCGGATTTTTTCTTTTTAAGGCTTTAGGTTTTCTAGTTCAGAAATTGTGTTCATAAGCAAACATATTATACTGAAAAATGAGTGGAATCAAATGGCTCAAGTGTCAGGTTTTTGTTTTTTTTAGTTGCTTCTTATTTGGGAATACTCTTGGGTCCAAGTATTACGCTGATATCTACTGTACACCCTTGAGCAGAAAGTCAGGAATTTCATCTCACATACAGAACTTTACAAAACTTGGAAGTACATGGAACGAATTCAAAATATATCTCAAATGTGATTCTGTGGTGACTATATTTACTTGATTGATCGATGCTGCCACACATGAAAGTTGGCTGCCTTGAGAAAGTTATATTTAGCAGACACAAAATTAGACAATATAAAAAGGCCTGTGTGAGATAAAGCTTAGTAATGTTTCAGCCACATTAAAAGGTAAATGTTGAGTGTGGGGTTTTTTTTGACAGAGATAGGAAGGTCTCCAAATTTAACTGGATATAGTTATTGTACTGTGTTGCATGAATATTCACTAATGGTATCTTTAAATGCTAGGATAAATGGTGTTTTAAATGACTTTAAGGATCAAATCCAAAACCAGAGGAAGTGGATAGAAAATGAGTTAAGGAGATCTGAGCAAGAGCAGGCCTCTCTCATAAATCAGTGTCTTTATTCAGTGAAAGAAAGACTGGTAAGTATCCTTAGAATTATTACTTCTAATGGATGTTACAGTGACCCCAGGAAGACTTACTTACCTAGACCTTGTGAAAGTAACCGTAATTAAGGATTTTCCAACAAAAAACTGAGATTCCAACAAGGAATACAAACTTTCAGGGCACACATAGGAGGAATAGTGCCCCTTTAAGCAATGGGAACTGGGGAGAGCAGGGACAACTCAGGCAAAGAGAAAATTGGGAGAGAGTTCTCTTAGGATAAACTGAGAAGGGAAAATGGGCACAGAGGCAAAGCAATTGCACATGAAAGGAATCTAAGGGGGTCCAATATTACTATCAGAGATCTGATATTCGGCAATATTTTAGCCCTTGTGCTCAATATAGTGCTGTCAAGTGGTAAAATACTACTTTTATGAAATGGAACATACAGAAAGCATGCATCATAGAAAATAAAATTACCTTCCACTATGGGTATCATACTTTGCATCACAAGCAAAATCTTAACACAGTGGCTTCAATAAGCCTCCCATGGATGGCAAAGTGCCTACTTTTCAATGAGCGACATTCTAAATTAGTTTAGATTCTTGGCAGTAGAAGAGTTCCTGGCTCCATGCAAGCACTTAAGTTGAGTGTTTAGCTTCAGGAAATCCTTGTTCCAGGATTAGGGCTCTCAGTGTTTATCTGAATTAAATGTCTCACACAAAATTCTGGATGCAGCTGGAAAGATTCATTTCATTAAGTCACATCACAGGAGAGATCCAGTTCTTATATACAAGAGTCTGAAATCTAAGTAACTGCTAAGCCTAAATTATTGACATTGCATAGCAAGTTTAAAATGTCACATTTCCTATATTAAAACATCAAGGTCAATGTTGGTAACCTCAAAAATATCAAGTGCTGGATTGCTTTGAATTTTCAAGGAAAAAACTGTCTCCTTCCTTTAACAGGGCAGGTTTTGGGAGGTTCATTCTCTTAATAATCATTATTGCCATAATAACAAGTACAGGGTGAACATTCCTTTGGCCATAGTTAATTTCATCGCTGATGGGAGAGGATAATGGAGATATAGTACCACAATGCGAGGATGACTGGATCTTTCATTTCAGCTGCCCCAAGTAGATATTCAAAGACTTTCTTGGATTGCTGCAACCACTATTAACAATTCACATTTCTATTTGTTAACTGAGCAAAGGCAACAAGAAATATATAAATGAGCAAGATGCTCATTAAGTGGTTGAGCGTTGTCTAAGTACAGCTGCTTGCTATTTCAAAATGTGTCCTTAACATGCTCCACGATGCAGTTTTAAATTTTTTAATTTGCATTTATATCTCACCTTTCTTGCAAGAGGCTCAAGGTGGCATACATTGTTTCCATGTCCTTTCTCCCCTCAAGTCAATTTTATTTTCACAAGAGCCCTGTGAGGTAGGTTAGGCTGTAGGATAGTGAGCGGTCCAAGGTTGTCCCAGGGAGCATAATGGCAATTAAAGGACCTGCCTCCCCAGTCCTAGAACAGCATTATATAACTATTACCCCACCCTGTCTCATCTTAGCCCAACACAAGTTCTTGGCTGCTGCCTGGAAGTGACACTTCCCCATATAATTGAGGCAGGTGCCTATCTGTTTATTTGTTTTGTTCTAAGGCATATTGGTGGAACAGAAATGGAGGGAAATAAAATGGAAGATTCCTCTCACCAAAAGGACAAAAAGCACCAAAAAACCACAGCAATCTAACACAGAGCTGAGCCAGCTGAAAAATTTATCAAAGTAATTTGTGCAGTAAAAAAAATCTACAGACCCCATTCTACCAGGATTAAAAACTGAAATAAAAATGTGTTGTATCCAACATTAGTACCCACTGAAATTAATGTACATGGCTAACTTACATCCATTCACTTAAATGGATCTACTCTAATAATTTTTTTATTTATACCCTGTCCACCTGGCTGGGTTGCCCCAGCCACTCTGGGCAGCTTACAGCTTATCTAAGTAGGACTCATATTGAGTAGAATTCTATTGCCATAATGTTGGATAGAAGTCTACTGGCATCCATCTGTCTTGAGACAACAGAGTGCGCCTCTGGGTAGTGGGGTGAAGTCAAACTGCTGCATTAGAAGCACTGAAGTGCCCTCCCCGGAATGCATGCCTGGGCAGTGTGTATGGAGGTCCTGGGCTGCCCAGACAAGAAGACCTTCCTTTCAGTCTCACTGATGTGGCCCAAAGGAAAGCAGAGTGATATATTTGGCACAGGCTTGGCTGCAGGTGTTGCCAGAAGGAGGCGTACAAGGGGCCATTCAACCGCCTTAGCGACTGCATTCACTCCTTAGCCTTTTCTTCTCCCAAAGATATCCTACAAAGCAGATTTTAGGGTCAAGGTTTTCCTTCTTCTAGATCAGGCATAGGCAAACCTGGCCCTCCAGATGTTTTGGGACTACAACTCCCATGATCCCTAGCTAACAGGACCAGTGGTCAGGGATGATGGGAATTGTAGTCCCAAAACATTTGGAGGGCCGGAGTTTGCCTATGCCTGTCCTAGATGGGCTACCTTCCCAGGTTGATGAATCTCATCTGCCCCTTACTTCCCTCTACAGCACATGCAGAAACTGCCTTCTTGACTGTTGGACCCAATATTGGTCTCATCTCCTCAATCCCACCAGAGCCTGTCTTTGCATGTAAGGGAAGCCCCTGACTCACCAAGGGTTTGAGAGCTATCGGCTACCCTCACCTGGTTTAGCCAACCAGTCGAAGCCATTCCTGGGATGTGGCTGCTGTCTCATGCTGACAGCTTCTAGGAGCCACAGGTGAGAGCTGAGTGCAGGGTGGAAACTGAAAGTGGATAAGCTACCACAGAATGAGCACAGTGTCCCCCACACCAGAGGTACAATTCCCTCCCCTAACACCCCAAATATAATCCTGTAAAATTTAAAATATTTATAAATAGTCTTTATGGGAAAGAATTGGTAACTCAGATGCAGTTTTGTGGGAGGCAGTAAAAACGGTTCCAAATTCTATAATTATATTGATTTATCATAAATCTTTATTTTAAAAGGACACAGTGGAAAAGAAAACGGATGATAGTTATTATTTCCTCTGCAAAAGAATAGAAAGCACTGATAAAACAGAGCAATTTAACGCAGAGCTGAACCAAGTGAAAAATGACCAAAATAAGCTTCATGCAAGGATTGCTAGATTTGAAAAACTGATGTGGCATGAGCTGGAGGAAATCCAAAGTGAATATAGATCAGGTAAGATTTTTGGTGGGTTTCTTTAAGGAAAGGCATAGAGAAACCTATTAAGTCCTCGCCTTACACTCCAATCAGGTGCACTTACCAAACTACACCAGAAATTTTGTATTTCTGTGTGCGGTTCATAACGCCCTCATAGCTCGGTGAAGGATGTTTCTGTCAGTAATGTCAAAATCAAGCTACTGCATATTGTTCTGACAATAACTGAAATCCACAATAATGAAACATAAATCTGCTAACTATTTCTGGTCCTTTCCCCCTAAGTCACACTTACCAGTCAGGGGGTACCCATTGGCTATAAGGTGCATTTTAGACGTCACATTTACTGTGAGACAAAGCAAGTAGTAAATTACCTTATCTGTGGGTGGATCATTATTTCCAGTAACAATCTCATGATGGCTGTGAGCACATTGGCCATTGGGCAGTTGTAGCTGTTGTAGCAGCAGCAGCAGCAGCAGCAGCAGCCTTGGTTGCCCACAAAAATGCATCCCTGTGAATAACCAGGAAGGGTTACAAGAGTTCTCCTGTAATTACGAGCCTGCTCGTTTGGGGAACAACTTCAAGAACCAAATCTTATCAGATGAACTCACCTCTGGTTAATGGAGGAAAACCAACAAGCCCACAGCAAATTCCCTGGGTTCCATCCTAGTAAGATGCCATGTTTGCATACTCAGGCACATGATGCCTGTGACCCAGTAAGGGGCCAACCATAAATAAGACCCAGGGCATTGGTACTGGGTTGAACTAGGCCACAACTTTATTGATTACAGATGTAAGTAGGTTTTGGCCAAGGCATTGGGTATGTATCCAGAATCAAGCAGCCCAACTGCTGGTTGGTAAGTATGGTGGGATTCAAATCTGACTGGGGGCCACCCCTGACATGCATCAGGTGATACAACCCTGCCATGGCGGCCAGGGCTCTCCTATTCAATGAACAGCTCCTGACACCCCACAAAAAGCCTTCTCTCAAAGTTTGGGGTTTTCCAAAGTGTGGTATCACATAACACAGCACTAGTTGGCATGCTGCCTTCCAGATGCTTTGGACTCCACACCCGCCCAATGATTCCTGGCTATGCTGGCCTGGGCTGATGGGAGTTCAAAGAATTGTAGAGTTGGGAGGGAGGGTCATCTAGTCTAACCCCCTGAAATGCAGGAATCTCAACTTAAGCATCCATGACAGATGACCATCCAACTGCTGTTTTTAAAACTCCAATGAAGGAGAGTCCAGAACCTCCCAAGGGAGTCTGAAACATTTGAGGTGAGGAACCATATTCACTACTCCTTCCCCTAAATTCGCAATTTTGCTCATAGCACCTAAGAAAAATTAAGTAGGGTGATATCCTCCAGCAAAGAGTTTGAAAGTAATTATTATTGCACTTTCATGGGAAGAGAAGAAACTGATTTAATTCAGCAAACTTTAGCACAGGTATGTAGGTAAAGGGTTGTTCAGTAGCTTTTATAAAAAGAAAAAAGTGTTATTAAAACGAGTTTTTGTCACCCTAACCATGCCTGCCATTTACCAGGATTTCAGTCAATCCGTGACTCGCTCAGCGCACTTAAACAAATACAGACAGCAAAGCTTAAACTCGAAGAAGAAAAGTTCAAGCAAGACATGAAAAAGATACGGCGGAAGATAACTGAAATTCAAGAAGACTGATCCCACTTCTTAAAACATTTGCATTTAGTCCATCTTGGGAAAGTGTGTAAGAGATTGCAAAAAATAAGCTCAAGAATTCTACTATATCAAGCTTGTTTTCTTATGTCTCCCTAGGAGATTAGTATTGTATATGAATGTTGCAATGTCTATAATAGATTTAAGTCAAATCAATCTGAATCATATTCCTACATTAGAATTTATATTTTGGAAAAAAATAAAATATAAGGGCTGTCAGTAATTGTTGTATAAGCAATTGCTTGGTCTACTTTGGTAATTGATTATTAAACCAGTAATTGTTACATTCTGAAATTCTCAAAGCCATAAAAGCCTGTTTTCTAGCCTCAGACAGAAATTATAAACAGGCCTACTAAATCTTTGCAGTGTATTTTTTAAAATCAGGTACAGGTGCTATTCATATAAACAGACACCTACATATAATTTGCCCCTCAAACTCACCTAATTTTATGAAGATGCCGTAAGTTCATGCCTTCAGTAACCAGTCTTGAAAATTCAAATGATTATTCTTACCTACATTGTGTTTTACCTACAGATTTGTTTTTTTATTGCTGTTTCTATTTTGGCACAGAGAATTAGGATAGGAAAAAGGCAGAAAGTGATATCTAAGTGATATCCAGGTATGTAACTAAGGATGACTACTTGTATAAGGGAATGGCTCATTCTTGCCCTCCCCTCACACCCCTAAAATCTACTTTGGAGGGTTGGGGGACCCGTGGAGTAGATGGGGGGGTGCAGGTTGGGAGGAGAGAAAGGGAAAGTCCTGTTGCATCTATTGGCATAATGCTGGACCTCTCTCAAAGGGAGCATGGCATAAAGGATGAAAAGCATTCTGGAAGGTTGTAAAACTGGAATGAAGAAGACTGTGCAACTCATTACTGTTCCTTGACTAACTTTCTCTTGCATTAAGAGATCGCAAATACAGTTCATCACCATTTTCTTATCCTCAAAAGATTGCTATTCAGTAATTTTGCAATGGGTAACAACCTGGAAGTGCATCAATTTTGTTTCCAAAAAAGTAAACTGCTTATTTCCTGGGCCATTCAAAAGACTTGGGAAATGAATGTCCCTTTCCCCACTAGTTTCCCAAGAACTATGCTGGCCCTTTTATTTCCTTATCTTCAAGCAGGACAGCAGTGGTAGCCAAGAGTGTTGAGGTGCCCGCTTTTTCCTCTCTCCTCAATGTCCTCATGTGCTCCGCGGTGCCTGAGGACTGACAGATTGGTGGCTCCTGGGAGGACTAAATTCCAAGCACCACTGCTCTTTCAGATCCCGATACCCTCTGCAGTGTCTGAGCTACAGTTCTGCTTCAAGGAAAATATAGTGCCAAGCAGATACAAAACATGACTGCACTGTAGATAGCTCTTCCGTATCAGTCACTGTCTTCATTTAAAGCCGTGAGGGAATTAGTTACATTCTTCTTCCTCAGTCTCGCACTGTGCAGTTTAGGAATTATAATTACTTCTTACTGACATTTCAGAAAGCTAGTGTTCTTGCACTGGAGGGAAAATGGGGCACTTACTCAGGGAGTTACTTCTGAAATAGTGGCATTTTACCTTCCCATCTATGAGTGATAGAAATGAATAGAGGCAGGGGCGGGGGGAGGAAACTTTGACTACCTTTAACCTTGCTCTCTTCAACAATGTTGGTGACTGTTTGAGGGGAGATGTTAGCAACATACCTTACAGTCCGAAGATAAAAGCCACTTTCTCTGTTCTCCTGCTACTTGTTCTTTAATTTTTACAGGATGCAGAATGGTAGGCTCCAGGCATAACAACACTCTGTATGTCTTTCTAATACTTAAATGGCTTTCACAACTGGCATTTATAAAACCTGGCAATGTAGATAATGAGTTTCTGAAATAATAAAAAAAATACAGCTCTCCCAAGGCATTAAACACTCTTTCAGGCACTGAGAAATCCCAAGTGTTTAGATTTACTGCAATTATCATCACATCGTAATGGCGTATAAACCAACACATAGAATGATTTCAGTAAAATAATAAGCAAAAACATTGATATTAATTATAAAAGCCCACAATCAGTACAGGCCTAAACCATGTAGAATCTGATGCATCTGAGTCAAAAATGGAATTCTCCAGAATATTTGAAACAAAGGCTTAATTCTAATATATATATATTAAAAAAAACCACACACACACCCCCAACACAATCTCTGAGATTGCAACATGAAGTGGTAGACTGGCATGGAGGTAGAAATTTCTTAAGCTTTCCCCTGTGCGCCATCATTCTGCTGAAAATACATACACACAGCTTCCAGCTACTGTCTAGTCTTGCTTGAACAAAGTGCAGGTACCTGAATTTTTTCTCTCTACAGAGGATAGAAGCCGCTGTAGGAAGAATTTCATTAGAGAACCAAGATGCTGAAAAACCCCTCTCCCCAGCCCCATGTCAGTTCACTTCCAATTATAGCCTCAAGACATTGACTTCATGCTTTAAAGAAACCTGACATTTGTAAAAAAAACAAAAAAACCAGCCATCTGAAAATAGAATCAAAGAATGAACATAACATCTTTTTTCATTCTCAACCCCCCCCCATACAAATTCAGCCTTAGATGAAGGTTTCCACTCACTTTGGGGTACATTCCTAGGCAACCAGACTCGGAACAGACTTGTCCCTGGTGCCCCAGAAGTCTCTACTAGTTTCACACCATTCATAAAAACATTTTATACAAATAACAATTTCTTACAAAAAAGATTATTATGCAGGAAGTTAAGGAACAAAACTGAAGTTTTTCTTTGTGGCAATTGATTTCTGTCCCAGAAATCAAAACCAAGCAACATATGCTAGGACATGGATATTTGCAGATTGTTCCAGTACTTGATCACATTCTGAAAGATATCCTTGATGCAGAAGTTCAGTGCCAACAGAAGAGTAAATGCATTATTTTAAATTTCATGTGAAAATTGCTAGCAATGGAACAAAGTTATGTCTTATTGCAATCATCAAATGGCCCTGAACTGTAGAAGCAGCATTGCAAATTCCAAAACAAACATTTTGCATGTGTTTCAACACATTATACACATTTAATCATCAACACCACCAAACTAATATTATTTCCTATGCCTGAGAAGGTGCGCCAAGGTTCACCTCTAAATAGCAAAAAAGAGATACTGATACATATGCAAATTGGCAAAAGCTTTGGTGCAATATAGTATAGGGTTTGGTAATTTCTCAGCTCGTATTTGCTTAATTCGTGGAAATATTTATCAGGCTCTTCATCAGACAGAAACAATGTTTTACTCTGTGCTTCCCAAGTCCATAGACATCTGCTGGAATCTTTCATGCAAAAGGTAGATTCAGTTGAGCACAAAACAAACTTCCACTGATTTTCAACTGGTTTAATGACAGACTCCTTTTAAAATATGTTGGAACATTGATCCTAATTGTTTAACAAACAGGAACCTTGACTTTTAAAGAACAATTGCTAAGTGGATGTTATTGCCATGGGCTTCCATCTGTCAATCTCCCAGTGAAAATGACACTAGGATGCTGCTGCCGCTGAGAGTTTCTTGTCTAGCTCCAAAGCTCGAACATCTCCATTAGCTTTGGCATTTGCTACAAGAGCCTGCGGAAGAAATGGAGGAAATAATAATGTTGATGCTGAAATATATCTTGGTTGGGGAGGAATTAAAGTTATTGTACCCAATGCTAGACCAACTCAGAGTAGGTATATTAAAATTAAGGAACCTAAGTTAGTTATGTTAATTCATTTCAATGACCAAGAAGGACTAGCGTTCCATAGAGGTTGTCAAGGGCCAGGAGTCGGCTTTGCCTGCTGAATAGCAGCCCGAAGGGGGAGAAGGCAGTGACTCCACCTGCAGCTGATCAGCCTTCAGGGTCATAGAGGGAAAGGTGCTGATGAGAACCAGCTGGCTTCAGCCTTCGTAAGCAGAGCTTTCACCAGCAGTTAGATGCTGGAAACAGCACTTGTAGTCCCTGGCCCTACCTTGCTGCTTCCTTCTCGTCTTGACCCTTGATCATCAGATTCCCTGACCCCTGGACCGTCTAAGCACGTGGATTGCTGTTTCCCTGACCCTAGGACTGGACCTGACTTTGGATGCTGACTCTGTCTCTAGGCAAGTACTCCTCAGAGACTCTTCTGGTGGGCTGGTCTCCCACTCCACATTGTTGCTCAGCAACAAGACTACAATATAAGTTACAAGCAAAGGAGGTCATGTGGCTGATCCCAGGCTACAAAGGCCTAATATAATTCTACCTCTGAGCTATGTCCCCATGGTAATTCTTCTACTGACCAGAGGGAGATGAACACACTCCCTCTGCTAAAGCATCAGTACACCTGACATTTTGTTCCTGACAACAGCGTACTTGGGATGCAGCAAGGCAGGCAGCCCACGAGCCCTCCTGGTCTCTAGTACTTAGGAGAACCATGTGGCCTTATCTAATTCCTAAGATATAGAATTCAAAAGGTAAGTGCTACTCACATCTATTAATTCATAATCATCTTTGGCATACAAGTGTCTTAATAGATACCACCGGGCAACTGATGCGACGGTTTCTGGATACCCAGGTTGATACACCACTCTTTCCAGCATGCGGCGAGTTTCCCTACAAAGGAAACAGAAAACGTTGCAAAATGTGATGAGAAAACTAGAAAACAAGAGTGAGTCTATAGCATTGTAAGGGCTCAGGTTTCAAGCTTGCTTTCAAAAAGCAAAATTTATAGCTGTACAGCAAGTTCTTACATAAATCTGGGGCACTTGCAACAAAAGAGCAGGGAACAAACCTACTGCTGGAGCAAAAAGAAAATAGTGGACCACTCCATTAGAACAACCTGTTACATGTCACTAATCTCCTACTGCATGGACTCATCATCACTATGTCAGGCTGCTTTGTTGTGATTCAACAAATAATTTACACGCCAGAACTGGAGAACTGGATCCTGCTGATGGGCTGGAACCTTAAGACGACTTCGTTAGGGACAAGCCTATTAGCACAAGGACTTCTACCTGCACAATGGGACTTCCTCTCCTCTCCCTGTGTCCTCCAATCTGCTCCCAAGGGCTGCAGAAAGCTCCAGAACAGATTTGGGGGAGATATGTAGGAAGAGAACATCCCATGGTGCAGTTGGAAGTCCTTGTGCAAGAAAATTACTTTATTGGATACAAACCTTCATTTCACAACCCTCTGAGAGTGAACTTGGACGGCAGGCGGGCAGAGGAGCCCAGCTGACCAGTGGCTACAGTGAGCCCCTTTGAAGTCTGCTTAGTGGTATGGTTTGAATTCAAACCACACCTGCAAAGGGACACAGTGCAATTGTCAGTGATCCCCACTTACAAAGGAACAATCAGGAACTTTAAGGTCCTGATTGTTCCTTTGTAGCTATGTTCCTTTGAAAACAGCCTCATGAGATAATCAGACCCATGGGCTAGAGCTTTGCCACCCCCTAGAACAGGTCCATGGGGGGGGGGGCAGCTAGATACACTTGCGCCAGGCCTCAGAGGGTTAAGCCAGCCAGGAGGCCCTGCCAGGGGCTTGCCAGACTTACGATGTCATGCCAAGAACAAGACTCCAGCCCTGGGCTTCAGATAAGCTCTGCAAGGACTTTCCTGGAGTAAAATAACTGAATGTGCATCTAGAAATGTTGTTTGCTCTCCCTCTAGTAGCTCCTGCTCTTGAGGAAGCAAGTCAGTGGAAACTTCACAAAAATCTACAATTGCAAGCCTCATTTTCATATTATGAACAGAGAGCTTCTCTGGATCTTTACCATTATGGGTGTTTTTAAAAAATCTTCCATCCGTCTATTTTGTATCTTATTGCAGTGGAAAACCTGTGGTTTCCCTCTACACTTTAGCCTCCTTATAAAGAACAGGATTTTAATAAGGTTTTGCTTTATAAAATTTACCATCTGGACATTTTCTGAATTAGAACATATGGGCATGTTACATTAGGTATATTTTAATTATAGCCAAAATGCTGACAAAATGCATAGGCAGTTAACACATAACATACAGATCAATGCACACCTTGACCCCATTTTGCGGTTGTACTGCAGAAGCGCCTGCAACAGAACACCCAACGGACAGAAGGAAAGCTTCAAAGCTTCTGTTGTGGCTTCCTGAACCAGGGATGGCCAGTGATCATTTGAAATATTACCCTTTAAACAAAAACAAATTTAAAAACAATGTTTTATATCATTGTGTCATAATGGTCAGTGGTTTTAATTGCGATGTTGCATGACAGATTGCTTACCCGTGTACCACATAGATAATTATGACCTGCAGCTTTGAATTATAATGTAATAAAACGGCTTCCTAGAACTGCTGATGTAACAGAACAACCAGGACTACCAATCTATCTTCCTAGAGGTTGTTTTTTTTAAAAAAACCGTATTTTCAGCTTTCAAGTGATAGTTTCAAACACTATCCTGGACAAGGGGAAGTGCGACGTAATGCATAAATATCATTTTGAAAGTTTCACCTGCATCTTAATCATGATGATTATGATCTCTTATCATTCTCATCGCAGAAAAATTCCTGGACAGTGATAGATCAACTCCTAGAAAACTCACTTGCCAGCTTCAATTAAATTAATGCAACATGTTGGATGAAGTACTTTTGAATCCACAAACAGAATCAAAATGTACGGCCAAAATGGTTCATCCATACAAATTGCATAAGGGTATTTCTGCTGATCAACTTTCAGAGAAAATGTATTACGAAAATAGCAACACTTCCCCCAGCTGCTTGATTTCACTTATAATTATGAAAGGAAGGGTAAAAGCAGTATTTCATACTGTCAGATGGAATGGTAATCTATGCAGACGAGATGAAGCCTTTTCCAAATAGTGCTTAAGCCAGAGTTACTGTTCTGGCTGTCACCAAAGTGTTGGACAAGCACATTTTGAACTTTCATTATTCCAGCTATCCAAATGTTAGGAATCCATATATAGTACTGAAATAGCCTGTAATCTATTTTGCTGGAAGCTAGAACACTATCTTACGCACAATTATGAGATGAGAAGCACCATATTACGTTTTAAACTCAGTTCACATGCAATCAGTTCATTTTATCATATTGTTATTACTACTACTTTTATTTTTTTAAAGAATCAAGGCAGCTTATGAGGATAAAATACAAACAGATAAAATCAATTTAAACCCAGATGATTTAAAGCAATGTGCAATATAAAATTCCTGTGCAACACAATAAGGACAAAGATGAGCACTACAGCAGAGACTAACTTAACTACTAGGTAAATAAAAATGTCTTAAGCCTGCCACCTAAAACTGGACTATGACAGTTTCAGGAGTGTTTACCTAGAAAAACATTCCAGAAACCTGGGGGGAAAGGACACTGAAAAAGGCCATTATTGTGTGGTCATCCTTTGCACCTTTCTCAGGTGAGGCACATGGATTTGGGCCTCTGATGAAGGTCCAGGCTGGTTCATATGGGGACAAGAGGTCCTTGAGGTATTGAGGTCCTCAGCTGCTTCATGCAAAACCAGCACTTTGAAATGAACCTGTAAACTAATTGGTAGCTAATGCAGCCAGGCCAGACTTGGTGTGATATGCTCAGACCTTCTGGTCCTGGTGAATAAGCTGGCTGCTGAATTCTGAACTTGTTTCTGTAGTTTCCAAACTGGTTTCAAAGGCAGCCCCACATATACAACATATTTATTAACTTGGCTCTCTTACCATGCAGATTTCCAGGGCAAGCTTAGCAAGCCTTAGTAGACTAGAGAGCTTTCCACTCCAGTGGCCCTGCTGAGATGCCAGTTGCAGACTTTTTCGGTAACACATCTCTGCTGCAACCATCATTCCCTGTGACTGGTACACTTGAGCCAACCACTGAAAGCAGAGGAGCAAAGTTCAAATTTCATATTTTTCTATGACTACTGCCTATCAAATTTCTTGTCTTATAATTCTATTAAATATTCTTTTAAAAACAAAACACTCAAATGGTGAAGATTACTTTTGAGTAAAAATACAAGCATCTGCAGAAAAGAGATACCATTTCTTCAAACTATAATCTGCAATTCTATATACAGTTTTCTTGACTGACTTATTAGATTTGGGTAAAATGGATCTTAGAGCTGGAAATGGTAAATGAATTTGCACATAGTTTGAATTTTCAATCTAATTTGGGACTGAAGGGAGGGACCTAAAGATGACAGACAGCTTCTCCCTTTAAGTGTCACAGAGCATAGCATAAAACAGGATTATTAACCTGCTGCATATGAGACATACCCACAGACAAGAGGGTTTCTGCAAGTATATTAAGTTTTGAATTAGCATGTGTAACATCTGCTAGCCACAAGGAGCCTGTACTGGTCCTAGTACTAGCCAAAACGGATTAGCAAAATCAGGTAGCTGCTACCAGGCAAGCAGATGACTCCCACACAATTGACTCTGGTGCTCTCTCTCTCTTTTTTTTTTTTGTGGGCACTCACACAGCCATCGTTAAACTGGGATATACTGGCACTCCAGCTATCCCAACTCAGCACACACATTTGGGAAACGGCTCGAGAGGAGCTGATCATGGTGCTGAACAGCTAAATCCTCCCCTTGAAAAGTTTTCGCCCGTCTGCTCAGCACACCCAACTCACAGTCTGATGACAGAACCACAGAATTTAACTCTTGCCACAATAAGGTTTCACCAAATCCATCTGCATTTTCATTTTTCATTATATCATAATCTGTCCTCTGCATTTCCCACACAACACTTAGGTCTAAGTCACTATAATTGCAATTTTGCCCCTGCTCCACTCATTCAGACATGTAAGTAATTATTTAGGGCTGGTTTGTGTGCAATCTGTGGTCTTCCAGTTATTGCAAACTGCAGCTTCTACCAGCCAGGGATGCCAAGTTCAGCAGCATTTGGAGGGCCAAAGGTTCCTCATGCCTGATTTAAGGGCTGGTCACTCACCAACTGCTCTGCCTGCCTGAGTTCCTTTAATCTCTTCACAATTCCCCTTGTGCTCCTACACTTTACATACCCCTGCTGAGCATCTGACTGAGCTTTGCCTGTTCAAGGGGTTGGAGCAGTCCACACTGCAATGACTTGTTGCAAGTTCCACTTGTTCAGTATTAATGTGGTTCAGGCACAGAGTACTGAAATTCCTATAATTTTTTCCAGTCTAATCAATAATAGTCCAACTGTTAGAATGACTTTTTTAAAAAAAGAATGATACTGGCGAGGAACTGTAGAAGTTGAAACTTATTTTATGTCAGAGCAAACTGAGAGAGAACCAGAAAGAGGGAGTGCACAGTTATGTTGGGTGCACTAGATGTGCCTATATTGATAAAATCAAAATTGTTAAGCAAAGTTCTGTTACGTAACATGACTGCCAAACAAGATTAAGCTGGGCTAATGGCGGTTGCCCCTATGTAGCTCTTTCCCAAGCAAGCTATTCTCCTTTTATGACTTGGCGATTGGCCCACATTAGTAGTGGTAATATTGGAGGAATTTCAAAGGAGGAAAGGGGAAGTATGTGAATGGGGGGGGGGGATTCCTGGGAGAACAGAAAAATTCTTAGTCATAAATGACTTCCCTGTGCAGATCTGTGATCTAAAGCTTTTGTTGTCAAGAAAGAGTGAAACAACAGCTCAGTGCTTAACTACTTTTTGTTCTTTCAGTTCTTGGCTCTGACATTAAAACATCTTTGCTTGCAACAATAAAATGCAAAAAGCCATCTACTCTGGGCAATGTATCAAGTGCATTTATCTGCACAAAAATGGCATCAAAGAGAAAATCTCAAGGCTTTAATTCTAAACGACCAGCTGAAGAAGCTTCCAAGGACCAATGTGCTGATACAAGATTAATTTGCAGTATCTGTTCTTCTACAGGCTGTCATGTCAACTTCTATTGATTTAAGTAGTGTGATGTCAAAGGTGCCACGACGGCTAAACAGCTCAGTTGTAAGGCTTGCTTCAGTTGCAAAAAAACCATGTCACAGTCGGATGCACCTTTGTCTCTCTCATGATTGGACTTAAACAACCCCTGATTACGGATGAACCTCCATCGGCCTTGCAATCCCCTTTGCAATCTGACTTGAGCTAGCCCCACTGGTGACCACTGCCAGTACACAAGATCTGTCTACTACAGGCTTGGCTCCCCCCCCCCATCTTTAAAGGCTTTCATTTAACAAATGGTAGCTCCAGATGCTTCTTCCAATGGATGCCATAGTCAAGAGTGAAGAAAAGGTGAAAGACAAAATAAGTAAAACAAGAAATGACCTTTTTTTTAAGACCAGGAGCTATGGTAAGAAAAGGACAAAATGCTGAGTTAAAGATAAGTGCTGAGTAGTATATAGAATGAAGAAAGAAACAAGAATTGGTGGTAGGAATTGCTGCTGTGAAAAGCCTTGAAGCAGAGGTGAGGCAGGGACAGAACTGGGGGAAAGGCAATCAAATCTGTGTCGTGTGACCCTAGCTGGCCTCTTCTGGATGACTCCAGCATGGCAGCCAATATGCATCACTGGTTATCCAGCACTACAAAAGGGGAAACTTTTTGGAATCATGGATCAGAGAACTCAAGATTTCAATACACTGAAATATAAACAGGGATCAGAAGCACTAAGAAGCCAGGAGGAAAACCAAAGATCACCAGAGGAGCATTTACACACGTGTTTGCCTGTATGAACAACTCTCCTCGTTCAGAAACCCCCAAGCTATTATAAGCCAATACCAATGCCCTCCCTCTTCCCGTTTTATTTCTGCTCATAATAGTACAGTCTTCAGTCTTGTAACAATTTTCCTTCTCACATCTCTTCCCAGCTTGCTAAGTTAAGAGCTGGGAGAGGCGAGAGGAAACAGCAGCTCAAAGAGTCTAAGTTCCTGAATCTGTGCAATGAGAGCTTTTCTGAGTATGCTCAGAATATTCATTAATGATGTGAACTCAGAGAACTGGTTTAAAAAACGTTTCTTCTATAAAACGAAGCAGGAGGAATACAAAACTACACCTCATTGTTCCCATTAACTGCATGGAAAGAGCCCTCGCCCATCTTTTCTCAAGCTCATTGAGTCTGCCTTCCTCCTGGCTTCACCTCACAATCTGGTAAGCACAGGAAAGTGTAGAGAAGGGCACATGAGAGGCTGGTGGTGGTGGCGGAACAGCTCCCATGGGCTGAGACTTTCCAAGTTTTGTGTGATTCAAAAAAAGCTCGAGCTGATTTTGTCTGCTTTCCAGACAGATTTCAATGGAAGTTACTTCTAGGTTGTGTTTAGGTGCAGCTCTCAAGTGCAGCGTTTCTCAACTTTCGTACTACCAGCTGCTGTTATACCACATTGTGATCATACGATAAAGAGACCCAAAACCGCAGGGCAAAAAAGCACACCCAAACTTACATGCCAAGCTGTAACTGAAGTAGAGTTGGACATCACTGCCTTCCGGAGCTCTTCCAAGATTGCATCAGGAAGCTCTTTGTGAGACTGCCAAAGTGGTTTGCACTGAACTTGCCTTAAAAGCAAGTATAAAGTTGGCTGCTCAGGGAAAATTTTCAATCCCTAGAGACAAACAACATTTTGAGTTGAACACAGAAAATCATTCGAAGCAGTTTCAAAGAAAAGTAGTGCCTTCATGTGAACAGTGTAACTTGGAGTGACTCAGAGGAACTACGGCATGCTCATCTGTCAATCCGTAAGCAAAAGGGGTGGGGGGGATAGTGTTGCTTCTCTAACAACAGGAAAGAAGCAAGAGGAGAAGGCTCAAAAGATAGTTCTTTTTCAACAAGCTAGTCAATACTTTCCCCACTGAAACCAAAATCACCATGACATTTAATAATTCCCAGTACTTTTTGGCAAAAGAACTGTGCTGCCAAACAAACCCAGACACAACCATTACACAGATGAGATGTGACTCCAAACATATTCTCCCAGAAGGCAATAACATTTGTGTCTGGCCAAGTCCTGGAATAAATCCCCCTAAAGAAGACAACTGAAATGTGTCAGAAATCACTCACTAAATCAGAGCTTTCCAAACTTTTCAAGTTGGTGACACACTTTTTGGACACACATCATTTCGTGACACAGTAATTCAGTTTTACTAGCAAACCAGAGGTAAAACTACCCACTTTCCAGCCCAAGGAAGAGTGCGAGGAGTGCTTGTGCGACACACCTACACACTACAACCGATACACTAACATGTCGCAACACACAGTTTGGAAAGCTCATTGCACCTTTGTGACCTTGTCTCTTAAAATTTTTCTCAGCTATTACGCAATATTGGCTAGGGACAAGAGTCAGCACATCATTTATTTCTTTTACTGTGGTAGAGATGGAAAACTGGCAAAGGCTTGCCCATTTGAAGCTAATACGTTTATTAGCAATTCTGAAGTGAAACTTGTCTGTTTAAGGAAAACTAAAATCACTCTCACACCTGTAATAACTACAGCCATGCATCCAGCTGTTCTTTTGATACAGTTTTACTCTCATGCATTCTTAAATCTGTCTGTGCTTGGCTACTCAGAGCTTAAATGCATGACCTTTCAAACACCCTTTCACACACATGAATTTGAAGCGGATCCCTAACGAGAGAGAGAGAGAGAGAGAGAGAGAGAGAGAGAGAGAAGACCTGAACTACAGGACAAACCTGTATCAATACAGGACATAGCATTTAACACTGAAATACGGGACAGTCCTGTATTATACAGGACAAGCGGCAACCCTATCTGCTGATAACTGAGTTATTACTAATGCATACCTTTGTACAGAGCGCTTCAGCTTCCGAAGTTCTACCTGTCTCATTTAAGCTAGTAACAGCTTGGAAAAGAGACCATTCTTCAAGAGCTTGGGCATAAGAAGTTGGAAGATCCTTATCTTTGACTAGAAAACATGTAAAGGTCATTATTTGTCAAAGCCCAATCTGCACCTACATCAAGTGGTATTCATTATTACATTTTTTATAAATCAACAAACATCAAACATCAACAACATTGATAAAAGTGGTACTCTCATTCACTAATCATTTCAAATGAGAAGAAAAATTTCCAAAGGTTTCCTCTCATAAGTAACTATTTGTAACAATGCAAGGCCTTACTTTTAGCTGAGATTGTAGCTACAATCGTTTTTTCCAAATCTGTCCTCTTGGGTTGTGTATTATGCAGGCAAACAATGGTGTTTTCAGCATGACAAGCAGCCAGGAGCACAGCCCAAGAAGCAGGGTTATCTGAAATAAAGATGAGAGAACTGTCATTTTCAAGGCACACTAAGCAGTTATACAAGAGAGTGTACTTAGTGATGCAAAACCAAAGAAAGTGAATAAATCCCCAGAAGTTTGCATGCCCAAGATACTAAAAAACTGACATTCAGTTTCAATTCTATAAATGTTTAATTCTTTAATTATTTCTATGGTTTTAAATAATTCTGTTTTTTATCTGTAAGCTGCCTTGGGAAAAAGTGGAGTAGTAATAGTAGTAGTAGTAATCACCATCACCATCAGGTTAACTGCTCATTTTGCAAACAGATAAAATTGGGGAGTTTATTATGAAAATGTTTATTGCCTTTGCCCATTAAGAGTGGTGGGCTAACTGTAACTTCACTTTCTATGAATCAATGTTTAGAGCCAAGATTTTTTAGTGTCCCAGAAAAACTAACTTATGATGTTCCTCAGCTACAGCCCTGAATCTGGTTTAAAATTAAGGATTTAGAAGTGAAAGTTACCTGGAGAAAGATGGACTGCCTTTTGGATATTCTTCAATGGATTGTTCTTTTTACTTTCAGCTATGTGGCATCCTAACGCCAACTGATTAACTGCAGTGTTCAGCAAGGCTCTCTAAATAAGGGTGCATGCACAGCAAAAGAGAACTTTAAATTTATTCCTTGTCTAATGAAAAGCATCACTCTAAATTCTCGATGTAGAAAAATATTTTGATAAGGGAAGATATTAACCTTTCCGTGGTTTAAATCGTGAATATGAGCAATAGTTCCTGCAGCAGCCCCACCCTGCAAGATAAAATATTGATCTGATTATGGTATGACAGAGTATTACAAGTCTGAGGCATCAATTAAGTCGGATAATTCTTCTGCCCTTTGGATGAACGCATGTGGAAATGTCAAATAAGTTTGTATGTTTAAATACTCTGACTTCTTAAAATGATTGGGGGGAGAGAATCAAGCTGTAAGTTGCTCCCTTGGCCCTCTCTTTTTTTCTACATATTTGTTGGCAATGTTCCATCCCATGGAGGGAACAAGCAGAGGCAGAAGCACTCTTCACCCTATTTGTGTTGGAAGGAAAGCCTTCCTCCTGCAGGCATGAGGCAATTCCTTTTGGGAATGAGGCAGGAGTATGGGGTTAAAAAGTCCACCACAACCATGACATGGTCCCAATTTAGCTCCCCCCCCCAACTACTTGTAGAAGAAAAACCAGCTATGCAAAGGCAAGCTATGCGACAAACATCGTATCCAGCTTGGCTCTGAGACAGGGAACTCCATGTGCTGAGCAATTCTGCAGTAGCAGCGATCATTCATTCTTATTTCTTACCCTTCTGAGAAGAGGAATAAAGGGTGAAGGGAATTCTGCACAGGTTGGTAAATGCAACCTGATGGCACAACTGATAGAGATGTTATAAACCTATTTGTAAAACAGTGGGATGTGTAACATTAATGCCAATTTGGCAAGCAGATCGTCTGGAAGGGCAATTGTCTAAACAATTAACAGTCTTGCACACAGTTCTTGGTGCCAAGTTCTTATTTATTTAATGATAGTTCAGCATATAAATAAATGCCTTGATTCTATTTCAACCTATGCATATTCACCTTTGCATTTTGTGGTGTATACCGAGGTACCAGTTGGGACAGGAGAGACCACAGGGCAGGACTATCTGGGTTGCTAGAGAAAAGAGCACAGTAGTTTTAAATTGCCATCTTATGCGGTAGCAGAACCAATCAACATGGACTGAAGTTATACAACTTGTTCTCTGATTGCTTCTAAGTCAGCAACTTCTAACTTACAAGGCAGAAAAGGAAGCCCTCATTTATAAAATGATAGTAGTTTAAGAATTGGGGGGGGGGGACATAATCAAGTGCAGGAATTAGTCTAAGAGCAACATACATAACAATTGGGTTATTAAGTTTTAAATCTCAAAATTATACTGTCAGATCAAGGTTTCAAATAAGGGAGCAAAAGTTACTCAAGATCAAAAAACATTTCTCTTATCAGTTGCAATTAGTGATAGATCTGACCAAATGAGTTGGGATTTATTTTTAGCCAGAACAGAAAGTAACTTTTTTTCTTGCCATTTTGAAATTCGGACACTTCTGTACTCCTGATAACAGAACTGGAGTGCAATAGTGCTCACTGCAAACGTTTATTAGTTTTTGGGTTTAGATAATAATGCATTGGAGGTGAACTAAGCTATGAGTCTCACAGTTGTGAATTTGTTATTACTAGTTGATATCTGATTAGATACCATCCTGAGATTTTATACACACAAGATGATTGTTCCTAAATTAAATATTATCAAAAGGAGCAGCATGAAATGTTACAATTTCACTGCTACTATTTTTAGCATAAAATATTTAACAGGAATATGGGGAAAGCAATCAACTGAGTATGAAGATTAGGTAGTTGCAACACACTCCAGCTTTATCAGATGAAAAGCTAATAAATAATAATTAGATAACCCTCAGTTATTGAAGCAACAGAGAAATGGTCCTTCAGAGAGGACAAGAAGGGCTGACATAGGAGTTTTGAAAAATCTGTTTCCAAGCAGGTTCATTTGTTTCAATTGCACCTAGTGCTTTTGAAATTTAATCAGTTATCCACATTAAGTTGGGAAAGTTCACTTCACAGAATTTGGCTACTTAATGGCTTGATAAGAACTCTCTGCACCACCATGAAATGAAATAGAGAACAAACACAACCAGAAGAAAAAGTTTGACTTTGAATAAAAAATGAACATACCCCAGTGTAAAAGTTCAAATCTCCACACAGCTCAACTCAAGTATGCAACTCATAGGGCAGTCTTGGCAAGCTTCTTTGCAGCCTAGCCTACCTTGCAGGGTGGTTTTATGTCAAAAGAGCACTCCTTGGAGGAACAGAGGGATACAAATGCAACACAATTCATTTTGGAAAGTACAGATTACATACCTGTGAACAGCTTTTGAAACTTGTCTCTGAACAGCCAGATTTCTGCCTTGTAATGCATAGACAGCTGATGTAAGAAGGCACCTCTCATAAACATCATCCTTTCTTTCTGCTAGCTTTAATAATTCTTTCAGAGCTGCCGTTGCAAGTGTAGCATCCTGCTTTATCAGCCCTAAAGCGCACAGAGCTTGCAGACTTCCTATATTAGGTTCCTGTAATATAGAACTGTAAGTACAACACAGATAAATGGTTACTCACTGCACTATTACCATAAAGTAAAACATGAAGGATCTGTTGTTCACATGGGCTAGAGTTCACTTGGAGTAGAATGCAATGTATGTGTTCCATATGTAGACAATCCCCAGGTTTAGATCCTACCATCACCAGTTGCTTCTTTTAACTGGATAAGTCAAGAATGCAGGCCTCTACCTAAATACATAGTTCTGGGATAGATGAATCAATGGTCTGATTTTGTTTAAGTCAGCCTGATATGTCCATCCTCAGATCAAGATAGCTGAATTTCTACTACTAACAAGTACGGTAACTACATCTTTTTAGTGCACTCATACAGAATCTTGCAGATATACAAGATTCACATTACTGGCAATGCCAAGTTTAGTTTTCATGACACTACTCTCCTTGCCTGCTGCTGAATCTGCAACTCATAACCTATTGAGTTGTGAATTATATTTTCCCCTAAAAACCTTTTCACATGCAACCTCCTTGAGATCATCTGGGGCAGTGTAATGCTACCAGCTATGGTGACTATTGTTCTGCCTCCATAGTTGGAGGCAGTATCCTTTGTAGCTAATGTTTTGATTGCAAATGGAAAATCAATGCAAAGACCAGCTTTATTATACTTCTTACAACATCTCCTGTTGGCAACTGGGGGGGAAAACGACCTAAAAATCATGACTCATCAAAACTGGACTGAAAATTGATATGAAGAAAAACAGTGAAACAACCTTGACCGTTGGCTGTTCTCTCCTGTTTCCAGGCAAGACTGCTGTTCCTTTCTTTTCTTTTCTTTTTAACAGGAGATGGAAACTACATTCATTTTCATTTATTACAGCCGGTTTACTGAAGCAATATAAAACTTAGCTTCTAGAGCAATAAGTCTACATTTTACAGCACTGCTTTGCCCTTCCTAATAAAACGATGCATGTTTACCATTACTCTCTAAAATAAATGACTAATATTGTGTAGGATGCTCTTAGTGATTCAACAGATGGCTAAAACAAGAATGGTGTTGCAGTGGTGAGCATTCACATTTTCTTGTATTAGGTTACCAAGTGCTCCAGGCCTGAAGAATAGTTGATCAGAATCCTTTGGAAAGGATCAGGAAATCTGAGGTCTAATGGCTACAGGCAAGAATTTCTGATCCATGTTAACAAAGTCTGCCTCCTCCCAAATGTTGCATTTTGGTACTGAACCCAAATCTCTGCACCCCTTTTCTGCTTCCAGTTATCAGTGCCATCATCTGAAGGCTTCATAGTACAGTGGTACCTCGGGTTACATACGCTTCAGGTTACATACGCTTCAGGTTACAGACTCCGCTAACCCAGAAATAGTACCTCGGGTTAAGAACTTTGCTTCAGGATGAGAACAGAAATCTCTCGGCAGTGGGAGGCCCCATTAGCTAAAGTGGTGCTTCAGGTTAAGAATAGTTTCAGGTTAAGAACAGACCTCCGGAACGAATTAAGTACGTAACCAGAGGTACCACTGTAGACTGTTTAAAGACATTTTACTAAAAAAAAAAAATTAAGGCAAAATGAAGTTAATGCAAAACATTCCAAATAGGTGAATATAAGTGGGACCGGCAACAGAATATTAGCTGCAGTAAATCTGGAAAAGGAACATTACAAGTATTGTTCAGACCTCTGAATACTGCCCAGGAGGTGGGACGGAAAGAGGAGCAGCAGCAAGAGAGACACACACACACACACACACACACACAGAGAGAAAATGACTTTTCAATTGACATCTTAACTCTCCATTCTCAGCTCCTCTCAGTGCTTGAATCAATGAATCTTTACAAGTTCTGGCTCCTTAAGAACATAAAAAGGACCCGGCTGGATCAGACCAACGGCCCACCAAGTCCAGCATCCTGTTCTCACAGTGGCGAACCAGATGCCTGTGGGAAGCCTGAGAGCAGGAGTCCTTATGAGCTCCTCCCCTGTGTGTAAGAGTAGAAAGTGAAGGGGTCCTTCTTATCCTGTTTTGGGATATTTTTAAACAGGGCTTTCTTTGAATTCACAGAGTTATGTGTTTCTGCATACCTAGAAAGTCCTTTTAGCATGAAGAGCCGCTGTCTTGTTCTGGGGCATCCCCATCTTGCTTTCAACCAGGAGGTATTTTAGCTACTCAGTTTACTGCGGGGTCTACAACAAAATGCTGCTATGTACCCTTTCCACCTAAAAGGAGTGCTTCTCTTTAGGGCTCTATCATGCCATTCCACCCAAGTAGGGCATTCTACTCCCTCTCAAGTTGCATTCTTTTTTCCTCAACTGTTACTTTACATTTGGTAGCTAGTAAGGCATATACAGTGCTAACAGGACTGTAGGTTGTTGGGGTTTTTTTTGCAGGGGGAGGGGTTGTTCCTTTGTGTGTGCGTGTGTTTCTGAAGATATTTTGCAGTACAAGAAAATCACTTTAATTACTGACTTCTGTAAATGCAAGAACCTATTACATACCATTTAAATAAGAGGGTTTTCGCATCATCCACTTGATCCTGCTTGTACTCCATTATTGCAAGGGCCGTTAGGATATAGGCTTTGTCTTGCTCACATTCGGCAACAGAGAGTGCTCTCTCATAAGCTAGTAATAAAATAGGAACGAAGCTTAAAAATTCAAAACAATAGCAAAAAAAGGAACCATGCTCAACTATTGCCTTGATTTCCCCAAAGACAAGCAGCACAATACATTAAAAAACATATTCTGTAATGGGCTGTTTGTTTATCACTCATGTGGTTAGAATGGGAATTTCTAAGTGCATCAAAACAGAGTTTTGTATTTTGTTTCCAGCTTATTATTCTTTCAGGTAGGAGAGAGCAGAAGCCTTTAACTTGCCCTAATCTCACAGGCAGGATCCCAAGGGCAAAGGAATATCTGAAGTGGCCCAGTGAGGATGTGTACTCATATTATCCAACTTTCAGCTTTGGCTCATACTCTCAAGCTTACAATCATAATTTGACCGAGGGAGCATGACTGGAAATAGCAAGTTTTGCCCTTTCTGAGTTGACTGCAAACAAATACAGAATACCTAGCTGAAAAAGCTGTTTAGTCAAAACTCTTCAACGGCAGGGGTCCACATATACATTTGCCATACTTATATTGGCAAGTGTCACTGGCAAAATAATGACACTAGCCTTGTCCTAAGCTTGAAAGGATGGTAGGTAATGGTTATCCCTGAAGTTGTGCTGCACTTTGAAGACATTCCAAGGAGCTTGGAAATGCAGTGTGCCTAACGATACAAACACACCCAGCATATTTTTCCTAGCTCAGATTTGTGCCCTGTTGCATTTTGCAGATGTTTGGAGTGCATCAGAAGCATGCCTGTGAGGATGACCCTCCATTATGAATCTTACAATGGCAGGGCTCAGGAAGAGAGCTGGGGATTATTTATTCTGCCCTGATCTCTACAGGTGTCTCCTAAGCATAGAGCAACTGCAGTGATGATTTCCTGCTCCCACTTTTCAGCTCCAATACTGGAAGAGAGCTGGGAATATTCTATGATGTACAGTCGTACCTCGGCTCCCAAACGCTTTGGGAGTCGAATGTTCCGGCTCCTGAACGATAAAAAAAACGGAAGGGAGTGTTCTGGTTTTCGAACGTTCTTTCAGAAGCCAGATGTCTGACGTGGCTTCCACATGTTCCCATTGGCTGCAGGAGCTTCCTGCAGCCAATCAGAAGCCACACTTTGGTTTCCAAATGTTTTGGAAGTCGAACGGACTTCCAGAACGGATTCCATTCGACTTCCAAGGTACGACTATTGTGCTTAGGAGGTTTGCAAAAGCTTGATGTGATGCTGGAGTCAAGACTCTGCCCTGCCTTGCTGAGGTCTGGATCCTGGCAACCACAAATTCTGGATGGGTGCTAAGACCGGCCAAAATTTATGGGCCCTCATAATATAGCTTGGGTCAACTGAATGGACCAATCTACAGTGCATCTCATTTGTATGAAGAGAAAAGGTATCATTTGTATGCATTAGAAAGGTATTTGAGAGAAGATTATCTATAGAACGCCCCCCCCCAAAACATTGGGATCTTAATGCATGTTTCTACATCACAGTATAATCCAGTTAACGTTGCAAATTCATACTAATTATCCTGAAGAGATGTTATGTGTGTGCAACACTTACCCTTCTGACTTTCTTGGAAATGTCCTTTCTTGAAGTAAGCCTGGGCAATTCCTAAAATATCATCAAATTCTGTGAGACGAGTCAACAAGTAAGCCTGGATGGCATCATCATAATGACCTAGAGCACTTTCAAGAAGGAAAAAGAACAAAACTCATTCATATCAATTTCAGGCCTAATTATGAGCTCACAACAAATGGTTTGGTGCAATCGAGCTCCATAAAAAACTATAAGGAGTAAATGCTACCCACTATACTGGACATGATGCAGTAGTTCATTTGTGAGCAACACTTAGTGCATAGGTCAATTCACCTCCAGAAATGATGTAGAATTGTTTCAAAATGGAATACTGCTATAAAGAGAGGGGAATGGGAATATAATTTAAGGTGCTGATCTTAAATTGTAAGGCCATGTGTTTGAATTCTGGCTACCTTAAAAATTGCTTCTCCACTGATGAACTTTGAAAACGTATTATTTATAAGATTTAAAATGCAATCAGAATACAAGGAATCAAGGTAAAACAGCAACACCTTTAGTCTTCCTTCAAATCCTTCTTCAAAGCCCACCTTTTCCATGAAGCCTTGGGCAGAACTGCCTAGTTCCCACACCCTATTCTAACCTAGACTGCAATTAAGTCTAAGCACATGCAACTGAAACAACCACATGTTACCTCTCTGCGTCCCCTATCCTACCCGTTCTCTGTTGTTTCCCATGCCAAATTTTAAACTGGGGCTGGGACCTCCCATACACACTGGTGGCACTGTATAAATCAATCACCCATGATACAAAATATATACCCATCTAGTCAAAAACTAATATCCAAACACTGACACTCAGCAATTTAAGTTCTATGTGTAGGCTGGGATCCAAAGGAGAATGCTGTTTGTTCTGCTTGCATCTTGGCTATTAATGTCTGGAATCAATTATGGAATTAATATAGCAGATGAAGCAATCTTCTAATAAGAGCAATTGCTTAATGCAAGTCAAACCATTTACAATGTGACAGTCCATTGCACCCCTTGAAAACAGCAGAAAATCTCAGTAATTAAAATACTGGTGGATTCCTCATTATTTACTACTTAGACCCTGCCTTTCCTCCAAGAATCTCAAGGCAGAGTACATTCTCTGTTTTAGCCTCACAAGAACCCTGAAAAGTAGGTTGGAATGAGAGAGGACAACTGGTCCAAGGTCACTTAGTGAGTTTCATACCTCAATGGAGATCCCAGGTTTGATATATGCTAAATTATGTCTTAATGGATTATTACTATGAAAACGTATTATATCAAGTGACACAGGAATAACATATCCTAGTAGAAGCACAATGTGCAAATGCAGTAAGAGTCATATTCATTATTAAAAGGTTTTTGCCAATAAGAGTTCTTAATTTTAGGTGAAGATTAAAATAACAATTTGTCCAAAAATAAGCAGACTTACCACAGTGCTCTGCCATAATTTCTCATTGCTATACAGTATTTCTCTTTATCTTCAGAATTTTTCAACAGCAGAACTGCCCTGTAAAGTGAATGTAAAAAAAAAAAGAGGTTCAAAATTCTACATACTTATTTCAGTAAGATCACTTTATCCAAATTTTAAGAACTAGGGCTTGATTCTAGTAATTAAAATTATTTTTAAAAAAACTCTCAGGTATGCAAGCCCCATGTAGAAAGGGGGGGGATACTATTTTATTGCATTTTTTGACAAAACCTTTATTTCAGAGGTGTATCTTTATCTTTCCAATTATCTTATATATCCTGTTTCATCTTCAGTGCTCAAGGAAGATTATATTTAAATAATGTTCGTTTCACACTTGCAAATCATCAATCTTCTAGTGTGACAGCAGCTATTCTCTGAAACTCTCTGCCGATTAATATTAGGCAGATTAATATTAGGCAGATTCATTGTATTGTTTTCAATGCTAAAACTTATCTGTTTAGGCAAGCCTATGCAAACATGTAACTTTATGACATCTAATTGTTTTTTTTAAAGTGTTGATTTTGTCTATATTTTGATCATTTTTAGCATATCTAATTCCTATATCTTGGATGAGCCGGGAACATGTAACACCAGTTCTGAAAGAACTGCACCAGCTGCTTGTATGCTACTGAGTCCACTCCTCTTCAATGTACTTTCACTGACTTACAAAGGCCTATCTATACCTGGAATACCTAAAATAACGCCTTCTTCTGTATAGAACCGGCCCTTTGGTTATGATCTGCCAGAGAGCATCTCTTGTTGTTCAGCAGTTTACCTTTGGTAGGCATCTACGGCTTGCTTTTTCAGCTGGAGATATTCATTCAAATAACCAAGCATTATGAAGGCACATGCATCATTTTGGATTCTTTCTGCAATAACAAATGATGTACACACAAACAAAATGAAAAGAAGAAAACCATTATTATTATTACTGTTGTTATTATATTTCAATTTATATACCACACTTTAATGCGTACGACATTAAAAACACATTACAGAACATCAACGATAAAACATAATAAAAAGCATACTGACACACAGCCTAATAATAAAATAGTCATCATAATAGCAGTCCTCTCCCACACACTTTCACGTTTTTATTATTATCTTTATTACATATTTATTTATACCCCGCCTTTCCCCCCCAATGGGACTCAAGGCAAATTACAGATAAAAATAAAAACAATAATTGAAAACTATTAAATATTGACAGAATTAAAACTATATACATATATAAAATCTGCTTAAATGACACCAATAATTACAATAAAACAACACGGCACCAGCCCTTTCATGAAAAGCCAGTTGGAACAAGAAAGTCTACACCTGCCGGACAAAGGACAACAAGGAGGGAGCCAGTCTCGCTTTTCTAGGGAAGGTTTTCCAAAGTCTGGGAGCAGCCACTGAGAAAGCTAAATAATGCATAACTTAATAAACCACCGGGTTCCATTCTGACTTGACTGAGGTTTAAATAAGTGACATCCCTGATTACAAGGAAAGAGAAACTAGGCAGCTGCCTTAAAACATACGAGAAATTTACCTGTGTATTTGGTCAGAGCAATCTGTGCTGTTGGAATAGCATTCATTTGAAGAATATTGTACTTATACAATTCAGTGTTTCGGTTGGTTTTGTCTTGCAGGGTTGAGCACACCCAGTGGGCATAACCTTTAGCGCCTTCAGTCTGATTGAACAGAAAACACAAGCGGAGTTAATAACTGCACAACTAGGAAGCCTTAAATCTTTTACTCCTGGTTTTAAGCTTATACTCCTCTGAAATGTATACAAAGCACCTGGATCAATACTGTTCGAGCTAAATGCCAGTAATTTCGTTCATTTGGCTAAAGCCCCAAACGTTTTCCATGTACAGCACTCTGAAACAAACTCAGCCACCATGTTCCAGAATACACCTGAACAAAGTGCACCAGGAACATGGGAAATTCTAGTGGCAGCCTTGGGACAGTCCCTCAGCTTCCTGTTTAATGGTCTGCAACCTGAAACAGGGTCAAGTGCTTACATGCATGCGGAGTTCAGTGGTATGCCTGAAGAGGTCCATCGTTTCATAGCTGCCTACAGTTTCTGCAATGAGCGCCTGAGGGGGAAAGGAAAGGGGGAAAATAGCTCATTGATTTGACATAGCACGCACCAGCTTTGTTCCTCTTTATAAATAGCTTATTCCTATCTTTTTCCTCACCACAGGTTTTCACCATCAGTTGCTAAATTCATCTATGATAGAACTAAAATTCAGTGCAGCCAGTTCTAGTTAGGTCCTCAGGAGTAACACTCCCAATCCTGTAGGCTAGTACTCTGAGCACCTAGGACAGGCATCCCCAAACTTGGCCCTCCAGATATTTTTGGGACTACAACTCCCATCATCCCTAGCTAACAGGACCAGTGGTCAGGGATGATGGGAATTGTAGTCCCAAAAAGATCTGGTGGGCAGAGTTTGGGGGTGCCTGACCTAGGATTTCGATGCATGGGTGATTGGATTCCTTGCACAGAGGAAATGTCCTCTGCCCTAGTTGCCTGGGTATAGGAGGCCATTTTAGCTGCAGTGGTGCACACCCATCTTTATACCATCAAGCTAATGAAAACTGATGGTGCTGGAGCCTGTCCTGTATTTCAGGGTCCGTACTTCCAAGCTCAACTGTGTTCTCAACAGTGCTGCTACAGTCTCTGAACAACCACCAGAGGCACAGTGTGGAAATGCCACAAAATCCATTTCTGCCAGTTTCACTATAAAAGAATAGGTGACACCAAGAAAAGTAGGAGAATACAACGAACTAGAATTTGAATGAAAAAGAAAGGAAATAATGAGGAAGTCTTTTTAGAAAGCCAGGTTTTATGGTAAGCCAGCACTCATATGCAGTAACTTAACTAGCGGGAGATCGATCAGATTCAGTTTCAATATAATCATAATGCCAATCAGAACACAACTGGCATATATATATGCAAGGCTGAAAGAAGTTTCTTAACATCTTACCTGCCCAATCCAACATGTTAGATAGGAGGGTTCTAAGGATTGAGCTACTTTGAAGGCTTCATGTGCTTGCTGGAAGAATATATAAAATTGATAGAGAAGTGTTAAATTAGCCTGGCAGTGGCTGAGAATGTCACTAAGTATTTTTACAAGATACAAGTGAAATTATCCCTTCCTCTCATGTTTGACTTACAAATAATGTAAGGTAATGCTATAATCTGTGGCAACCTGAATATTGTAAATATTTTAAAAATATCACTATCACTTTCTATTCCTCGCCCCCCAATGAACTAATGAAAAAGCTTGCATATGAGCCTGGATACAGTGAGCTTTGCCAGTATCTCTAGTAAGCAGAAAATTGGCCCTCAAATAATATCCCCCCCCCCCGGAAATATTACACAGAGGTCTCAAATAGAGGCCAGAAACTAGCATCAGTTCTCCCAAGAAGAGATTCTTGTTTTCTGTGCAAAACAGCAGCAATTAACAAAAGTTAGCTTGCCTAGTTTATAACTCTGAAAACTTAGGAAATTGAGAGGGAAGCATGAACTCTCTTAGGAACTAAAGGCAAGCAAGGCCTGACTTTTTACCTTCACAGTTTATTTCTCTGTTTCTTATCAAGCGTAGTCCTGGTCTGTTAGCTCTTCTCCTCCCTTCAGAGAACCACCCTTTTTGATACCACAATTTTCTTCTCTTCCTATTTTGGTTCATATTTCAATATACTGCATCCTTCAACTCCCTCTACTTTTCCCTCCACAAGAGGTCTAGTGGGCGGCAACACGAGAACGGGCCTTTTCTGTGGTGGCTCCCTGTTCATGGAATGCTCTCCCCAATGAGGCTCGCCTGGCAGCTTCATTACCTATCAGTGGGATTTTTTTTAATGCTTCTCTTTTTCCTTTTGGTTTTAATGTATTTATGTGTAATTTTGTTTGTTGGTTTGTAGGTTGGTTTGGGTTGCCCTGGGCAAGATAAAGCAACTAACAAATTCAATAAATAAAATAAATACAATTTAAAAGAGTGTGTTAAAGTTCTTAAGGTTTTTGTTGCCACAGTCTCTGAAAGGCTTTTGTGACATCTTTGAGAGACAGACAAGCTATTGATAATTGTGGCAAGGCATGTTCAATGGGTATGTTCTTCATCCCAATAAATATACCTTGGTTGACAATGACAATGGAATTTTGGTGTTTAAATGGTCTGATAAGCACAATAAAACAGGAAGATAGAAACTATTTTTTTTACAGTTGGCACATCCTTAAGTCCTTCCATTTATGACTCTGTCTTTGGAGCAGGTAGCATGTGCACTCATACTTATTTACCTCTATGTTTCCAGTTGTTAAGTACAAGACTCCCAAATTGGTCCACGCAACAACATTCTAGACAAAACAAAGGTTACAAAAATTAAATTTAACATTACTGAATCTCCTTTGGAATAGGTGCACTTGTGTAGAACACTTACAATTTGTTCAGATTGAATAGATTTGATGAATGCATGTTGTGCAAGGACATAGTTTCCAACACCTGAAAGACAGATCGAATTATAACATCCTCTGCTATATTCAACAGAGCTCTGAGCAATTAAGAGAAGGACTATATTTTAGAAGTTTTACTTTGAAATGTACCTTTGCAACAGGCCACCACGCCCAGAGCATTCCAGTATAGATGGTTGTTACTGTCTAGCCTCACAGATTTTTTAAGACACTGGAAGAGATTGAGAGTGCAGTGCTGTAATTCAATATGTCAAACGTTTTGTGTGTTATCCCAACAGGGTTTGTTTTTGTTTTTTAATAGCCATAGCTTAGAAATACTCCTAACAGTGATAGGTCCATTAGTGTAAACTGTATTAAAGAACACAAGAAGGTTTTAAAAAATTACCTGTACAGATTTCTCTAGCAGCTCACTAATCTCATTCTTGTTACTGCCCATTTCCGTAAGATGCTGTGCTTGATGATAGTAGTTTATCCCAAGATCACACCACGTATTTGGCGAAGACATCAGTTTTAATCCTCTACCATAACACCTACAGAAATATAAATCACAAAATTAAGAACGTGATTTATATCAGCAAAACAGATGGGAAAGAAAGTTTTAAAAAAAATTAATTCAGTGATGCTATCAAAGGTTGTTGTGTTTCTATCCTGTCTTCCTGAAAACAAACGCCTTTAAGGAAAGAACGGAACATTACACAAGCTTCATACTTGAGAGCAATGCTGTCCAATGTAGTGATGGTTAGACAGCAAGAAATCTGAATACACCTTGGCCCACATGCCATCAATTGGGGGGCAAATTTGGTACTGAAGAATTGTAAAGCCACACATTCTAAAGGCAAGCAATAAAGGAGCCAAAATACGTTGCCTGGGCTGCAGCTGAGCAGGTGGAGTGCCAGACCCAAGGTCTAAGTTATCTCACACACTTCATCTCTTGGGATCTGCTCCTCTCCGTTTTCCCAAGGCATGCGTAATCTAACATTTGGGGGTTCCACACAGTAGCTATGCAGGCTGCTGGCTCACATCTGTATGCCCACATTCAGTCTTTTTACCATTTGCTTCCAGACCTGTTAAACATGGAGGTCTTTGCACCTTTCTTTGATGTAAGGTATACTGATTGCTAGATGTGAAAATATGTCTGAAGTAAGGTGGATATCAGAGCAATGGCTGCCACCCAAAGTCAGTGAAATTTCCTCAAAGCACAGGAAAGCAATGTTAAGCACTTCCAGGGGAAGGAGGGGGGATTAGTTTCAAAACAGCAGTCTATTAATTTCTCCTCCTCAGCTTTGAGATTATAGTTCTCTGGTCTGTGCTAGGCAAAGCAGTTCAGGTGAAGGCATCCGGACTTATAGGCCGTAGAATATTTTATAACACACGCTATACATTACCTTCCTCCCAGACTGAGCAGGTCACTTTTCTTTAGCACACATTTGTCTGTGTTCTGACCAATAAGGAATCCTAAAACTTTCACATTCACTTTGGATGGCGAAATGACAGAAACACTGCTACAGGCATCTCCAAGCAGTTTCCAAAGGCAAGATACTTCAGGACGATGCTTTGCTGCTCTGAAAGGGGGAAGAAAAATCAGAAAAGTGGAGTCCATCTAATTTACCTGCTACCTTTTACAAAAGATAAAGCTAAAATCTTCTCAGCTGACAAAAAAGCATTCTCCTTACACGCCTAAAAACACCCCAAGTATCAACTTGTGAAGAAAAACCAATGGTGCTGGATTTCTTCTATATGCCTCAACACATTTTACAGTTAATTCTTAACATCCAGTTACAGAGCTAGAGACTTAGGTGCATTCAACTCTTTCTGGATTTCTGCCCATCTTTCTGATCCCCAAATCTATGGGAGTTCCAATGAGCACATGGGCTTTGTCATTCCCCATCAATGCTGGGAACCTCTTTCAAAACAGGCATGAGGATGCATTTTACCTCCAATGCTGAAACAAACAGGAAATGGTTTGTATATTCAGGCATGGCCAAACTTGGCCCTCCAGCTGTTTTGGGACTACAACTCCCATCATCCGTAGCTAACAGGACCAGTGGTCAGGGATGATGGGAATTGTAGTCCCAAAACAGCTGGAGGGCCACGTTTGGCCATGCTGGGATATACTGACCTTTATCATTTATAAGATTCAACTCTCGTTTGTGTGTTTGCTACTACTTACCATTTAAAATTGATGTTGTTTGTTGAAATAAGGCAACCCTTTAGCTACTAATGGAGATTAATATACGGACACTAACCTTGCTAAAAAGCCAAGAGATTGTTCTGTGTAGTCCAGGGCTTTCCCATCCAGGTAATCAGCAAGGGCAGTCTTGGCCATCATGAGATAACACTCTCCCAGACCTGAATAGAACTAATAGCCTGTTAATGTGTGGTCAAACTGCAAGAAGGATGAACTAAGCTCCTAAGTCTCATACAATGGCCGATACTGGAAAACCATTTGATGGACACTATGCATATTTAGCATAATTTTAAAATGCACATTACCAGAAATACAACAATAAGCTAAGGATAATGAGGATATTAGTATCACATATATATGCAAGTTATTTCCAAATAAGTGAATACAAGGAACTAAGGTGTGAGGGATATCTTTACCTCCTTCCTCATTCAAGATGTAGAATGATGGAAGAATTAAGCAAGTGAATGAATTCTTCTCTTGGTTTTTGTTAGAATACAGAGAAGAAAGTACTCCTGCTAGCTATTTGTTAATCTCCCACATATTTAAGGTATGTCAGAGGTTAACAATGCATAGCTCCAAAATAGGCAGATTCCTACGAAATACTCTTTCCTCATGTCTCAAGAACAGACTACCGCTTTCTCTCACTTCTAAATTAGCTATACTGACTTCCAATCACCTATACCAGTGCTGGGCCGTTTGTGACCCTCCCAGGTATTATTGAACTCCAGTTCCCAGCAGCTCCAGACAGCATAGGGAACAGTCAGTAATTATGGAAACTGTAGTCCAACAATATCTGGAGGGTCAGTGGTTCCTCACCAACCTAACTCTGTAGGCGTAGTGAATATATAGCGTATATCTTTGTACCCAACAAAAAAACAAAACATGAATACCTTTCAGCGCAGGGACATAATCCTTTGATTTCGTCAAGATGTGCTGATATTCTGCAATAGCATCCTTATATTTTCCTAGAATCTGTTCAATTGCTGCTGCCTTATAGATGCTATATATAGACTTGGGGTTCAGTTCTCTGGCCTTCCTGAAAGACTTCAGTGCAGTTGTGTAGCCGCCTCTGCTCAGATAGGCCTCTCCTAGAGATTCCCAGCAGTGGGGATCCTTTGGATCTGCTCGCAGAGCTGCCTGCAAACTGGGCACATTGGAATAGTAGTTTATATTCAGAAGTGTTTGGGCTGCTTTTGTTCAATCCTCCATCACAGCCCCAAGTAAAACAAAACAGGCTACTATTTGGGGCTACCGATTTGAAACAGAATTTACACTAGTTTTGTTTTTGGTTTTTAAGATGTACCAATGGTTAATTTGGGGGGAAACCACCAGTCTTCACAAAAGCAGCACATTCAGTTCACTGGGACTCATGCAAGAATGCTATGGAAGCTGCCAGGTTCTTCTTCATCATTATAACATATAATGGTCACTTGTTACCTAAAGTCTCAAAGTAACTTGCACTTTTAAATAACCAAGTTTGGGTGGCCATGTCCAATTTTTGTACAAAGGTAGAATCCTGCACCCTGCATTCAGAGAGTATAGCAAGGCTGCCTAGGAGCTCCATGACAACCCTACCCCATCTTCAGCCTCCAAACTTGTCACAATTTGCAGAGGCCATTCAGTTATACCAGAGGATTTTTTAAATTTAATTTTTGCATGTTATCCTTCCATCCTCAAGGTTTCTGAGTTCATGCTGCTGCTGCTGCAGGTTGGGGCTGTGGCTGGCTGGCTGGCTGGCTGGCAATGAGCTCGCAATAAGATGCTGTTGTAAGATGCAGGAAGCTGCTACTGAATGACCCTGTCAAGCTGCAACATACTTGGATTAGCAGCAGCATCCCATGCACAGAGGCACTGCTTAGGGAGAGGTTAGGGGTGTTCATACAGTCCAGTGTGAGCCTTTTGTAACTAAAAAGTGCAGTATTGCACCTCAAATGTTTTGCAGAGACAGAATAAAAGGCAGGTTGTTTGTAACTGTTACTGAAAATCAGCAGCAAGCAGTCAAATTCACAGAAGATTTGCCGTTTTTTAAAAAAATGTATATGTGCATTATCAGACCATCTGTTTATATTGCCTTTTGCAGAAGACATTGAAATGCAATTATTCTCTTACTCTGCCACTGCTTGTGAATGTTGACCGGCTCTTAAGTAGTGAAGTCCACGACGAAGCCAGGCCCATTTTGCTCTCCCAGCACTTGCTCGTTCTGTTACCTCCGTCAAGATGGCAAGGGCAGTTTGCTAATGTACAAATATAAGGTTATGAATAGTTTATTATGTGTGCATATGGAATTACAAAGAACAGACATTCCTACTACTATAACAGAAACAAGCAAACACAAAGAAGTTTTTCTGAACTATATCCAGAGGGGTAGCAGTGTTTGTTCTCTTTGCTATGGCGTTGAGTTGGGGCATCTTAAAGATAAGCTTAAGCCGCATAAAGTGTAATTGTCAGCTGTAGGTATTTATTCACATGTAGGGGCTGTAAGCAGTGAGGTCAGAATGAAATGGAAGACATTCAGACAGTGACAATTTAATTAGAGCGAGAATGTATGCAAAATAAGGTAAAGCGACCCTTTGCAACATCAGTGATAGGTGATAAAACATTCAAGAAGAGAAAATGTTTATGAAATGTTTGCATTTTACAGCTATTCTGATCAGTGCAGTACATTAAAATGCTCCAACTTATTACAGTACCAAGTCTCCAAGCTCGGTGCTTAAGTCCACTACCGCTGCTCCAGCTTCTCCATCTGTTTTATCTTTTTCAAAAGCCTTTTTATAGCAGCCAAGTGCTCTGTTTTTATCTCCAGCTATATCCCTGTAGTATTGACCTAAGTAGTGGAAAGCACTTCCCAGGTAATTGTCCAGTTTTGCTGCCTGTGAAGAAAAATAACAACACAGTACATTTCAATCCATCATTTTCATATGCAGGCACACGGCTTTTCAGCTGAGAAAACAAAAAATTACAAAAAGGACACCAAAAGAGCACCTTCTCTCATAATATCTGTCCACACTTTAAAATAATATTTGGCACCTTTCTCTGGGTGCCCCCACTATCAAGAGCGAGATGGGTGGTGAATGGGAAAAGGGCTATCTCTGTTGTGGATTCCAGACCTGCAATGCCCTCCTCCCTTCTAGCAACCTTCAGCTGCAGATGAAGTCTTTTTTTTTATTTACCAGACCTTTTTAAAATGTGGTTGAGCATCTAGGTTTTATTATGCTGCTGTGATTTAATGGGTCGGTGTTTTTTTTTACTAACCTACTAGCTTTGTACACCACTTTTACTGGTATGTTTTATTATTGTTGTTAATGTTTCTAAAGTTGGAGGCTCCCTTGGAGTGGCAAACTCAATCATTTAAATAAAATACATTAATGAAAGGAAGGAAGGAAAAAAAGCAAGGAAATAATGAAATTTCAATCTCTCTCTTAAAATCACTAAGAATTCGTGTTTTCTGTGGAGCCATTAACTTAACACTCTGTCCTCATTTCTAATCCAAAACATAAACTATATTTTATAATATAATATAACTAATAACCATATTTTCCTCCTCCTCCCCCCCCCCACTCCTCTTTTGCTACTTTTGGTTCTCTTGTCCACATCACAATATTTACCGTATTGGCCCAAACAGTGCTTTTTTTCCTAAAAAATGTTTAGGGGTACTCTCCTTTTCCTATTCATATTGAAATACAGAAAATAAGCCACTCCCTCTCTGCTCCTGGCTGCATGGGGGGGGGGCTTTTCCCTTCCTCGCTCTCTCTCCCTTCCCAGCCTTGGGGGAGAGGATGGGAGACTACACACAGGGCGGGCACCGCTTTGCCGCACTCCTGGCACTGTTTGCCCCATGCTCCTGGCTGCATACCGTAAGGTCGCAAATATAAGCCGCACTTTAACTTTTCACAGTAAGGTGAGGCTTATATTCAGGCCAATACAGTAAATGGTAAGCTCCTTGGGGCAGAGGCCTGTTTTTGATATTGTTTTATAACACAGTGGGCATACCACTGGCACAATGTCAAGATTTTTTTCTGAGGCTTAATAAGCAGCATGGAGATTCGTATTCGTTCTCCTCATTTATCACGTCAAGGGGTCTTACAGGAACCTTTTCGAAGCAGCTAACTTCCGCACCACTAGCTTCTAATGGGTGTGGCAGGAACAACCTGAAACACATAGGTTGCATCTCTCACAATTCCCTTTCCTTCTCATGATAAACACTGTGTGTTCATCTGGAACATTCCAGAACTGGGAGGAAGACGTAAGGAGAAAGATTTGGCTCCTTGGTTCCTTCACTCTGCCCTTGATTTTCCCACAGGCTAGTAATCAAGTTGCTGACCACTGTCTGGAAGAGGAAAAATCATTATGAAATATGTTCAGCTGTAACCCATTTCCGTCCTCATGGTTTACCTTCAGAAACTGAGTAAGAGCTTTGGATTTATTTTTTCTTGTTTCTTCACTCATAAACCAATAAGTGAGGCCCAGGCAGAAATGGAAGTCAGCTATTTCCGCTTCTTTTTCAATAGCTCTCTGGAAACTAAAGAAAGAATATTTTTTTATATATGCTTGTTTATTTCAAGTTTTCTACCCCAAATGAGCATGGTTTACCTTGCTTCTGCCTGATGATAGTTCTTTTGCTGATAATGAATCAAACCTTCAAGGTAGTCAGCTTCTGCTAAGTCTGGGTGGGTCTGTTTAAGCTCCTGTGCAATCTATAGTATAAAAAGTGTTAAATTCTACAGTTTCATATGGAGCAATGTCATATTTTTAACAACAGGCTGTGTTATTGAGGGTGGGGACACACATACTAACCTTCAAAGCTTCATCAACAAGCCCTTTATTGAGGCAGGCCTCTCCTTTAAGAGCTATAAGCTTGGGATCATTGTTTCTGTCCAAAACCTAGGAACCAAACGCATGTTTGAAATGTCAATCTTCAGAAAACTGAAGCTACCTTGTGAGAGAAATACTTATTAAACCAAACCTTACTGAAGTCTAAATAGTAGAATAATATTGCCACTCTGTTCACTCTGTGAACACAATGATTCCTCTGTCTGTCTGCCCAGAAACAGACAATAGTTTCAGAGTATTCAGTAAAGAGACCAACTTTCCCCAATCACTGCAACACTATGAAGGGGAAACCTAGACTCAATGAAATTCTCCCTCCTTACAACTATAAAGGCACAAAGGACCCCTCAGCATCTTAAACTGGAAAGCCTAAGGCAGATTTCATTTACCAAAGTTGTTTAAAGAGAGACCCCAAGGTGGCTGTCACCAATGGAAGCTAAGGCCCAGAAAAGACTCAATATGGAGGCTAAATGGCCGAAATATTGGGAAATATTAGAAAAAGATGGAGATTCTTGGAGGTTGCAGAGTTTGGAAAAACTAAAAGATAAAGTTCGAGATTGGCTACACTATGCTCAGATTAAAGAGGTTTTTAATTTGGACAAAAAGATAGGATTCCAGGTGGAAAAATCGAAGTTAGAAACATAATTGTTAGAACCTAAAACTAAGGTTCTTTCAAAAATGTACAACTTGCTGCTAAAATGGAATACACAAGATGAAACGGTTAAATCAGCTATGATAAAATGGGCACAAGACATTGGGTATAACATTATGTTTGCTGACTGGGAAAAGTTATGGACCACCGGTGTGAAGTTCACGGCATGTAATGCCTTAAAAGAAAATATTATGAAAATGATATACAGGTGGTACATGACCCCAGTCAAGCTTGCAAAAATATATCATCTGCCTGATAACAAATGTTGGAAATGTAAAGAAACTGAAGGAACGTTCTTTCACCTCTGGTGGACTTGCCCTAGGGTTAAGGCTTTCTGGGAAATGATTTATAACGAGTTGAAAAAGGTATTTAAGTACACCTTCCCCAAGAAACCAGAGGCCTTACTCTTGGGCATTGTTGGCCAGAGGGTGCTAAAGAAGGATCGAACATTTTTTATGTATGCAACAACAGCAGCAAGGATACTTATTGCTAAACATTGGAAAACTCAAGATTTGCCCACACTGGAAGAATGGCAGACGCAACTGATAGACTATATGGAATTAGCAGAAATGACTGGCAGAATCCGCAACCTGGGAGAAGAAGAAGTGGAAGAGGATTGGAAGAAATTCAAGGACTATCTACAAAAATATTGTAAACTGTATGAGTGTTAAGAAAGATGCAAGAATAAAAATAACAGGGCATCAGTAAGCTAGTCAAAAGGAAATTGAGAAAAAGGTGAAAAAATTAGGAAAAGTTAAAATTTGGGTTAATAGTATGTCTAAATTAAGAATTTAAGTTTTTGGTTAAAGTACTTAAAATTAGAGACATAATATTGTAAAAATACAAAATAAGAATTGAAATAAGGTGATAAATTTGCTAATTAGAACTTTATAAATTTGGAATGCAGGAACGTGAGACGTGAGGGAGTCCAAAAAGGTGAAGAAAATATGATGATTAAGGATCTAACTTTGATGTTGTATGTTTTTCTTTTTTGTTTTTTTTGTATGCGTGTTTTTCTTTGTTTATTGTATGTGATTTGGAAATAATGTTTAAAATTCTCAATAAATATTTAAAAAAATAAAATAAAAGGGAATTTTTTAAAAAAACAAAACAAAACAAAGTTGTTTAATGAGGGGAGGGAGAAGCTATTCACATACCTGTTCAAGGGAACTTATAGCTTCTTTTGCAGAGTCGACACCTGGGATTTTAATCAAGGCCATGGCTTTGAAGCGATGAGCAAGGTTTCTCTGCTGCTGACTGGAACTGGATTCATTAAGTTGTCCCAATATCTTTAAAGCTGCCAAAGAAAGAATTGTAATTCTATGTTTGACTTAAACTTGGTTTAAAAGACACTGTATTTGCCCATACAGTTTAACATTGCTCTTTCGATACACCACCCATCAATTATGGATTGTAAAATAAACCACTAGCTTGAGAAGTGGTTAACATTGCAACATATTATCTGTATCCTATGAAGCAATTTCAAGAAAAGGCTATTACAATCTACCAGTTTGTAACCTATATTTTATTAGCACTATATAAAACATGTATTCCACCCCCCTAAATTTATAAGCCCACCTTTCACTGAAATGATCCCAGGGTGAGTTACAATACAAAACCAGCAAAACAGCATACCCAGTTAGTGTGTTACTATATCTGGGATCACAGAAATCTGAAATAACGTTGACAAAAAAATATTAAATATACTAAACACTGAGGTGTAGTACCCATTTGTTGCATGTGCCTGCTACTATAAAATTAGAGTGGCAGAGAAGGCTTTTTTTCTGTTATTAGTATCAAGATTGTGGAACCAATCTTCCACAAGAAATACACCAGATGCAAGCGCCTATTCTTTTTAAACAGACCTTGAAAACCTTTATTAGATTAGCCTTTGACTGCTGAGCATGTTAGTGGAGTGCTGCAATTTCAGCTTACAACTGCTGCTTGAAATTGCTGTTCTATTGCCTCTATAGTTATTTGATTGCTTTATTCACTTTTTATTATTATTATATTGTTGTTGCCTGCCTTTGGGATATTTTATCAAAAGTTGAACTACCTTTTTTCTGAAGAAGTTGTATTTTAGCTCTTCAATTACCTTGATTGCAAGAAAGAACAGCTTCTTTGTATTTATGCATTTTCACTTGTGCCTTTCCTAAGTAACACCATGCTTCCGGACACTGGCTGGTCTGCTGCAAACCTGACAGGAAAGATTTTGCATGTTTAACATGATTTAAACACACGAGTTCAGATGGCACTTGCAATTACTAGAATTTTAATGCTATTTAACTTTTCAATTCATGAATACCTGACAATAACCATAGCCCCACCCCAGAAGTAACCTGTTCAACTATTATGTTTTGCCTTACGTATATTCGATCTTAGTATCTGATATACTTGAACAACCTCAAACCTACAACAATATACAAATTAGATTTCATATAGATTGGACATAAATTGTCACTCAGAACTAACTTTGAACTCCTCCTTCCCTCAAAAAGTGTCTAAGGATAATTTACATTCTAGTGTAGAGTCCTAAAGACAGCATAAATTCTGAAAACTGATTGCATATAAGAATATATCAGAGCCCAAACTGGGAGAAAAAAAATAGTTTGGCCAGACTCAATAATGCCTCCCTAAAAAACAAGGATAGCATTTCACTCCAATTCAATCATATTATTCCTATAATATACATTATGTACACACCCATTGTTCTCTTCCCATATCGCTCACCTTCTGTTAGCTTTTTTTCACCTTCATCGTATTTTTTTTCTTGGAGAGATTGAATCCCTAATCCAATAAGGGCTGGGCCACTTCTTGAGTCAATATCCAACAGCTTCCGACAACAATTCAGGGCCTCATCAGTGAAACTGCCTAGAATGCATAGAGGAATTTCCGTTTGGCCACAGTTTAGAAGGTAAGAAAACGAAAATCTCTCTAGTGTTTTCACTATATTATTTTTCTGGTGTCACATACTATTTTCTGAGTTGTCCAAAACAAATCCTGAATGCCTTGTGGCATTCAGAAGCATTGCAGCCTCCAACTGCAATGGCTGAGCATAGCCGTCATGGCTAGTGGCCAATGACAGTAAAAGCAAGCTGCTTTAAGTTAAAAAATGCTTACATTAGCAGTTCGTACTGTTTTCATGGCTCCATGATCACTGCAGATGGTGACAGCAGCCACGAAATTAAAAGACGCCTGCTTCTTGGAAGAAAAGCAATGACAAACCTAGACAGCATCTTAAAAAGTAGAGACATCACCTTGCTAACAAAGGTCCGTATAGTAAAAGCTATGGTTTTCCCAGTAGTGATGTATGGAAGTAAGAGCTGGACCATAAAGAAGGCTGATCGCCGAAGAATTGATGCTTTTGAATTATGGTGCTGGGGGAGACTCTTGAGAGTCCCTCGGACTGCAAGAAGATCAAACCTATCCATTCTGAAGGAAATCAGCCCTGAGTGCTCACTGGAAAGACAGATCCTGAAGCTGAGGCTCCAATACTTTGGCCAACTCATGAGAAGAGAAGACTCCCTGGAAAAGACCCTGATGTTGGGAAAGATGGAGGGCACAAGGAGAAGGGGACGACAGAGGACGAGATGGTTGGATAGTGTTCGCGAAGCTACCAGTATGAGTTTGACCAAACTGCAGGAGGCAGTGGAAGACAGAAGTGCCTGGCGTGCTCTGGTCCATGGGGTCACGAAGAGTCGGACATGACTAAACAACAACAACAACAACACTGTTTTAATAAGGCTTAGGCAAGCCTTTTGTTCTATGTTTTGCTACATTGCTTGTTAAATTGTTACTTGCCCAGAGCTTTAAGAATGGGGCAGTATGTAAATCTGGATATAAATAAAAACCAGCTGCTTTCAGTACGGCACTTTCAACCAGTCTTGTGACACGTGATGGTACATAATGGAAAAGAAAGGAAGCAATAGCATATATGGCACACACATAGAGGCCAAAGGATTTGAAAGCTTTTGAGGTCAAGAATGCTGCCATTAATGGTAATCAGAGCAATACAGGAAAAGGAGATTATTTCAAGACCACTAAGGCAGCTTTATTTCTATGCCCACCAGAATTGTTTTCATTTATTTAAAATACTTATTAACTGTTCTTCAGCTAAAGCTCTTGGAACAGCATACAGAAAGCAGGTGAACAAAGTGCAAGGGACGGGGAGGGGCAGATGCAACATTTGTCTTAATGAGTCGCTGAATTCCACCAACAAATTTTAGTTTTTTATTTTAGCTCCCCCACCCTTTTAGAACCTCTTCTGTGACAAACTCAAATCTCCCAGATAATCTCGGAGCAACTCAGATGTATGAAAAAAGTACAGAAAGGCAGCAGATACAGTGGTCAAATAAAAGAAAGTACTGTAGTAAAGAAAAAAAGAAAATAAATAAACCAAAAACTACCTGATTGAATGAATCGCAAGCAAAGAACTTCCAGAGGATAACTTGCAGCAGGATACAAAATCATCATATCTTCACATGCCTTCTTCAGTCTGAAATCCTCATGAGGAAACTTATTTCAGGAGGAGAAAAGCAATTAGCAATGTAGGCAGTTGTCTATAGATAGCTGTCAATTTCAAAGCAGGATGTTTTACCTTACAGCAAAATAAATAATCCTTACTTTTGACAAACAGTGAATGAACTCTCTGTAAGTCTTTTGATGCTCTTCACTTGGAATTGGGTCTGAGGAATTCACAGCCTCTTCAAATGCATTGAGGAGCTGAAAAACAAATAGTATAGACACTGCAATATGGAACAACAAAGCCCAAAATGCAGCAAGCTTTTAACAAGTGATTGTGCAATCCCTGGATAATTGATGCACCTGAAGTTTGGAAAGATTCAGTTCTACTACTGTGCCAGCAAATACTTCTTTTCTACACAAAATCAGAGCCAAGCTGTCATTACACATAATTGTGTGGTTCTTTCTGGTGATTTTTTTAACAAAGTGTATCCATTGGGGGTCAGAGGAAGGAACTTGCTAGCCATTCGTCAAAATTGATCCACACCTTCCACAAAGTGCTTTCCCACCCACAGTGGGAGGGGGAAATAGATAGACTTCATCTTTTCTCCACGTCCATGAATGGGAGCACAGAGTTAATAAATAGCTAGCATCATAAGTGCTGGGCATTCCCTCTTCCCTTCAAGCCAGTCTGCTCACACTGGTGCTCTGATCTCAACTTTTATTTTTCTTTTTTAAAAAATAAAAATAAAAATCAGCAACTGTCACACAGTTCATACAATTACACACAGTAGGCACAATGGTTTGGTCCCAAGATTACCAAACTAATATGTTTGTGTATTGCAATACTGTGTATTGCTACCAAAATTGCTATTTTGCCTTTTTCTGTCCAACATGCAGCATGGCTTATTTTCCCATACTACAATTTCCAGTGCCAGGAGCATGCATGCCTGAAGTTCATTTTAATCACCAGAATGAATAAAAGACGGATAGGCAAATAAAAAGGATCTCACTATGATCCTGTTTGACTTTGGGTGAAGGTAGCCAAAACATTTCCTGCCTTCAACCACAAGGTGGAGCTGGTGACATTCAAGACTAGTGGGAGAAACGGGATAGAAACCTTTGTTCTCTCTATGTTCATCCTACGTGTCATACATATTTTCAAGATTTTAAAAACAATTGTAAAATTGCTCTTGGGGTGTAAGCTAGAAAGTCTCCATGACATCACAAGCATTGGTCAATTGGCACTATCCACAGCAAGATTGTCTGTCGATTTACAGAATGGTGGTTTTTTTTCAGAACTATGACTCTATACAAACCGCTTCATCTAGATAGTTTGATTCAAGAACAGAACAGAAGCAAATAATGTACCACGTTAAGGGGAAGATGCAGGAAGGACCAATTTAGTGAAATAATTCAGCTCGAGCAAGTAAGCCAAAGCACATGAAGCAGGGATTGAAAAAAATTACCCCAATGCCCTAATGTAGTTATGTGTTATAAGCAGGACTACTGCTTATACTTTCGCACTGTCAAATATTATTTCTACCCTAATAGGTTTTGTGATTTACAGCCTCCAGTTTGTATAAACCAAGAGCTGAGCATATGCCATTTAGTCATAGCCTCAAGCAGGCAGTCCTCAGAAAATCACTGTATCACTTCCCATCTGTAAGATGGAAATTTGGAATTATTCTTTCCAAGCTGTTCTAAGAATCAGCTACAATTGTTATGCTGAATTTTATATAGATTTATTGTCTGAAAAACAATAAATATAGCCAAATCAGGGGACGAACCCTTACCAGTTGCTGAGTCTCATTATCCTGGAGATGTGTGCCTTCTTCCAGTAACTGAACCAACCTCTTCCATAACTGATGAAGCTCAGCTTTTTCTGCACCTTCTTCCTGTCGTATTTTTATTAGCTTCTGCCACGTCCGAGCCACCTGTCAAAAGGAAACCAGTCAAGCCTCAATGTCTTCTCAAATCTGAGACATTTATCGCCTTGACTACTGGAGCACTGGAAGACATTTCCCAATTCCAGAGATCAAGGCGTATGCCTTTTAACGTAAATGAGATGTCAGAAGCAATAAGGTGTCAGTGCTATGAGATGATTTTGCAGTCTTCCTGCTTACTGCTGCCAACCAAGTCACACAGCTATACAGATTCTTTTAGTGGTATGGTGTGGGCAGTATCTCTCATGACATTTCAAATACCTTGATACAGGTTGCTTCCACACTAATGTTTTCCACATCGTGTGCCTTTATTGATTGATTGATTGTAATAAAATGCAATCGCAGCACCAGCCTTGCCTAGTATGAACAGCAAAGCACTACTGGGGCTTTTATGGGCTCCTCACTTCCTTTTCCCATTTAAACATAGACATAAGCATATTTGACTGCACCTTGCTTTCGTTTTATAGTGGGTGGTGGAAAAGTGATGAATTAGCCTACTAGCTGCCCCTCAAACAAACTTTAGATTTGGGGCAATAAAATGTTTGATTTCACAAAAAGGGACGCTTTAGTCACCGGCTTCCTCTCATGGTTGTTCTTTTTTAAAAAGAGAGAGAGCGCACAAAATATTGCTATTCCATTATTTAAAAATGGGAGAGAGAGAAGGAAAAAGTAATTAAAGTCCTCCCGCAGGCTTGTGGAAACAGAAGTTGACTCTGAGGCAATGTAATGGTCAAAAAAAAAAAAAAAGGTATTTCATCTGAAAGCAACAGGGTGCAAGCACAGCCAAGACTGGTGAAGTCATAAAGCTGGTAAATATTTCTGCAAATGAAAATTTGGTGTGTGTGGGTTTTTTTGGCAAAACAAACAAACATTGACTACAGTGCTACCTTGGGCTACATACGCTTCAGGTTACATACGCTTCAGGTTACAGACTCCGCTAACCCAGAAATATTGTTTCAGGTTAAGAACTTTGCTTCAGGATGAGAACAGAAATCGTGCTCCGGCGGCGCAGCAGCAGCAGGAGGCCCCATTAGCTAAAGTGGTGCTTCAGGTTAAGTACAGACCTCCGGAACGAATTAAGTACTTAAACCGAGGTACCACTGTACTAACACTGATAACAATAAGTTACAACGAACATGACAGTGACTAACCTGAAGGTATTTTCTCTCTCGCTGATACAGCTCCACAAGCTTTCTACATACTTCACACCATTTCTGTTTATCAGTGCTGTGGGGGGGAGACAAAATGTCTACAATATAAGGGTGCAATTCTATTGTACCTGGAAAGGCGGTGTCAGGAGACATAAGATTTTGTAGACCTGCAGCTGGAGCGGGAAATCCACCCTTTGTTCCACTGTCTGTCCCTCTTTCTATATCAGTCCTCTGAGAGCAATAGGAGGGGGAAAGGAATGTGCTGGGGTTAGATGGGGGTGGGTGGGTTGAATCTGCCAGCCCTGGAGCTGCCTACTACTTTCCCCTCCAGACTTTCCCCGCTTTAAACCCTGGCTGAGGTGAACCACATAGGGCTCAAAACTTGACAGTTCTACTGTCACATATTTTTCCTCCCCATCCTTCTTATATGTCTCTGCCTGTTAAGGAAATCCTCAGTTAAAATACTTTTTCAATTTAAAATATTTAACAATCTGCTCTTTAGTACTTCTTTCTTTTTCAATTGTAGCTTTTTCCACTCCATCTTCAACCTGTGAACCTTGCTTCATGCAGTCCTCTCTTCCCTCTTCTTATTCCATCTTGCAGTCTCCTTTCCCCTTTCCCTTAGGTACTGGGGACCTTCCCCTTTGCTCTTCCTGCCAACCCCTGGTGGTCATGGCACAGGCTCCTATCCTTTGGCCCCTGCTTCCCCACCACTTCATTTTAGGGCTACCTGCTTCCTGCTTTAGGGCTACCCCACTTCTATTTGTCTTCTGCCTTCTCCATCTCCTTCCCTTCAGTCCTACACAGTGAGAAATGTGTTTCTAATTAAGTTTTTGGAGTAGACAAAAGCTTGATCTACTAGCAGAAGCTACCACCGTGGCACTGAAGCCTATCTACTTAAGACAACCTTTTTTGTTTTCCTTATTTTGTTTTCCTTATCTCCAAGAAAATATAGGTGCATGCTAACACTCAAAACGTTTTATGGGTAAAGTAATAACATAAAACAAATAGTTGAACTAAATTTCACACTATAATGGATTTTACCATTTTGCATGGACAACTTTCCTATCATGTTGATTAAATGTAAAAAATTATCAGAGAACAATGATTTATTTTCAGAATGATGGAATAATTTTACATTCTGCTGGAATACATAAGATAAATTTGACATGGGAACGCTGTGAATACTGTTGTGATAAACATTTCCTCTATAATTAGTATCATAATATTCGCCTCAAGTAAATGTTTAGCTTATTTTTTCAAAATGCTGTAAAATAGTTGATTTCCTACCTTTCATAGAGTTCCAGGAGTTTCTGATACACATTAACCAAATCTTCTCCGACATCTGCATGGTTTGTTTTTTCATATAAATTTGCTAAGCCCTAGGGGAAAGTGAAGCATATAACTTTTGAAGCAAATCCTTGTTGGGTCACAACTATCATCTCCATATTCATATCCATTCCTGAGATATAACCATGTTACTGTTTAATAGTTTTTGAAGCATAGCATTTCAAGGTTCATCAAACTGACTGTGTGAAGATAACACTGCAGTGGCAGTGAGTAATTTGTCTACATTCTCCACATCATTTATAACTTCTAAGCAAGAAATACTGGACTTGTTACATGTAGTCAGGAAGATGCCTAGAAGATAGGCCAATGTACAGTCTCCTAAATTTGAATCTAATGTTGCATACTATTTGCAGAATATTTGCATTTTACTCATATAAATATATGGAATAGGGAAATGGAACCAGTCATATTACAACACCAACTGGGATAGCTCAGTCTGTAGAGCATGAGGCTTTTAATCTCAGGGTTGTGGGTTCAAGCCCCACATTGGGCAAAAGATTCCTGCATTGCAGGGGGTTGGTCTAGATGACCCTTGTGGTCCCTTCCAATTCTACGATTCTATGATTCTACGTACTTGCCATGCTAGCAACTGCCCTGGTTCAAGTTCAGCAGCTTTTCTGTAGGCACCTTGGGCTTGATCGGGTTGTTCTAGCTCCGCAGCTGCCAGACCAATGAATACCCAGGCATTGTAGTTATTCTTCTCCTGTTTCAATACTGCCTGCAAGAACAAGTGAAAAAACGCTGAAACACTTACAATAAGCAGTATTAATAAATTATTTCAAAGCTGAAGAAGAAAGCAGAACTGATGCATGCTCAGATGTTATCATCAAAAGATTCTAAAGCTACAGAAGGAGCCCAAAGTTAAGTGCTTTGCATGTACAGTGGTACCTCGCAAGACGAATGCCTCGCAAGACGGAAAACTCGCAAGATGAAAGGGTTTTTTGTTTTTTGAGCTGCTTCGCAAGACGATTGTCCCTATGGGCTTGCTTTGCAAGACGGAAACGTCTTGCAAGTTTGTTTCCTTTTTCTTAACACCGTTAATACAGTTGCGTCTTGACTTCGAGGAGCAACTCATAGCACGCGGTGTGGTAGCCTTTTTTGAGGTTTTTGAAGACTTGGTGATTTTTGAAGCTTTTCCAAAAGTTTTCCGACACCGTGCTTCGAAAGACGAAAAAAATCGCAAGATGACAAAACTCGCGGAACGAATTAATTTCGTCTTGCGAGGCACCACTGTACAAAGTCCCATTTGCTAAGCCCTAGGGGAAAGTGAAGCATATAACTTTTGAAGCAAATCCTTGTTGGGTCACAACTATCATCTCCATATTCATATCCATTCCTGAGATATAACCATGTTACTGTTTAATAGCTTTTGAAGCATAGCATTTCAAGGTTCATCAAACTGACTGTGTGAAGATAACACTGCAGAGGCAGTGAGTAATTTGTCTACATTCTCCACATCATTTATAACTTCTAAGCAAGAAATACTAGACTTGTTACGTGTAGTCAGGAAGATGCCTAGAAGATAGGCCAATGTATAGTCTCCTAAATTTGAGACTGTAAATTCCAGCTCAAAAGTTCTCAACAGCAAAGCTAAAGCAAAAAACCTGTTTAAGACACTGCCTCTGCCAACAAAAGAAGACAGTACTGACCGAAATGAACCAATGGCCTGGTTGACAAAACATCCAAACCACCACCAACAGGGCAGAAACAGAAAATGACACCACTGCTGTGCAGCCCAACTTTAGCTTTTAGTTTGGCAGCAGATAAACAAATACAGAAAGGAACACCAAGACGATGAAGAAATACTTTAAAATATCATAGAGGAGTACTATGAATAGAACATACAATTTCGCATGCCGAAAGCTTAATTGTACATTTGAGTGCTAGTTACCTTGCAGTGTTTCAGTGCTTCTTTGTACTCCTTATTCCTTATAGCATCTCTGGCACTTTTCAATGCTGCTTTCACTTCCTTGTTGGACATGACTACTGGCAAGGTAACGGAAGAAAATTTCAGCAATTATACCAGGCCATATGGAGAATTTTCAAGAGAGTCTTATTTTAATCCCTTCTTTTTCATGGTATTTTTGCTTCTTGACAAAATAAGTGATAATTTATGCCACAAACCTATGATGCAGGGTTTTGTTTTGTTTTGTTTTAGTCCTGCCACTAAATGGACCTCTTCCTACAGGACAAAAATGAGCAATATCATCCAGGTTTATAATTATAGACAATGGCAATTCTAACTCTTCAGGGCCAAACCAAAACATTTTGCTGGCTATAGTGAAGAGATACACTTCCATTCCACATACAGAAGCTGACTGGATCTTACCTTCAACACTGACCATAGGACAGCATCCTCTACTGAACTTGGGGGAAGAGGCTAGCTTGGGGTGTGGGGCAGGCTACAACCCCACACACTGTTCTGACCTGCAACCTCTCGCTGCTCCCCCCCCCCCGCATATAATTTTTTATTAAACTTTCTGTTTTACAAATTAAAATATTCATTTTATATCCTTAAGACATCAATGACTTCCCTGATTCTCTTTCCATGGTTCATTTTACATATCATAAATCCCTGTGTATTTTACAAAAACTATACCATTCAGTATTCCATTATTGCATCCATCAAAACTTATTTACACTGTTGAATTTATCTTAATGCTGCCAGCATTTTCAGCTGGACACAGTTATTTCCCATATATTCAATAAGCGTTTTCCAATCTTCTTTAAACTTTATGTTCTTCTTGTTCTCTTATTCCATGTTAAATCTGCAAGCTGCGCATATTCTGTCAGCTTAAGTTGCTATTCTTCTTTAGTTGGGACCTCGCTGGCTTTCCATTTTTGGGCTAACAAAAGACGGGCTGCAGTAGTAACATACATAAATAACCTTTTCTGACACCTGGGAGCAACCCCTCACTGCTTTATCTGATACCTGCTGCTTGCCCATTCAAAGCTCAGTCGGTTAGAGCCCTAGTGCTGAAAACACGAAGGTCGCAGGTTCGATCCCCGTATGGGGTAACTGCATATTCCTGTCTCGCGGGGTGGGGGAGGAGGTTGGACTAGATGATCCTCAGGGTCCCTTTTCAGCTCCGCAATCCTACGATAAGTTCCTTTTACACGCAATTCAAGCCAGGGCGAAAGACTAAAGTGTTAAAGCCAAAGCTGCGCGCGTTAATGCCCGGATTTAAACAAGGAGTTCAACGGGGATTCGTTAAAGCAGGGGCCGCAGCCTCCCGAGCCTGACCCTGCTGCTCTTCTTCCCCTCCGCTTCGCCCAGAGAACCGCAGCCCAGCTCCAGGGAGGGCCGCCGGCCCTTCACAAAAGCAGGCGCTGACGGCAGGCACGCCCCGCCGGAGCCTTCGAGGGACCAGGCCTTCCTTCGCCACGAAGCCGCGCGGCGAACAGTCACTCACCGGCTGCTACCGACTCCGGCCACGGTTACCACCGGCAGCAGACAACCATCAATGCCGTCCCGCGCACGCGCGGAAGGCTCCGCCCCTCCTTAGCCCCGCCCCTCAACCGATGTCGCGGAGAGAAAAATCCCCTCAGAGGCCCGACAGCGCGCCGCTGTCAAACGCCAAGTCGGCCTTCCGCGTGGCAGAGGTAGTCGTATTTCTCCTTAGTGACGCGCAGCAAGGCGCGGTTTTGCCAGCCTCAGCTACGACCGAGTCCCCTTTCCAACCCCGTAGGCTGAGGCTGCAGTCCTAAAAGCACGTGCCCTCCAGCGTTTCTCCGATGAAAATAGGGACGGACCTAATGGTCAGGGGTCCCTTTACCTTTTCAAGGGGAAAAAACCGGGGCAGTTCAAATCAGAAACTGGGACAGCTGCTGTAAATCCGGGACTGTCTGCAAAATAGGGACACTTGGAAGGTCTGAGCAGTTCCTGTGAAAAAGTCGAATCGAAACACCATTGGGCTTACTCCCCCCCCCCATTTTTTTTATTGGTTTTCACAAAATTATAAACAAACAAACATAATTCATAACCTTATTAAAAAATTACACTTATTAACATTGTTAAGTGACTTCCTCACTTCCCCTTGGTTGAATTTTATTGCATGTCCTTTTAACGGTTTTCCAAATCACAGTTCTTATAAAGTTTAACTTGAACATTAACATCCTTAGATCTTTTCCTTTTGAAATTAAACATATTAATTCATAACTTAAGTAAAATCCTAAGCCAATTAAGTATCTACAAACTATTTCCAATTAATTTAGCTTAACATATTTAACTAAATAATCATTAAATTTAATCCAATCTTCCTGATACTCCTCTTCCTTCTGGTTGCGGACTCTTCCGGTTAGGTCGGCTAGCTCCAAAAAATCCATCATCTTCATCTGCCATTCTTCCACGGTTGGTAATTCTTGTGTTTTCCACTTTGGGGCTAGTAAAATTCGAGCAGCAGTTGTAGCATACAAAAATAATTTAACATCTTTCTTGGGCAATTCCAAGCCTGTTATTCCAAGAAGAAAGGCCTCTGGTTTCTTTATAAATGTATATTTCAACATTTTTTTCAATTCATTATAAATCTTTTCCCAGAAGTCTTTCACCTTGGGACAGGTCTACCACATATGATAAAAGGTTCCTTCCTTTTCTTTACATACCATAGGGCTTACTCTTGATGGGACGGACAAGAGTGACTTGTCTCTGTTGCTTTATGCCCATAGCTTATTATCTCATATTTATGTATCGGCTTTCTTACGTCTTGAAACACACGTGGTTCTCAGGCGGTCAAGCTGTCAAAGCGATGGCCCTTTGCTTTCAGCAAAGTGGTGAGAGTGGAGTCTTGCACGCTTATTTATTTATTATTGCATTAACCTTTCATCCGAGGAGTTCGTGGTGGCATATATGTTTCTTCTCTTACACATGCACCATTTTTATCCTCACTGCAACCCTGTGAGGTGGGCTGGGTTGAGAAGGTTATCCAACGAGCTTCATGAGAGAGTTGGGATTTGAACTCTGGTCTTCAGAGTAGTACTAGTAGCCCGCCACTCTGTTAAGCTGCACCACACCAATGGCAATATTCTGATATCACATCTATACCGGTGTGACCAGCAGAGTAAGGCAGCACCTGCAGAGGAGTCCAGCAAAGCTTCAGAGTCTAACCCTGAACAGAACTCAGACACGGGAGAAGGGCAACCTGAGACAGTACAATTTCTCACATAATCCCAGATTGCACCAGCAACCAAAGTACAGTACACACTGCGATTCTGTGTAGGTCTACTTTACTCAGGATAAAGTTGCACAGAGTTTAATGAGACTGTTCGGTCATTGCGTGTACCCTGCATAGCAAGGGAAATGCAGCTTGCAAACTGGATTTTTCGTTTTTATTTAAAGCACGCGATCAGGCCTGAGTTATAAGGAGCATACATTCCTACCCTCCTTTCTACCATCGTGGAGAAGGGTCATCATGCTGCTATCCAATTCATAGCTGTCAACTTTTTCCCCTTTTCTGTTCAGGGAAGTTTTTAATGTGTGACATCTTAGTGTGTTTTTTGTCTTTGTGGAAGCCGCCCAGAGTGGCTGGGGGAACCCAGCCAGATGGGCGGGGTACAAATAAATAATAATAATAATAATAATAATAATAATAATAATAATAATAATTTTCTTGCGATGAATCCTATTCGGAATAAGGGACTTTCCCTTTAAAAAAAGGGAAACGTTGACAGCTATGATCCAATTACACTTGCTCAGAAATCCCGGGTTTCCCCGTCGTTTAGAACGGGCGGCTGTCTAATTTTACTCCGCAGGAGGAGGAGGGGAAAAAATGCCACCAAGCGATCTCACCAGTTAACACTGGAACGGTAACTCTAAACAACTCTATGTGCGTCCTCTGACAACAGAGAACCTTTCCCGGTGGCGTTGCATTATGGGAGTTGTAGTTCTCCACCCGACGTTTATTTCCGCCCTCCCTAAAGAAAGTATGTTAAAGAAGGGGGTGCGTCTTTATTTCTCCCCTGGCGCGTTGCAACGGCCTTTGACATTATTTCCTCCCGCTTTCTTCACCTACATGCATGATGAGAGTCGCTGTTTCCCGCGACAAGGAGGCTGAGTTTGTGAACGGTGTCGCTTGCCCTCCTTCCCTTCGTGAGCTTTTTGCTCCCGGCCGGGTCAGCGGGTGCGGCACGAGATGCACCACTCCAGTTACTCAAGAGACGCGTCATGATCGTTTGGCAGGGTGAAGGGAAGGGTGGGGCAGAGCAGGGAGCTCCACTGAGCTCCTGATCTGGCCGAAATGGATGGAAAAGGTAGAAATCATGTAACCTCTGCAAGTCACCTCGTTGCCTTGATCCTCTTCGCTTTTTGGGGAGCAGTGAAGGCGAGGGCCCTGCTCAACGAGGATTACACTTGCAGCAGCTGCGGGAAGCCTAACATTGTGATGGTGATGTGCGATTCCTTAGTAAGTATTTGACTTTTTCAAAACAAAAGCAAAACTGTCCAGAGCAACTTCTTTCCAGTCATGCTGCTGCTGCTTGCGAAGGAATGTGAGGCGGGATGGTGTAAATTAAAATATCTACTCTTTCAGGCTCAGCTGCTGTGGACCTGATCTCCCTGCTGCTTGATCATAGCTTTTGTTTTTTTCCGCTTGGAGGTGCCATTTACATGCTAGAGAACCCCATGCGAAAAGAGCTTGTATTGAGAGTGACGTTTGTTGCTAAGCTTTCACTTAATTATTGGAGAGCATGTTCTTGTGTCACACTTGGGTTGCAGTCCTATACACGCCTATTTTGGGAAGAAATTCAGTCAACACAGTGAAGGTTAACTTTTAGCACTTTAGATGTAACTTTTTGCAAGATTATGGCATTCGGACTGTGCTGCCTGTGATAGGAGAGGAGGGGGAAATTTAGCATTATACAAAACAATTTAGCAATTTAGCATTATACTGAAAAAAGGAGAGCATTATATGTTACATAAATTACATAAAATAGTGCTTTATGTACGCTAGGGGTTATAACACCTCTAGCATAAGTGAATATGTGGGAGTGAACATGAAGCAGCTTGCAAGTTTTGCTCAATAGTGAAAAAATAAAAGGTACAGGAGCACTAATGGTGCTCCAGAATAGGGATTTACTTTGCAAATGGGTCATTGGCAATGAGTTCTTTCTTCTTCTGATTTAAATTGGGAGCAGGGGATGTGGAAAGGTTGCCCACGTTGTCATACTTCGTATGTCTGGCCCATACATCAGACTGTCTTCTTTGTCTGCGTTATTGCAAATGGCCAGCTCCAAAATTGCTTTTAAACATGACACAAAGTCTTCTGAGCAATTAGTCACTGCTCTCATGCCGTTGTTCATTCCTGGAAAAACTTGGAACCAGTCACAAAGTCTCACTGAAATCACAGTAAGGAAATCACATAGTTCAGTTCTTGCTTAATTGTACCTCTCACTGAAATGTTTCAGTTGTCAATATGTATACAGTGGTACCTCTGGTTACGTACTTAATTCGTTCCAGAGGTCCGTTCTTAACCTGAAACTGTTCTTAACCTGAAGCACCACTTTAGCTAATGGGGCCTCCCGCTGCCACTGCGCTGCCGAAGCATGATTTCTGTTCTCATCCTGAAGCAAAGTTCTTAACCCGAGGTATTATTTCTGGGTTAGTGGAGTCTGTAACCTGAAGCGTATGTAATCTGAAGCATATGTAACCCGAGGTACCACTGTATTTGTAGGAATATATATTTCGAACCATGCTGGTGTCCTGTCAGTGAAGACAAGTTCCTAGAAAACTTCTATTGCATCCAGAACCACTGAAATGGGTATTTTGGTAGAGTGTGATTTTTTTACAGTGTGATTTGTAACATTGCATTGATTAATGTGATTTCTAATGTTGCATTGATTAATTTCCAGAGTAATTCTCAAAAATTTTCACCCCCCTGCATGCAGGATGGAAGGCTGACATTTCACCCAAAAAATGAAACAGTAGACTTGCCTTTTGTGAACCTCATGCGAAAACATGGCAGTCTCTTTCTTAATGCTTATACCAATTCTCCAATATGTTGTCCTTCCCGTGCAGGTAAGATCATATACTCAAGCAAGAAATACATAAGTAGAACCTATTTAAATACTACTTTATGATAGCTAAACTTCAAAAGATTTTCCCTGGGCAACCTTGAAACTTCTGGTTCCTTTTAGTGTCTTGTGAGCCAGGCCTTCAGGATAAACATAGTATCACTTGCTTGTTTTAAAAAGGAAATAAATAATATGCTTGTGGGACATTAGGAGTGGGTTGTTGTCTGTATTTACAAAGTGCAGAGTGGCTGAAGGTCAACGTTAGAAGATTCATCATGTGAGTTAGGGCTAAGCCTGTTGTCATACCCCTTTTATAAGTGGAGAAACTAGGCTGGGTATGACAGTGACTTGCACAAAGTCACTCAGTGGGCTTCATTGGCTTGTCTTCTTCTAGATGCATAAG